AGCTTAAAAAGGCAGCTGATTATTCTGCGGACATGACTCGTTTCATCTTGGGTGGTGCGAACTCAGAGGCGGCGCTGCTTCAGGCGGCAGCATGCCTTGGGCGGCTCCTCCACCAGACCCTGCCCCGGGGCATCTTAGCCAACAGACAAGACACACACACACACACAGACTCCGAAATTACCGCTCTGGAGGGTGGAAAGGCAGCGCCAACCGTCCGGGACTTGCCGACACGCTTCCCAGAGCGAGAGGGAGTAGCGTTCCGACGTGACCCAGGCGGGGCTCAGAAGGGCCGCCACGTCCAAGGCGAGCGCGAGGAAAGCGCAGAGCAGGGCGATCAGCTTGAAAGGGCGGCGGAGCAAGCCGTCTTCTTCCGTCGCCGACATTCCCACGACCCTGGTTTTGAGCCGTCGGAAGGCGCCCGCAAAGAACGAGCGACGCGGAGGAGGAGATGGGGGGGGGAGAAGAAGAGAGAAGGGTCCCACGTCGGGGCAGCGGCTGCTCCGGGGCGCCAAAAACAAAAAACAAAAAGGGAGCAGCTGCTGGGCTCCGGGGGAAAAAGGGTTTGGAAAGGCGGGGAAAACGCCTTCGAGTTCAGCCGGGAGCTACGAAGTTTGCAAAACTGCGAGCAGAAACAGCCGCCGCCGCCGCTGCACGTGCCCGTCCGGGGACCCAGAGCCCGCCCCTTCGATCGCCCCCGCCGGATCCTAAAGGCCGCCGGACTCGCCTTCTTCGCTTTACAGACCTGCTCTTTAACTCGCTTTCTCGACCGGGCTGCGATTCAGCCGGTCAAGCTTTGGGGCGGCTCCTTTTCCGTGCCAGAAGACGCCTCACCGGTTGAACATCGGCCTGGCTTAGGAGCTCCGCGGGGAGGGCGAGCGCGTGGCAACGCATGTCACACACACACACACACACACACACACACACATATTGCTCGGTTCTGGCCCCAGACATTTCTGCTGCCTGCGCCTGCCACCCCACCAGTATTCCAGGTTGCGCAGCATTCAAAGCCGGCCGAATTGGTTTGTGGTGCATGAAGTGGAAAATCCAGGAGGGCTGCTCCCCCGATCCACCCCAAGAGCGTCTGATCAGTGAGCATTGATCCTGCCGGAGTGCAGAGGCCCAGTACTGAGCTTGTGGCTCTTTGGAGGTGCAGTCGCCAGACTGGAGGATGTCCGTAAAGCAGAACAGAATGTACCTTGGGGGGGGGGGTCTCTTCGCTTAATAAATCTGCTTTGGGGCTCGTAGTGCAGGAGGACGGAGGTTGCTCAACTACTTGCAGGAAACCCCTCCATGGAGCTTTCGGTGTCTGAAGGTTGGCTATGCCAAGGCAAAGAGGCCGGAGAAGGAAGCCTCAGAGAAAGGATGGGGGGGGTGGGGGTAGAAGGAGCCTGGCAGAAGCAACCTCCGTGAAGACTATGCAGGAGGAGAAAAAGGCACCGCCCTGGCTCACAGTGCTCTCTGCCTGATCAAATCATCTGCTCCCTGACTGTTCTCCAACGATAATCAATTAAATGGCGAAGCTGGAAATCTGCTGCCCCAACCAGATTGCCTTATTGTTCCCATCAGTAGGTTTGGCTTGCCCCAGTAGCAAAGGGATCCGTGAACTGAAAATACCAACAGGAACCTTGGATGGAGAAGAGGAGGATATTTTTACCCCACCTTTCTCCTTCAAAGGATCCAAGCTTGCTTCTGTCATAAAAAGGCAGTATTTGATGCTAACAATGGTGAGCATCCAAATACAAAAGGATCAGACAAATGCCATACCAAAAAAAAAAGTTAGCAACACTAAAATTCATTTAAAGCGATAAAGGTACAACAATCTTTTTTTTAAAAAAACTCAGGTAAAAAAAAGTTAGCAACACTAAAATTCATTCCAAGCGATAAAGGTACAACAATCCATTAAAAAAAAGAAACTCTGGTAGCCAGTCATTCAGGTAAAGCTTGCCTGAACTTTGCCTGCTTGTGGAAGGAGAGCCTCTAGTGGGAGGGAGTTCCACCGTCTGCAAGCAGCCAGAGGTCTAACTGGGGCCCCAAATAGCTGCCACATGTCTATCATGTACCTCTCTTCCTCCATTGCTCATCTTTTCCTTCTCTGTTACATTTAATATCTCCTCTTTCTTCCAAGGAGCAAAATCATGCATTAATGGTTCTCTCCTCTTCCCCATTTTTCAAACTTATGGAGTGAAACGTTTAACGAATGCACAAGTTTTTGTTGGGAGAGAGGAGACCCAGTGAAGAGGTACAGTATAGATAATGACATTTTCACATAAAAATGTTTCGAATGAATGAATCAACAAATTCAATTATAATCAGCTTGGAGCTGTAAATTATATAAACATCCTGATACAGTGTAGTTAGGGTCATTAACCATTCAGCCTAGGCTCTTTCCGGAATGCCATTTTATCTTTTTCAAGGAAGGCCATTCGGTTGCATGCACACCCTTTCTGTTCTTAAAACGCCAAATGGAAGTCAATATTTGCACCTTGGCCAACGCTCTCCTTTGTCCTGGGCTTTGTGCTACTGGAGTCACCCCTTCCTCCACCTCTCCTAGAGCTTATAAATAGCCCAGCCAGCTGCCACTTAAGCCATAAACCTGCTGTAATGTGACCTGGGAAGGCAGAAGGGAAAAGAAGGAAATGCAGATTGCCTTCGGACTCAGTACCAGTTCATGCCAACTTTCTGCGTGGGAAACAAATTCTTCCCGTAGCTAAGTTGGCACAACATCATGTTGGGATCGCATGAGAAAGCGGCAAACAAGATGTCTCAGGGCCTAACCATTATATCACACTGCCCACAAGCAATAAATACTTTGATAATTGGTTAAGGGGTTTATAGGGTTTTTAAAAAAAACAAAAACAAGGTTTAGCGCTTAAAAGTGTCTCTTCCCTAAATAAAATGGGTAAGAGCAAATTGCAGTTCTGTCACTCCTGCCCATCTACGTGTGGATTCCCCTCTGGTTTTCCATCGTTGAGAGTGATGTGTCTCCCACTGCATGCTGGAATTTACATTTTTTGCATCTCTCGACAGCAAACACTCACATTCGAGGGTTGGAAGTGGCACGGAGTACATTTTTTGCATCTCTCGACAGCAAACACATTCGAGGGTTGGAAGTGGCACGAATGACAGAGCAACGTAAGGTCACAGGGGCAAGACGCTCCCGTCGGTTCCAGCTGTGGTCACTTTTTCTTAAACTCATTATCACCGAGATACTCATTACCGCACTGCTCTCTTTCCAGTGGAAAGAATCTTTCTTCGGAGCATCGCGTTACCCTAATTACGGGGGGACAGATGGCAATCCCACAGTCCATTATATTTGCACCTGGGTGGGAAACAGATGACCAGCCTTCTCCCACTGCGAATCAGCCCACATCTCTCAATCTCACCACAAAGCTGATGCTGTCGCCTGTCCGGGCAATCCAGAAGCAGTCGTTACTCCCTCTTGAAAACACAGGCTCAGAAAACCACGACCTGTAGCTCAGCAAAAGTGCAAGGCCTTAGTGTCCAGAATAATTCAGCCCCAAAAAAGGGAAGCCGGAATTTCAGGCATCCTAGCAAAATCACCAGTCCTCTAACGACTTGAGGATAGATGCTTGACATGTAGATCAACGGAAAGAACCTTGGGTCTCCAAATATTTTGGACTACATATGAAAACCACACTCCTTTACAACCACTCTCCACGCCGGCTGGGGCTTCAGGAGCCAGAGTCCAAAACATCTGGAGAGCTCGAAGCTCTCCAACTCTGCTCTAGGGACTGCCTTCTTTGGCCAGAACAGCCATACCATCAGGCCTCCATTTCCCCCACCTCACTCAGGCAGAGAATTGCTGACCAAGTGGCAATCACAGGAGGGTGTTGGGAACATCAGATTTCCAGTCTTTACGGCTAAGGTTTTCCAAATGTATGGCCACTAACTGGCAAAAGTAGGGAACAGCCTGTACGGGAATAGAAGTCTGGGTCCGGGTCTCCTGCACCAGAAGAAAGGGCTTACACTCATGTGAAGTGGCAGGACTCATAAAGATCTCATTAGTCTTTCTAGAATCCTGGAGAGAGCTATGTAAGTCAGAGTAGAGTGGTTTACATGAACTTTGTTGGTCTCCACATGTTGTAGGACTGCAAAAAAGAAAAGTTGTTGCATAGTTCAGAGGGTCAGGAATGGCTGAGAGTTCAGTTCCCCACTGTGCCTCCTTGACTCCATGATCCATAGAGTCCCTTCCAGCTCTGCAGTGACAAGCTTATCATCATCATCATCACCGGCTCTAGCCAGGATGGCCAGTAGGATGTTAGGAACTGTAGCCCAAACATCTGGAAGTCACCAGCTTGGGGAAAGATGTAGTAGATAACAGCAAATGGGATAGACCAGAGCCATGACTTGGTATAAAGCCTCAGTTCATCACAGAATTCTTTAAATCAGAGGACACAAAACCTTAGCCCTGCTTTACTGATTGCTAGAAAACCACTGGTTACACATCCATGCCTGTGTCCCATGACATGGCTAGGTTATGGCACAGTTGCTTGCTAGAGGCGAAGAGCTTTTCCTTTCCTTTCTGGACAGCAGCTCCCAGAATCTGACACCTACCCTGGTTCTGGCCATGCTGGCTATGAAATTCTAGGAGCTGTAGTCCAAAAAAGATTCTCCCCATCTTTGCACCTTCTATCTGGGCTGCACATGGCCTGGAGGGCAAGAATAGAAAGTATGCTGTCTTCTCTTTGTTGCTGTGCTGTAACCTTCATTTACCCTAGCCTGTAATCAAAGTTGTCAACATCTGGAGGACCAAAGGCGCCCCACGCTGCAGCTGGACCTTTTTCTTATGCTAGGCACAATTCAGAGCTCACTTTTGCTGTATGGATGTCCTACTGCAACATTTGATGTCTGGAGACCCTTACTACTACACTTGCTTGTTGGTTCACTGCTTAAAGCAAACAGACTGATTTCTGCCATTTGATTTGAGTAGCTTAGCCCCCTACCTGCAACAGAGGCCAGAATCTGAAAGACCGTATCATGACTCTGATCTAGAAAGACCAGGTGGTTCTTGGATGCATTTTAAAAAAATGTAGATGATCACAAGAAGGATTTACACTAGCTGTTTCTTCTGATGCTAGGAGAAACTGCATCCATAGCAGAACTTTTGAGACTCTTCCCACCGGCTCTTCAAACCCCTGAGTCTTATCTTCAAGAAGCAGGTGGCCATAGAGGAAGGTTAACATGGCCATTTCAGCTGATGCTGAAGGACTTAAATTGTGCTGAATCCGCAGTACAAGCAGGAAGAGGGATGGTGCTACTGCAAAAGGGCAGCATGTTGCTTTCCCTCCATCCATGGTCTATCCCCTCCCCAAAATTTTAGACTGAAGGGAACAGTGAAAGAAAAAAATAGGAAAAGAACTGTATCTCCGCTTGCATAAACCCCGTGGCTCCATGAGCACAGAAAATCAAAATGGAGTTTCATGACAGACAGAGTGCTAAGCGTGTTGGAAGGCTGAGGCACTTTTGAAAGCAAGTTTCTAATCCTTATGGAGGAAAAAAAAAACTTAAAATGTGCGAGCATAGCTGCTGAAATCTGTAGGAGCAGATTTAAAAACACACTCAGTGGCCGTAAAAGGGATTATAGCTTCCCATATTCTCACATGGGAGGGAAAAAAAGTTAATGCAGCTGGAAAGACAAGGTTGTGTCTACTGGGAAAAAACCAATCCAATTCTTCACTCATCTTGTGCATCTGCTCATTCTCTTCCTCCTTGTTGCTCAGCTTCCTCTTCCGATAGTAAAGCAGAGCTGCTGCTTGAATTATGCTGGCTGATGACATCTCAGACCCATTTTGGTATGTGCAGTAGGAATTTGGCCCTGTGGTGGAGAACCATCCTTCCTCTACTGCAGGTTGGAGTCTCTTTATCACTCATGATCATTATTCAGTAACAGGCACACATAACCGTTACAGCAAAACAGGCACTGCTCTCCTACTACTCTCAGCGAGTGGGGTGACCTCTTATTCTGCCTTTTTGCTTAGAGTTAGAGCATTAGATCAAAGGGTTTCTCTGGCCAATCCTAGTGGTGATTAGATAACTAGTATCCTATCTGAATTCTCACAACATTCTATGTAATCATGCTAAGTTAATAAACAGTGTTCTCAGGGTGCTGCCTTGAGGCTCCGCTGGCTCGGACATCTGCTTGTCTACTTCTTCACATTTTCTCTAAAGGCCAATTGCCTTCCCTTTGTTCCGTGATCACCTACAAAACTTGTGCACTGTTTATAACCTGCCTCTTCCACAGACACTCCCCTCTCAAAAGAATGGACACACTCTGTAAAAACAACAGCCAGCACAAGTTGGGGCAAAAAGAGTATATTCAAAAGATGTCACACCGAAAGTTTTGAAATTCTCTCTTCATGCTGACTTTATTCAGTTTCAGAAAGACTACAGACAGCTTCTGCTCTGTAAGCATCACCAACGGATTTTCAGAACGTTAAAAGGGACATGTTGAATTTTTTTTTCAACTGGGGCAAAAAAAGGGCATGTGAAACCAATGTGGCTGATCCAGACAAGCATGAGTTACTTAGCAGGTATGAGATGCATGTCAGGACAAAGTCCACCATGCTTATATTAACCCACTCAACACACACAGTGTTCCAATGACTGTTGCATAAAAAAATGGAAAGCCACCTTCTAGAAAAGTTGACCTTGCATCCTTCTCCAAGGCCTGCTGCCCTGCTCCCTGACATCCCCCACCCCACAGTCCAGGGTCCTTCCCAATCTGTGGCAGTGTTCACTGCAAGACAGGAGGAAGAGCAGGAGAAGCAATAAGGCAACACAGGGCCAAGTTCATGAAAACATCAATCCTGCTTCCTTTCTCAAGGGTTTGAGGTCTTTGTTCTGGTCACTCCAGGGCAGCCAGCTCCTGCAGCAGCTCCTCTTTCTCCCGCTGCAGCTCCAGCATCCTCTGTTTGTTCTGCTCTAGGCGGTCCTCCAGCCACTGCAGCAAAGGGCCACTGATGGCAGACATCTGACTGCAGAGGTTTTTAGTGAAAACTAGCAAGGAAAGAAGGGTGCAACTATCGGTGAAGAGAAGCCTTCACAATGTATAAGCACAGTACAGACTAACTGAAAGCCTTTTCCGCAACAGCTGGTTGACTGCCAAAGGTCTGATTGCATATTTGTTTTATTTATTTGCATTTGTTTAATTTCTTGCCCACTGTTCTCCTCAGTACAGAGGCCCATGGTGGCTTACAAGCTCCTTTCTAAGCTGCCCTTTCAGTCGCCCAAAGAGAAAGCCCTATCCCTTTTTGCAAAAGGAGAACAGGGAGGGGGTGTGAAGCCAAAAGACCTTCTCCCATGCCCTCATCATGCAAAACTGACAGTGGTGAGACTGAGAGATGGGCCACTCTCAACAATCTTAAAATACATGGAGCTTCATGGGGAGAGATGGCCACTCGTAAAGCCTAGACCAGCAATGGCGAACCTATGGCACACGTGCCATAGCTGGCATGCAGAGCCCTTTCTGCGGGCATGCGAGCCACAAGTTGCCAGATTGCTACTCCCCCCCACACACACACACACAAACAGCCAAACCCAAGGAGGGTGTTGGCTGCGGTGCTGGCACCCTGACAGATGTCGGGCCAGGATCTGGAGCAGCTGGCGCTGGTGGCATATCTGGAGTGGGATTTCGAGGCACCTCCATGCCCAGGATTCGCCCTTCCGCCACCACTTCCAGTTCTGCCACCAAGGCCCGCCAATTTGTTGGTTTTCCCCCCGTTTGGGCACTTGGCCTCAAAAAGGTTTGCTGCCCCTGGCCTAGACCTAAGACATATACGCAATACGGTGAGGCTCGATATTCTTTTGCAAAGGTTTTCTTGCTGCCTCTTTCTGTAAACTGTTGGTTTAGATAAATTATTCTTTATGCTTAGTTATAAAACCACAAGGGCCCGTAAATCCCATTACTCTGCAAATGTTTCAAGAATCCAAAGATGTGTTAGATGTGAATCCTCAATCAGGAAATCCTTACCTGAGCCATTGTGAATTTTGGTTATAGAATCCAGATGAGTAAGGCTAAATGTAGGAAGAGAGGATACACCAGTGTCAAAGGAACATGCACATAAATATAAAAAAAAGAGTACCTTTTTTTTTACCAAGCCAGAAGAGGCGTTTACACTAGGACCTCCTACAAGTGACCTAAGAGAGACAAGCCCTGAGATCAGCCGGGCTGCAAGCCAGCAATCTCACTCTCTCCCTTCCTTTTCCCTTGTCTGTTCACCAGAACATTGGATACTACCATTTCCATGTAGCCTATGGGATTTTTCACACTGTCAATAGTTGGGAGTGGCTCTCCTAAGGATACCCTATGAGCAGCAATTGACTGAAGAGCCAGAGGTTGAGACTTGGATTCCCTCCTGTGCCTTGAGAGCAACTGAACTCCAGCAGCAATTGACTGAAGAGCCAGAGGTTGGGACTTGGATTCCCTCCTGTGCCTTGAGAGGGACTGAACTCCATGATCCATAGGGTCCCTTCCAGCTCTGCAGTTCTAAGATGATTAAAATGAGCTTTAAGCTAGAAGACAACAGGTATTTTTGGTTCTACCCTCTTTGCCCTGGGTTACCACCCAGCACTGGAATGCAGTCCCAGAAAACTGTCTGAAATCAGAATTGGCCCTCAGTCTGAAAAAGGCTCTTTACTCAAGGAGAAGCACCTTGAAAAGACCACTCCTGAAAACTCGTGACATAAGAAGGCAGGCAGAGAAGGGCACCCGACTCTCATGTTTACCTGTGGATTTTCCTGTAGGCATCCTGCTCCTCTTGACACAAGATCTTGGGTAGTTCCACAGCCGACTCCAGACACACTTTCCCAATGGTGTTATGAGGAACAACATGAATAGGAATTTCAATCCTTTCATACCTAAAGGGCAAAGAACAGCAGTGTTACTGTCTCATACTAAAGTTCTGCAGAACGATCCTGGGCATGCTTACTTAGAAGTAAGTTTCACTTAAAGAAAAAAAAAACTGCTGGATAGCTCAGTGGTTTAGGTATTTGGCTGCAGAGCCATAGGTGGGGAGTTTGACTCCCTGAAAGTGCCTCTTTGACAAAGGCTGATCCTTAGGGTCCCTTCAGCTCTGCAGTTCTAAGATGATGATGGTTATAAAACTGTGATATATGAGTTAACTGAATGCTCCTGTGGAACTTACTCTGAGCTCTTTTGGGCTTGAACAGACTGGAAACAGGTGTACAGAATCCGGCCTGTCTGAAACAATCCACACAAGGTATGTGTTATTTAAGGAAAAAAGCTGGGTTATATAAAACAAGTTAACTTCTCCAAGACCCCCAAAGCTAAACAAAACCATGTTTTACATTTACACCACTCAGATTCATATGTTCAACTATTTGTGGAAGAGAGGAAATAAGTGGTACACCGGCATCTGAGTTTAATTTTAAAATTCACATGCTGCTGTTAAGTGGCAAAAGAAACTTGTATATTTTGAAGACTGATTTGCTTGAGGGGGAGACTGTAAGTAGAGGAAGAGTAACATATAGCTAAACTGGATCTGTTAATAGTACACCAGCACTCAATCACCCCAATTAAAACTTGCATTGCAGCAATGGGATAATTATATTTACAGTAATCACTCCAACAGTTCTGATGAAAATGGATCAAGTCTAATTCTGGCTTCAAGCAGAACAGAAATCACTATGGGTGATTTCCAGAAAGGTAGCCTTGCTGGTCTACTGTAGCAAAATAACAATGGCCAAGAATCCCTTCAGTCACTTCTCAAGTGCTTTGAATGGTTTGACTTTTCAGGTGAGGAGATAATTGGTGCCTCCTCACCTGAAAATGGAAAATGCACATGGAAGCCTGAGATGTTCCACTGATGCCCTCCATTTGTGTAATGGCAACAGCAAGATTACAACACAAACAGAGCTTTCCGGTATTAAACATGATCTTAGCCAAAGGGGTGTGTGCCGCCTCTTAAGACTAAGGAGAAACCCTGCTGAACCAGACAATGGATCTATCTTGTTCACACCCTGACTAACCAGCTGCTGATGGGAAGCTGGTCAACAGAACTTGAGTGCAATCCCACTCTCTGTCCCATCCTCCTTAGCAAATGAAATATGTAGGCATATTGCCTACAGCATGGTGTGCAGCCATGCTGATTAGTAACTATCAACAGCCCTAGCCTCTGTTAACTTATGCAACCTCTTTTGCAAGCTCTCGGAACTGACAGCTCCTATAACATTTTGTGGTGAATAACAGAATAATAGCAGTTCATTCCAGTTTCACTATGTGCTGCGTGAAGTATAGCTAGTGAGACAACTTTCTCTAGCAAACGAGTGTGTTCTGTTTATCTGTGCATTATTTACCTTTGTGTTTTTATCTTCAATGAAACAGGAGAAGATCAGTCCCACAAAGCCTTGGTCCATCATCTGATACATCGCTTGTGTGCGAACATCTGCAGACATACAATAGGCAAAACAGATTATGCAAGACAAGATTTTACATGTCCCCGTCCTAGCAGCAACCGTGTTGCTATTAGTTCAAGACAGTCAAGGCAAAGAGATATGTCCCTTTTCTCCAGAAGCAGCAGAAAACACTGCAGAAGAGCACATCAAATGGCTAATATCTGAAAACTAAGGTCTGAAAACTAAGGTTTCACTAAGCCAGGAAAACAAGACTATATTCAAGCCAAAGGAATATCCAGAAATTGTTTAGCTGTCATTCCATCCTTATACAATTTCAGTTCTGTCCTTTGGCTCATAAAAGGCGTAATGCTATTTCAAGATAGTTTGGTGGGGTTTTTTAACAGTATCTTTCAAGCTTTTTGGATTCCCTTTGTGAATATTTTCTGTCTTGGGGGTATCTCCCCTCAGAACAACTATTCCACAGGTATATGATGTGGAAACTCTTGTTCACATTACATCCTGCTGCTTCTTTTTGTATGGGAGTTCAGCACAGGATTCAATTCAAAGATATCAGAAGAGGAACAGAACAGAAAAACCCCACCCCTTTAAAACCACAAGCAATGAGATAAAAAGGGGGAATTTATCTGTCAAAGGAAGGACCAAAGCTCAGTGGCAGAAATATATGCTTTTGTTCAGAAAGCCCAAGCTGGAGTATCCAATGAGTCCAGGTAGGCCTGGGAAGCTCCTGACAGTCACAAGAAATAATACTGAGAGATGGACCAAAGATCAGATCCTGCATCAGGAAGCTACCTACTATGCGGCAATTATGATTTATGAAATTTATATATTCCCTTTGCTCATATTATAGCACTCAGGGCAACTAACTAAGTAGCAGTCAAATAGAAATAATTGTAGTGTATTAAAACAAAGAGAGATCAAAAACTCCATGAAAGGACATGAAAAAAGACACTGCGCCTTCTAACTATAGGCCAACTCAGATGCCAAAGACTTGTTTGAATAAAATGGCTTTGCCTGCAGGCAGAAGGACAAACGTGAGGGGACCACCCTAGTCTCTCCCGGCAGAGAGTTTCATAGCCTGGAACCAGTCAATGGTTGCAGAGCCTCATGCCTTCAGGAAGGTGCAAGTCTGCTCTTACATCTGCCTGCAATGCACCCCAAAGAGCAGGAGGGGCCCCTCACAAAGATCTAAAAACCCAGACAAGCTTGTAAGGGAGAATTTAAAAAAAACCTAATGCTAGCCATGAATGGTTTTTTTTACCAATCTCCCCCAAACATACACTTATTTCTCAGGTGTCTCATCCCACTCCAAAAAGGTATCCACCACTCATTTTAAAAATGCCACCGGAAGCTGCAAGGCCAGATTGCCCAATAGGGTTGGGAACAGTGTGAGCCGCAGAGTTCATGTCATCCCTCACTGCAGGCCAACCTTCTCTCTAAGCTGTGCGCTCACCCACAGCTCCATTGGGGCTGCACATGGGCAGCTGCCAGCCATTTTGAATGAAGCCTTGCTCATTCCCACTGCACGGAGTGAGGCTGAAGTGCAGCAGGAATAAAAATTTAGAGGGAACGTTGACACTGGCTGTTTTGCCTAGTGCGGATGAAAATGCAGTTCAACAACATTAGGGCAGCCATACCTTTCTCACTTTTTCTGTATAGGATCACGGTGACGTTTCTTACCCCGAAGACATTTCTTACCTACATGTGATGGCCAGACGGTTATGTGTGGATGAGAATGATACCAGCCCACAACTCTCATGGGCCGTCCTGTTAACTCAGCCAATCTGTGTGTTAGTTAAGGTTTCTCCTAAAGCCCAGCAGAACTCCTACACACAGGAAAGGGGGACAGTGACCTCAATGCTTGAGGCTGCTACAGCATTTCAAAGGTGAAGAAATTGCAGGAAGTTGTCAGAAACGTCTATAATAACTAGTAGATGCCTTCAATATAGCATCTATCAGAAATGTAGATAATTCAGGAAGGGGAAGAAGCTACCCTACAATATTTGTCAAAGGATATCTCTGCTTCCGTTGAAGCAGCTGAGAGCTGCTCAGGAGAAATTTCTACACGATCTTTCCTTTTATCTGACCGGCGTAGGATGATCACAGAATGAATGTGAACAATTCGGCTAGTGTCAACCTGGAGAGAAACAAACAGACAGATATATCTATATATATGCAAATCAATCCTATGTTTACTGCCAGTCAGACATATAGTGGACCCTTACTGCAACTGCAAGACATAAAGGCTGTCATCCCAAGACATATTTATACCCCTTGAGGAAGACTGATTTACACTTGCATATCTTCCACACATCCAGTAGTTTACTTGAAGCATTTTTCCCCTTAAACTTAGTGTAATGTAGTGGTTAGAGTGCTGGACTGGGACATGGGATATCTAGATTCAAATGCCCACGGGGACATGAACCTCACCAAGTAACCCTGGGCCAATAATCTCATTTTGATCTATCACATAGGGTCATTATGAAGATAAAGATGTGACAATGAGTCATGTATACCATCTGGAGCTCAGCAGGGAGAAAGCAGAACATATATGTCTATATCCCGTTGTAAAATTTATGGTTATGGGGCAAAATACAAACACTTCTATAAATAAATAAATAAATAAAATCTAGTGTGTTTGCTGCGAAATTGCTACAAATTTCCTTAGCAGAAAGCATGACAATTCACAACCGTGCTAAGAAAAAAGATTTGGTTGAGTACGTAGTGGGTGGGAAACAAACTCGTGAAGTCAGCTCTGTGGGGTGAATAGGTTAACGTCCAAATGAGAGATGCCACACCTCCAGCTTAAAACACTGCATCCCAAGGCATCTGCACTACATCCAGCCCCGTCTGCAGGAGGAAGGAGGTTAACAATAATTAATAAAGTGTGGAATCTAGTTACTATGCATCTAGAGTGCATAAGGAGAGACACTATCCTTAATCCACATGCCTTGACAGCACTGGCATAGAAAATCAATACTGCTGCTAAGCCCTGCTTACTCTTATTCCATGAGACATGCACTTCCAATCTATGAAGGCAGCTACAGTGGTACACATGAAAATGTATAGCTGATGGTCAATTACACAGAAGCACTGCTACTTCATTACATCGATGAAGATGGAAGGATACAGCTCAGTGAAAAGTTGCTTAGTTGAACTGAGCATTCTTAATCCTAAACAAATATACATAGGATCAGGCAATAAATGAAAACATTTTCTGCAAAAAAGTTACTTTGCACTATAAAACATGTTGAGTGACTAGAAGTTTATCAAAAATAGCCAGCAGATTGTTTTCTAATTACTTGTTCTAAAGTCAGTAATCAACTCTGCAGATGGCAAGCGTAACCTTAAAATAGATATTCCCTTCCTGTATGTTATCTTGGATTCAGTGGGAAGGAAAGACCTCTTCCAAGATGCTGCAAAAGAAATGCATGACACAACACCGCCAAACCAAAGGGGCCCTGTTCCTCTTAGTGCCTGGAATTATTTATTACAATTATTTGTTTTATTTATAGGCCGTCTTTCTCCCAATAAGGGGACCCAGGGTGGTTTACAATATTTAAAAGAATAGAAACAAAGACATACATTAACCATTACAAAACAATTGAAATATACACTAATTAAAACACAACTGATTAATTAAAAGTATGTAAACATGAAAATGTATTCTTGAAGGCTTTCACGGCCGGGATCCAATGGCTGATGTAGGTTTTTCGGGCTGTTTGGCCATGTTCTGGAGGTTTTTCTTCCTAACGTTTCTCCAGCCCCTTATCACAAGAATACACCCATAACAAAAAGCACCCTGATCACCATAATCACCCAATCTCCTGAAAAGGACAAAAATCTGATCCCACAGCTACAAATATCAACTATCCCATACATCATACCAGAACACAGACAGAGTTCTGACTCCTGTCCTCTGAAGATTGCCGGCCACAGAGACGGGCGAAACGTTAGGAAGAAAAACCTCCAGAACATGGCCAGACAGCCCGAAAAACCTACAACAACCAAACATGAAAATGCTCCATTAATCAGTTCACTTTCAATCTAATCTAAAAGGTGGCACAATAAAGATTTCTAAAGGTTACTTTTATGGTACAAAACGTATACTAAATGACAGTGGGACCCCTTTTGAGAGACACTCCCAAAGGAGAAAGCCTCTGACACAGCATCTGTCCTAGCAAATGTCATCTGAAGCAAACAAACATAGCATTGCGCTTTGTGGGAAATTCAACCAGCGGAATAACTTAGTGGTTCTCAAACTGCCCCCTTCTTCAGATCTTCTTGGGACTAAAACTCCCAAAAGCATTCACCATTCGCTGTGCTGGTGAGGATTTCTGGGAGTCGTAGTCCAAGAACATTAAGGAACCCAAATTTGAGAACCACTAGATTAACTGACCCATAAATTTGATTTGCCTTATAAGAATACGTCGCCTTCTGCCCTATAATCAGTCTAAAGGCCTTGAATCGTGCTAGAATACTATTCAGAAGGGCGTCCTTTCCCTTCGCCCTCCAGATTTATTTAATTCAAGAGTTTTGAGTCCAAACGGAGCAGTTTGCTCCGGGTAAGTGCGCGCAAGATTGCATATCTGGATCCTTACAATTAATCGACGTGGACCTGATAAACACAACAATCCAGGAGTGTCTCTTTCATGGGCATTCATTCAATGGGCTTATATTTCTAAGGAGACGGACCCAGGAATTTCTGAGTGCCAGAATCAGCCGCGCTGCCTTTCTTGCTTTTTCTTTTCTTCTCTACACTAACGTCCCCATAAGATTTCCCTCCATTATTACCTCCCCAATGCAAAGGCCCATAACTTCCTCCTTCTCGGTGCTCAGCGCGTGGTTCAGGCAGACCAAGAAGGCGTCCGCCTCCAGATGGGCCGCCTGCACCGCCATCCCGGCCCGTCGTCCGGAGGAGCCGCCGCAACGCTTACCGCCGAGCAGCGGAAAGGAAACGGAGAAAAAAACAAACCAAAAAGCCCTTTTTTTTTCCGCCCGACCTTTTCTCCGCCCCCAAAAGGAACACAGGCCTTCCGAGAGGGCCCTGCGTCTCCCGGACAACGGCGACTTCCGGTCCCTCCGGAAGGGCTCGGCCGGGCCCTGACGGCCGCGTTCTCGGGTTCCGCCGGTGACGCTGTGCCAGGTTGGTTCCGCCCCGGGGAGGGGCGGGGGAGCTGGGCAGTCGTGGCTGGGTACCTTCAGCCGTGGGGGGTGAGACCCCCATGGAGGAGAGGGTGGAGGGGGCCTCCTTAGACCCACCCACAGGGTTCGGGGGATCGCTCAGGCAGGGGGTGTGGCTGGCGAAGGGGAGAAGGGGGTTTCGCCTCCTCTCTGCGTAGCAGCTGGCGTTGTGGGTCTTCCCCCCACCCACCCCACAGCAGGGACGAAAACTTTGGGTATAACCGGGTCCTGACAAGGGGAAGGAGAATCCCCAGAACTGTACAATTGCATAACAGGCAGAAATTCAACTGGCAGAGCTTCTCCCCGCCCCCATATGTTAAGAAAGGTTGCACCTGTTGAGTCTCTGCCTGACGCCCCCTGATAAAGCTTCGTTCTGGGTTTTGGAGGGATGAGCTTGGCCAGAGCTGGCTACCCAAAGAGCAGCAAAGGACGGTGTGGGGGGTCAGGGAATGACACCCTCCATTAGGCTGCTGCTTGTGGGTCAGTCGGTACCTCGTTGCCCAAGTCTGGTCTCGATCCCTTGTGTGAGGCACAGAAACTCAACAAGTGTAGCTTTTTTTAGGAAAAACAGCAGTGGGAAAGGATTTCTCTGTTGAATTTCTGTTTTATCATGTATTTTTCCAGACACTGACAGCCCCACTGGAGACTCAGCTGGGATACTACCAGCTTTTGTCCTGGCTCTGATCATAGGTTGAAAGTGTGTCATTTTCTTCTGCTACTCCTATTGTGGTTTGCTTGATTTCGGTTGGACTTCTCTTCACCAAAAGTCCTCCCAAGTCCTTCGTCCTGATTTTACGCGGCTTGGAAATAGACTTGTTTCTAGGCCAGGAACGGCCTCCCGCCTCTCAGGCTTGTCAAAGGCTTAGAAACAAGGTCAAAACCGGTCTGCTGTGTAACTTTGTGCTTTCCAGGACAGGAGTGGAAATTCAGTCTGAATTCACTATGTAATTCAGAATGGCTTTTTGCAAGAAGGAAGGCAAAGCTTCCTTTCCTTTATTTTGTACCTTTCAGCAAGCAAGTGATTTGCAGCGACTTGTAACAGTCAACTGCTATATGAGGTCTACAAATTCTACACTGGGTAGCAGATTTTCAGAGTTTTTCAGCAATTGTCCACTATCCCAAACTGGATATTTATTTTTATTTGTTGCGAACAATATCTTCAACAGTATCTACCCCCTCAACCCTTTTTAAAATGTTATGAGTACCCCTTTGTATTTCTCCTTTTTTGCATGCCGGTGAATACTCTTAGGACCTCATAAATCATTTTTTTAGGTTGGAGTGGATGAAAAACATCAGCTGTCAAACTCTGAACCTTTGAACAGAGACTTCGAAAACAATTGCAATCATAGCTGCTTAAGCGGTTATCTTTGAACCCAAAAGTGCATCGTGGGAGACCTAATACTACTGGTCTCTGCCTTTTTTTCAACTTCAGCAGGATCAAACAGTTAAGTTGAAAAATAAAAACCTGGGGGAACAAGATGCCATCCTGTATGACTGTGTTGAAAGCCATTGAGATGAGAGGAATAATGCCACATTAGCCACCCTCTCTCTGTAGCTCATTTGTTGTACACAAAAATAATGTTTGCCAGACTTTTAAACCACATCCTCTATTTTGTAAATAATTTCAGAGACGATATTAAACAAATTTGCAGGGGATGTCACAGCAAATCAGGTTTTAGTGCTGTGCTTTGGGTTGGAAGGATAGAAGGCCTCTTAAGAAAGCTGAACCGCATCGTGAAGAAGAGAGGAGGAAAATGCAGTGCTGGCAAAGCTCCCTTCTGTTACTGGCCTGAGTCAAGCTCAAATACAGCCTCAAAGCAGAATGAGAGCATTATCGACTGGTAGAAGAGTTTTGTGCCAAGAAAAGATTTTGTCACTCTTCTTGGACAGGAATAAGTGTTGGGGTGGTAGGCTGGCTTAGTTGTATTTCAGTTGCAGGAGGATGTATGTGATAACTTCATGATTTGATTGCTCTTTATTGCTTGGAAGCATTAGGTAATCTCTTCCATCACATCAGCTTGCTGACTCTTACTTTGTCTGCTTTGAGCACCTTATAACACATGATATGTTTAGCAATTTAATCCCAAGTGTGGGGCTGGTGGAACCTTCCGATGTTGACTGTCTTCCTGCATTTTTCACAGCGACCCCATGACAAATGCAACACATTCTTTTCCTTTTAGGGAGTTGATGTCGAAGTGGTTAAACGTACGCCTTCCCCTTTCCTTTTTCTTATCTTTCTGTTCTCAGCATCTTGGCAAATGAACCTGATTTTGTCCTTTTAGCAGTTCAGAACATCCCTGCTTAATTCCCTGTTTAATTGTTTAAGAGGAAGGAAGTGTTGCTCCTGCTGTGCTTCAAAATGGCAAGGTATTTCTTGCTTCCTACGGTGTACCTTCCTTCATACATTTTGTAGCCCATCCTCTTACACTGCTGGAGAATGATTTTCTTGGTCCAAGCTGTGCTCAATATCTGTGCTTCTTTCAACCCTGGGTCCATGCAGAGCCAAAGTGCCCCCCCCCCAAATGTGAATCCTACCTGTACGCCATTTTATTCCCATCTGTTTCCTTTGTATCTCATTCTCACTTTTTGTGTTGGAAAGAACTGAGCTAAACAAACGTGTTTTCCCCAGACAAAGGAATTGAGCCATCTTGTCACCAAGTACCATATTTTTCCATGTATAAGATGTCCCCATGTATACGATGCCCCCACTTTCTAACCCAAAATTAAGAAATCTAAGTGGGGCTTAGCAAAAGGAGGGGGAAAGGGATCAAAGCAATCCTGCAAGTGCAGGATCATTTTGATCTCTTTTCCCCTTATACAGCCACGGGATTGCTTTGATTCTTTCCACCCTCTTTTTGTTAAGCCCCATGGGACTTAGCAAGCAGAGGGGAAAGCAGGGATCAAAGCAATCCTGCAGCACTTTGATCCCTGCTTTCCTTTTGCTAAGGATTAGCAAGTGGAAGGGAAAGCAGAGATCAAAGCCTTGCAGGATCACTTTGATCCTTGCTTTCCCCTCCACTTGTTTTTGTTCTCACCTTAGATTACGACCCTCAATTTTTAGTCTAAAAATTTTAAGACAATAGTCTTATATACAGAAAAATATGGGTATGTTGTGACAGACCAGATAGGACTGGTCTTTCTTTCCAAAAGAACGTCTGTCTTTTTGGCTGGTGACGACCCCTCCACCGTTCCTCTGCAGCTAGGGAAAAGACAGAAAAGAATGCCATGTTAGTTTGAAGGCAGGGGGTTGAGCCAGTTTGCAAAGGCACGCTGGCTGACCCAAGGGATGTTGCAGCCCGAGGTGAAATAGCTCCTGCTGTATTGTGACCACTGAGGAAGAAAATCCTACAGGCTCTCTTTCCCTACCTGGCAGTGAAAATACGATCATAAGAAACAGGGAAACAAAAAAAAAGGCCAAGAAGGCACTCTGTTAGATGAGGCGGGCACCCTTCAGTGGGCTAACTGCAAGTCACCTGCAAGCCAGAATGCATCCCTGGGCTGCCAATTGCCAGCAGCTGTACAATTCACTTTCTCTGAGTTTGGCTTTCAGCTTGGCCCATGGCAAGGTCTTGGCGAACTTGGGCAGTTTAAAATGGGCCATATCAAGGCTCAGGCGCATTTGCCATCTCCATAGACTGCAAGATGCCTCCCAAAAAGGGGGGGGGGCTGTTTCCAGTGGAGGTCCTCATGAAGCTCCTGCAGCAGATCTCCCTTCCTGAAACCTGCCCCTCCCTGCTTGCAGGTGTAACCTTTTCCTTTTGAGTGTTGTATTGTTTTTTTCCCCCCAATGCGCTTGTACAATACAGCTGAATTGCATTCCTGCTCTCCTTTCATGCCCAGCCCTGGTTCTAACAGCTCCTTCCTTGTCTTTATTCAGAGGCAAGGGGGATAAGGTGTAGGATGGGAACCAAGGGAGGACCTTCTTAGCCACTTAAGTGGGCATGGCGGACGGAGAAGAGAGTGGCGATGCCCGAGTCCCCCCCGTCCGCCTTTGGGTGCGACGGACAGGCGTCTATTGCGATGAAAACCAGAAAACATGGCTGGTAGCATCCGAAGAGGCAAGTAAGAGAATACTCCGAGCCCTTTCTGTTTGAGTCACTTTAAGGCTTTGATTTTAAGCCGTTGAATCCGCCCGCTCACTTTCTCCGTTGCTTCTTTTGTTCCCGTCTGCTCCTCCAGGTAGCAGGGACCCTGAAGGCTCGGATCAGAAGAGTCCAGGTGCCCCTGGGAGAGGCGGTCCGCCCCAGCCGCCTCCCAGCCTCCCGGCTGCCCCACATGTGGCAGCTTTCAGTGGGGCAGCAGTACAGGGATAGTAACTCCCGCATCTGGGACATTGAACATCATTTAATGGTAGGTGGAGAAGACGGCACATGCTCTGCTGGGAGCTGTTCAAAAGCTGGTGGGAGTGATCCAGCATTTTCATGGCTTTTGCTGAATACTTGGCTTCTCTCTCTTTCTCTTTTCTCTCGTAGATCATGGGAGTGGAGGAACTGCTCCTGAAACTCTTGGCAAGTAATTAAATCTGGTGAGTATTGTTCCCACGCCATGCTCATGCCCTTCTTCGTGCTTGCGCTCAACACAGTGGTTCTTTAATGCCATTTGTTTTGTTTTTCAGGAGCTGTTACTCCAGGATGATGTCCCCGTTTGTTTTTTCATGGGGTAACTCCCGGCACTACCATACAGCTGCCCTTATGGCGAAGCGGGGCAGGCCGCTCTCTTAACTGCCTGTACAAGTGCCCACTCAAGATCTTTAGGAAAGTCAGTCAAGAAGAGTTACCATGGCCTAGTTGAAGCCACAAGGGGGCATTTTAGGTAGGCAGAACGGGACTCCCCATGCCCCCCCACTTGCCCCCTTGGAAAATGGGTCAGGATACCCACGTTACTAGATGTGGGGGATCTAGAACGAGAAATTGCAGTCCTCATAAGACCCTCCTGGCATAGGCTCCCAGAGGCATTTGGGGGTTTGCTGCCAGGAACAGAATGCTGGATTAAATGAAACCTTGGTCTGGTCCAGACGATAGATCAGATAGGATTAAATCAGATTCAGAGGGGAAGATGGACTCCCTACAGTTAAGCTGTTTTTTCCTCTCGTAACAAGATTTCCTTGGAGATTAGGCCTGGGGGCTTACATGGCAGTGGGAAATTCCATAGTTTAGTGAACTGAGTGGAAGATAGAGCAATTAGCAAAATCAGGTGCTGTGACAGACTGAGGTCTTCCACCGCTTTGCAAAGGAAGGATGTACGATTAAGATATATAGTTTGACAAATAGTCTTCCTGAGTAATGCAGTATGCTATACAGTTATAAATACAATATATGCCTTGCCTTACAAAGTGCCGCACTTTCCAAGGGCTGTGGACAGTACCAGTTTGGCTTGTTGACCTTTTGCAGCATTGCCAGGGGTTAACATCCCTTCTTGTTATACAAAGCACTCAAAGGGGAATGCACTCTAATCCCAACAAGCAATTATCAAAGATTTCCTTGGTAATCTGTTTTTCAGTGTTTTTCTATCAGACACACGCCACTATCCACTGTTTGCTGTTTGTATATTGATTGTTTCACAACATATCTCTCTGTCTTCTCAGTCATGCTCCCTACAAGCTGCTACTCCTTTGACAGATGCAAAACCCCTTGAATTTGGATCTTTGATGAGCTAGAAGTGCAGAGAGATGGGTTTAAATGGGGAAAGATGTCAAAGAAGCTCTTGTGTTACTCTAATGGTCATTCAAGAATGGGTTGTTTGGGAAGCAAAAGAGAAAGCTAGGGGAAGCTAACTAGAGGGACAAGCACATCAAACCTAAACACAAAACTAACTTGTGTCCCATTACTGTACTTGGTATCATGTTTAGGTAACAACACATTACTTTCATTCATTACAATGAAAAGAGAATAACTTGTTGCATTGGTTGTTGAATTGTTTTACTTTTCTGTTACTTTCTTTTGTTTAAACAACACACTTTATGCTTGGTCAGAGAATGATGGAATGTTGGAAAATTTCTGTCTCAATGCTTCTTAAAATACCTTTCAAAGTATATTTTAAAGTAACTAGACATGGACCAGAATCTTCTTGTTTAACATAGTAAATTGCACTAAAATAGGTCCATTGACTCAGTGGAGGTGTAGTGAGTCAACCTAATTGATCCAGATGGGCTTACTCTAACTTTGTCTTTAACACAGTAGTTTGCAGTTAGAGTAGGCTTATTTGAATCAAGGGAATTTATGGAAGACTTGACTCACTAAATCCCCATTGATTCAGTGGGCCTACTCTAGTGCAATTGATGTGCTAGGCAACAGGATTTTGGCCAATGTCACTTGCTTCGCTAATGAAGTAACTTAGTTCCCATTCATCGTGCTACTTTTGAAATGTAACTTCATTATGCTCTTGTTACCTGGAACCCTCACTTGTTACAGGCAACTGCATTGCTTGAAATTTTCTACTTCTAAATGCTGTGTGTTTTTCAACACAGTAAGATACCTGACTCAACAAGCCAGGAAGCATCTCTTGCGTTACATGCTGGGTATCTTTTTCCTACCTTTCTTCTGTTGAATTCAAGTTGGTGTATGTGGCTCTCCTCGCCGTTTATACTCACAGCAATCCTGCGAGGTAGATCAGACTTAGAGGGATTAATGCTACCCAGTTTATTGCTTGGCTCAGTGAATGCAGGAACCTTGATGTCCTTATTCGCAGTCCACCCCTTTTATCCCTGCACTGTTTTGGTGATCTGTACCATCTCAATTCGGTGGGCAGGGTGTATTCAAGTGGCTCTGTGGCTGTGACGGGGGGGGGGAAGATGAGCAGCTGGAGAAGATCCTCTCCCTTCTGGGCAACAGACGTAGACTGTAGCTGGTGAAGAAGGGAGAGCTATGAGGTTTCCTTCCAAAGCAAGAAGATGACAAAGCTGCTTTGGGGTTTTAGGAGAGGTTTACACAAGACAACCTTTGGCCAGCCAGATGTTTTGCTCTGCAACTCCCATCAGTCCTACCCTGTATGGGAAAAAGTATTGCGGGAGTTGTAAGGCAAAACATTCAGGAGACAGACAGAGGCTTCCCCCATTCTTTAAACAATGTCTTACCAATTTGCCTCTCCCTGACCTTTACCAACGTACAGTAATATTTTCTTTTTCTTTTAGTTCCGTGGCCATGGCTAAGAAGGATCCCTGCCAGAAATATGCCTGTGAAATCCAGAAATGCTTACAGGGTATGTCATTTTTGTTTCTTGAGTCTCTCCACTTCACTTTGCTTAGTTATAATTATGTGCTATCAAGTCAATTCTGACTTATGGCAACCTTTTCCAGGGTTTTTTTAGGTAAAGAGATCATTCCTTTCTTCTGGGGGCATCCTAGGACCGTGCAGCTGGCCCAAGGCACACAAGCTGGCTCCGCTCACAGGAGGCACAGTGGGGAATCGAACCCCAAGCCTCTGGCTCCACAATCAGATACCTAATTCGCTGAGTTATTACTTTGTTTATGAGACATATTTCTGCTTGTTTCCTGGGCAGGAATGACATGTTGCAGATAATCCACAGTAAGCTTTTTACTGTGATCTTTTCTCATTGCTTGTTGCTTCTAAGCATAGATTTCGGAGCTGTCTTCTGCAGAGAAAGCCTGTGGTTGCCTTCCGAACATCAGTCTCTCCCTGCAAGCCATTTTCTGTTTCCATGGAGAGAAGGCAGGGTGTGATAGTTGATGTAACAGGAGGGAATGTGTGCCCCTCTGTGGCCTTTTCAAATGTATGATTTTGTAACATTCCTGAAATTAATGAGCCTTGCTCCCAAGCTAAAAATGGCAGGCTGGCCTTCTGTTCACACAAGCCCTAAGAACTCACCCTGTTCGCTCTGAATTAGTGGGAAGAGTAATTTTTGCCGCTGTTCCCACACCGCTCTTTCTCTGGGGAACTCATTGTAAGCTTTGCAGTGCCCTGCAGGGGGACAATTGTCTGGGAACTGCCTGACGCGCTACTCTGTGTGCGCATGGAACTGATGCAGCTTTCTGAAAGACCAACTGGGAGAATGGAAACAGTCCTGTTGTTACTGTCCTGCTGTTTCTGCTACACAAGTTGTCATTCTTTGCCGGTGGAAAAGACAGTGAAAGGGCTTCCTCCTCCTAAACCTCAGGCAGACAAGATTTAGCAGATCTACTCATAATAACTATGTGCTGTCAAGTCAATTCAGACTTTCCAGGGTTTTCCAGGTAGAAAGTACTCAGAAGTGGTTCCCCATTCCCTTCTTTTGGGGCTACCGTGGAACTGGGCAGCTTGCCCAAGGCCACCCAGGCATGGCTCTTCTCTTGGGACACACAGCAAGGAATTTAACTCCCACCCACTGGCTCCACAGCCAGATACCTAACTCACTGAGCTATCCATTAGTTTTTTATTTTATTAAAAAAAAATCCTCAGGCAACTCCAGTTACATGTTTCTCAAAAACACCTCACTCACCTTGCTTGTCTTCCTTATTTAGTCAGTGTAGCGATTAAATTTATAACTGGGCTCACCTCCGGTGAACTCAGCGTGTACACGGCCATCGCTACTTCCCTCTTTATTTTCACAACGAGAGCGCTTGGCCTTTCAAGAAGCGTCGTGGCCTCCTGCGCTCAGTGGCCTAACATCTATAGCACACACCGGCCACGAGGCAGTTTAATCTCCCACCGATGACTGTCCTTTGCAGACTGCTGCTGCTTATTTTGAGGATCGACTTTTATTATCGTGATGCGCGTGTGAATATAGCAAAAAATACAAAAAATTGGCCATAGGAGCGCAGCCCAAGGAAAGCGTACAGTTGAATTGTAGCCGTCAATACAGAAACTATCATAAGCTTTGCTGTCAAAATTTGCTCCACTGACTTTTTCCCCTTCCCTTCCCTCTAGCAAACAAATACATTGAATCTAAATGTGAAGCCGTCTTTCAGGAGATGAGAAGATGCTGTGCCCGGTATCCTAAGGGGATCTCTGTTGTTTGCTCAGGGTTTGAGTCGGAGGCGAAAGAGAAAACGAACCAGATGTCCACTTCTGCTACTTTTTGCGCCCCACAACCATCCCTGAGGAAGCACTTGTCTCTTGGGGAGCGCCTGCATTTCCTGCAGACGATCTAGCTGCGCTGTACCTCCTCTGCACTGTTCGTGGCAGAGAGCTTTCTACAACAATGCAAGCAAGATCCTCTGCCACAAATCAACAGGGGCCAGAAATCAACAACCCAGCTGCTAAGAGTAGACCCACTAACAATATTACCATTAAAACCTGCCACTGCTGTAGCCTTACTGTCGATTAATGTGGAAATAGAATAACTCAGTGTGTTGACGTTCAGCTGTCATCTGAAATCTGTTGTCAAGGTGGCAGCACCCTGCAGCAAGGTGATACCCCCAAGCCGCCTTTTGCTGGATGTTCTACGTTTCAGACAATCTTGTTAGATGTCATATGTAGATTATTAGTCCATTCAACTGCAGGAACTTTATTCCGAGCAAGTCAGCGCTCCCAGTCTGTTCAGAAGCCGTCCTTTCCCTCTTGCCTTTTGCTGTGCAGAGATAACATGTCAGCAACAAAAGCCTTGGAACTCAGGCTGCTTCTTTTCAGCTGGGTAATAATCGGGCTACCTGTGTGCCTCAGTTTCCTCATCTGCAACTGGACAAACCACCTCTTTTTTGGATGGTAGATTTAGTAGCACTCAAGTTCATTTGCACAATACTGATTTATGTGAATGCTGTTTTGGAAGCAGCCAGTTTTCAGGGATCGTTAATAGTGTGAGTTGTGACCTCTGCCTCACCTTTGTAAAAGCAATAGTCACTTTATGAAAAGTCAGAGTGGTAAAAGAGGTACCCTTTAGAAAATCCCAAACTGTGCAATGTTATGTGAACAAAGCCCATTTTAATGAAAATGGAATTGGAATGTGGTTGTGGTGTTTCTTTTCTTCTTCAGTTTAGAACCTCCGGAATATATACTGTATACCCCAGGGGATTTTTGAGCCTCCTTTACTACTCTTGTGTTCAATCTAGTACCTCGTCAGTGTTCAAGTAATTTCAAGGCCACTGCAGTGTTCTGTGTGCATCATTGGCAGACATCACCAAAGCAAGTGGAATAGTGTACATTGAGTCTACGTAAATGCCATGCTGCAAAAATAAATACATGATTCTGAACAAATTTTCAAAACTGTCATGTATGGTGATTGGGATTTTAAGAAAGGTTCGTATCTGCTTAGCCTTGCCTTTCTTGGAGTGTACAGTAGTTTTATTCCTACTTATGGGCTGAAATCCAGTTAGGTTGCAACTGGAGTACGCTTGCTGAATCACTGGAAATTTTTGTGAGTTGACTTTGTAAGTTCCATTGGTTCAGTGGGCCTTCTCTGGTTGCGACTTACTGCTGGATTATAGTCACTGTCCAAATAAATGTTAGTAGGATTGTGCTAGACTTACTTTGCAATGAGCTTTCTGCAGGGAGAGGAATGTGTTCTACAAAGCCATTCTAGCACCCATAACCCTCCTACCACCACCACAAAAAACCCAAACACTTTTGAAGTGAAAAAAGGAATTTGTTCCTTCTGGAAACCCCTTAAGACAAGTTCTTATTTTAAACAAGGTACAGTTGTTTAAAATAATTTTAAAACACTATACAAAACCAGACTTCTGGTTTCATTTCCATCCCTCACCTTTAGGATGCAGTGACCCTCAAGTTCCGACAGTAGAAATACAGCCCCTGGACCTTCTTAACTCCTTGCTGTAGATAGCCACAAATCTGTATCACAGCAAGCAAGACTGGGCTATGAAATCTCCCTAGTTCAAAAGTGGTCTCGGCTATACATATCTGGAGCAAACCAATCAACTCCCCCACACGTAATTTATTTTTAATTCCAGCTTTTGTCCAAGAAGGAAGTATACATGGTCAGTATGGTTCCAGAAATCGGGATGGAGGTACAAGCTCAGTGGTAGAACCTGTTTTTATACCGAAGCTGCCAGGTTCTCTCCCTGGCATCTCCTTTATCTTATCCTGACAGTTCCAGCTTGAAATCCTAGAGAGCTGCTGGTAATCGGCATTGACAGCAATGAGCGAGATGGATCAGCTCTGTTTTGAGGTGGGGGGGTTTCAGCAAATGGACTGTATGCAGAAAGTCCCAGAATCAAGCCTGTTTAAAACATGGTCAGCAAGGACGCCTGCTTTAATCACTGGAAAGCCACTGCTTAGTGGGCTTGAAGGATCAGTTTGAATGGAGTTGCTTTGCATATTTAGGTAAAATATCTTGGACTGAGGGAGTGGGTTAATGCTAACACAAAAACATGTTAAATTTCTTATTTGGAGGTTCTTCATCGTGGCCTCTGCCCTCTCCACTCACTGGTGAGGAATTCTGAGAGATGGAGCCCAGCCTCTACTGTAGATAATTTTAAGAGTAAACAAACACACATGACACAACTTGGCAAAAACTGTTTATTTTGAATTCTCACTTCACACATTTAAATACCATATAAAAACCGCTGTACAATCTTTGTTTCTTTAGGTCCAGGTGTGGATGGTTGCGGAGTTCTGAATTTGTTTCTGCAACCACCAGTGCAATTAAACTTAGCCTTCACTTCTCACTCAGGTCACCAACATCCCCAATGAAAACACTCAACAAAGTGAAATCCTTTTTACTGCAGTAATCTCTACTTCTGGCCCAGAAGTCTAAACCCTTCCCTGCCTTTTTGGTTTCCAAATGAGATCAGCTTATTCTAGCCTTGATCTCCACTTCCTAAGTACACTACTTTAGGGATTTCTTGCTGCATCATCAAACTTAAGATTGTCAGTCCACTTGATAAATCATATTATCAAAACAGAGCTAAAACCACAACGCAGTAGCCACCTGCTTGCTCCACAATGCAGCTACGCAAGGAAACAGGAGTAAAAACAATTTATCCTTGCCCACCAGCAGGCTTACGACACAGGACTATGAGGTCACCTGAGCTGGGGTAAAGAGAATGGGACATTTTACCCAGCAAAGTTTGGCAAAGGGGAACTCTTGCAGCACATGGTTACCTTCCAAGCGTTTTCTCAGGAACAATGAGACTTTTTAATAGCCCCAAAGCTTTCAGCGCCTTAATGAATCTGCAAGCCTGAAGCAACAGATCCCACAATCTGCTCTTGCCACACCTGACTCTACAAGGGGCCTGTTTTGTTTCAGAGAGATAAAACCAGGAACCCTATTTATGATGATTAAAGCAACCACTCCCATTATTTGGGAGAGCCGCACCCTAGTGGTTGACCACATGCCATTCAACCCCTGCCATCTCCACTCAAAAGGTGCTAGACTAAAACAGGTGCCAATTGCTACTATTCAAAACCAAAGAAAGCCTCTATCAGCCTACCAGACCCACAGCCTGGATGGACAAGAGGCTCAGCACCAGTTTCACTCCTCCTCCAGTCCTGTTAGCCACTGATATGAATGAAATTCTCCCCAGCACAGCTAACAGCAATGAACAAAATCACTAAAGACAACACTGGCAGCACAGGAATTGATGGCACAGCAAACATGTTTTAGTAGCATGGCAGGGGTTCGTTCACTCTTCAGCAGTGAACGAACTGCTGGTTTCTACGGAAGTTGAGTATAACTCAATTGGGGCTAGAACAATTTTTGAGTGCCAATGGCAGTTATGGCTAGGGATGATGGAAGGTGTAGCATAACATGCTCAGAAGGCTCCAGATCCTGGACAAAGAAGATGCTTTCTTGCTGCTTTCCGGTCCCCAGCTGGCACAAACCAAAGACAAAGCAGTATCTGGTCTTTACCAGAAAAGCTAGGAACATTTTGTCCAGTGTCTTTGCTGTCAGTGACCTAAACTGGGCTTCAACCGGCATCTACGCTTTCCCCACATTTCAATTATTTGATCTGATTGAAAACCAAGACCAAGCTACTAAACATTTTTAGAATCAGCAGGCTAGCAGGTTCCTCCTCCTGTTGTACAATGAAAAGGACCTCTTCGTCATCTTTGATTTCCTTACTGAGGTCTTCACCTTTGATAGCATTGTAGGAAACATGGGCTCCCTGATCCCCAATATAAATGACAGCTGGGTAGTTTCCGGCCAGTAGTGATGCCATCAACCACTACATGCAGATCAAGAGAGTCAGCAAGGAGAAGGGCAAAATTATCAAGTGGTCTGACTTAACTCTGGACCAAAAAGAAGACACTGGATGTGAGACAGATGCTGGAGAAGCTGCCTGGCAATTGGAGATGTCCATTAACATCCATATCAGGACTCTGAAGAAGGTGAGCCTCTTCCATGGTTCTGAGGCTGGGGTTTCTTGATGAAACTGGCGTTCAAGTTGTGCCTCCAGGTCTTTTAACCCTGGTGAGTACATCTGCTGGAAGGGGAACACTGACAAGCAGATATATCTAATCAAGGAGGGGAAATTGGCTGTGGTAGTAGATGACGGTGTGATTCAGTATGACTTGCCGATAGTGGGCTGCTTGTTTGGAATGATCAGCATCCTTAACGTCCAAGGGAGCAAGATGGGGAAGAGGTGGACAGCCAGCATCAAGAGCATCAACTTCTCAGACCAATCTTACCTGCTGAAGAAGGACCTTGTGGAAGCAGTAGCAGAGTGTCCACAGGATAATGGATCCTAATCAAGAAAGGGGTGCTGGATGTAGCAGCAGCTGAAGGCACAGAGGACATGAGTGTGGGCCAGACGTTGGACTAGTTAGACAGCAGCCATGCCTTTCTCTTGTCTTCTAGTTAGATATGTTCATGCCCAGATGAAGCTCAAGCACTGTCTCTCCTCCTTGAAGACAGATAAAGCACGACCAGCAGGAAGAGATTTTCTCCATCCGTCCCACAAAGGGAAAACCAAATCCTGAGGTGCCACACTCAAGATCAGCTTCCTCATTCTGCCTCCTCGGAAACCCTTCTGCAGCCCATCCCTCTCCAATGATGGCTGTTCCTCTCAGGTTGGCGCTTGTAACAGCTGTCACCGAGGTTCCTACCTCCTCTTCCCATCTTCACTGAAGAATTGGGGTGGGCAGCAGCTAGCACTGCACCCAGTGTTTCCTCTGCACTATGACAAGAGGCTGAGGCTCCCCAGTTCTTAACTTTAGTTGTGTGCTGCTTCTTCCCTGCTCCTCTCCAGACAGCTCAAAGAGAACTGCACAGGAGATGCACATTTGGGACATTCCCATCAAAGGGTAGAAAACTTAGGTAACTATATGCTGGCTAAGATCTCCCAGCATAAGAGCCAAAAAAATTCATCTTGAAACATCACTAAAGTGCAGGCGTCAATTGTTCCGATTTTTTCAACTTTGCCACACCTTTTTTGGCAGGTGAGGACAACAAAGAATCCGAGGCAGTTGTCAGAGTTTCCACAGGTCCCCCCCCCCCAGCTCAGTGATTCAAGGAAGAGGTATAAATAACAGCTTGATGATGCCAAGAGTATCTGTTTTAACTCCCACTTTGCTCAGAGGCACCCACACAGCCTGCTCAAGAACGAGCCAATGCAAGACACCAGTTATTTCAGGACAGGCCCGGGCACACCCTACCCTTTCCAGCCAAGTCTGTGTGCCCTTTTCAGCTACAGGCACAAGCTGCATGCCTTCCACTCGAGGACAAATACAAAGAAGAGTGTACCTATTAAGAGAAGGGAGTGCTATGGGTATAAACTGGTTTTTGTATGTCATCCTACTGGAAAAGAAAAACTGGGGAACGGGAATTCTTAAAAAAAACTTATATCTTGGGATAGTGCACAGTTTGACAACAGGTGGCCTTTAGCCTAATCCTATCTCACCCAAGCCAATCAAATCAAAAGGGGAAAAGCAAAAGGAGCTACTGGTAGTGTTTCTGGAAGCCATGATGCATGTAGAAGAAAGAAGAAAAAGTTGGGGGAGAGAATGTTTCTGCGGGCAGGTCAGTCAATAACTGAGAAGACAATGGCCATTAACAGCAGCATAGGGAAGGGCTGAGTGACCAGATCTGGGTGGATCCTAAGAGGCCATGCCGAGCAGAAATCCTCCAACAAATCCACCAGTCAGGACAACGTTCTTCTTCAGGAAGCAGATAACCTACACAGAGGAAAGAAAGGTTTAAACTGTCCATGCTAGTTGTTCTCTTAAAGCGACTGCAAAAGATTCCAAATCCAGCACTTATAGTACAGTGGTGCCCCGCATAGCGACGATAATCCGTGCAGCAAAAATCGCTGCAAAGCGATTTCGTCGCTATGCGGAAATAAAAAGCCCATAGGAATGCATTAAAACCCATTTAATGCGTTCCTATGGGCAAAAAACTCACCTTTAAGCGAAAATCCTCCATACGGTGGCCATTTTCGCTGCCCAGTAAGCGAGGAATCTGCGGGCAGGTCAGTCAATAACTGAGAAGACAATGGCCATTAACAGCAGCATAGGGAAGGGCTGAGTGACCAGATCTGGGTGGATCCTAAGAGGCCATGCCGAGCAGAAATCCTCCAACAAATCCACCAGTCAGGACAACGTTCTTCTTCAGGAAGCAGATAACCTACACAAAGAAAAGAAAGGTTTAAACTGTCCAAGCTAGTTGTTCTCTTGAAACAACCGCAAAAGCTTCCAAACCCAGCATTTCTTCGGGAAAAAGCAAAATCGTGTTCCAAGTAAACATATTGTTTCCTGGATATTTTCCTATCTAAACCATTGCAATGCGATCGCAAAAATGATCGCAAAAAATTCATCGCTATGCGGATTCGTCGTTAAATGAGGCACCCGTTAAGCGAGGCACCACCGTATTTCGGGAAAAAGCAAAATTAAGTAAACATATTGTTTCTTGAAAACTTAGATCAGCTGATGCCAAACAAATATGATGAACACCAGCATTGAGCAAGACTGAAAAGCTTCCTCCGGGAAGACTGAAAGACCCACTGAACTTGCATGGTATCTAATCCATTTGCTCAACCAACCTATGAAAGATATGTGGGGAAAGTGGACTAAAGAGCACAGAAGTGAGTGAGCAGCATACTCCTTACAGAAAAAAAATACTGCAGTTGTTTAGTCTAGGAATGTGCCAAACACAGAGCACCCCTACCCCTACAAAAACCTGGAGCCAGTTCTCTACCATTCACAAGTTCTGAAATTTATGTGCTTACTACTCCAGTCCCTGTCAATCATCTTCACCCTCTTCCCATCCTATTAGTTCAGTTTAACCTGTCCAGGAAGGAGGTGCCAATGAACTCCTGTCTGACTCCAGTACGGGAAGAAACAGAGTTCTTGCGTTGTCACCCCTTTCTGTTCTGTCCCCTGAGACAACAGACTCAGTACATCTCATGCTAGAGCCAGTCCTGATACTTGCCGAGCCCCCCCGACCCATCTTGTCCGTCCTCTTCCCACCCTGCCTTCATTTTATGCTTCACCATCCTTCCTCCATCTACTACCCAAATGTCACCAGAAACTTGCTCCCAGCCAAGGCTCTGCAATCCAACCCAACAGTCTCACCTCATCTACTCGGGTCTTCACTTCTGGCGATAGCTGGCTGGTTTTGCCGCTGTGAAATTTCAGTTGCTCTTTGGCTTTGCTCACATCCCGCTCAACCATCTGCCAGTCGATTTTGATGTACCCAGTGTGATTTGCGATCTGGAGTAGGAAAAGACTTCCTGAAGCAGAACATTTTGCATGCTTTGGCAGAGTCCAGAGTTTCTTGCTAACCTGCTTGCTTTTCTACACCACCACAGTGGGGCCCCAGGCGTACCACCTTTCAGTGAATTACACATATTGTACAGCGAGGATGGCAAACACCTCCCAGAATAAAGATCAAAATCAGTTTCACTAGGGAAGCTGCGTTCCAGGGGTGGGTGGGGCCAAAACAGTGGGGCCAAAAAATCCTAGCCTGTTTTATCTTAATGCTTTTACTTCCAGTAACCAAACTTTAGGAAAGGCATTTCAAAACAGAGAAAACTGTACAACAGCTGGGATGGAACAAATGCTGGTATCGTGGGGAAGTGTGGGTGGCCTTCTACAGAATTCCTTAAGGGCCAGACCGGGACCTCAGGAGGGCCAAATTCAGCCCGAGGGTCTCTTCACTGTTTGGATTTGAGGACTGAGCAGCAATCTGGGCCTTCGCTCCGATAGCATGCAGAAATATCTTGCTCTCTATCAGTAAGTGTGGTAACCTCATAGAGCAAATGAGGACTGAAGGGTTTTGATACTCACAGATATCCTACAGTGGACTTTGGGAAAATGTCAGGAACAAACAAATGTTACCAGTGCCAATACCTAGCAAGACTTGGCAGGAGCCTGCAGAGCCGAGTCAGGCCCTAACCCAATAGCCCTAGCCATGCATTACCTATCCATTTATAGTCCCATATGACAAGTAGTGAATGTTCTAGTCCTGCCCCTTCCCCGTATTCCAGTGCTGTTGCTCTTCTACATGTGGAGGGCAATGAATCTGATGAGGAGATCCTTTGCTATCCATAGGGGCTCTCCGTGTGAGGCAGGACCTTGATTTTACAGCGGAAGCTCTCCCCCTTCAGAGGCATCATTCCTCATGCACAGGACAGCAGGGAAAACGAAAACAGAAGGTAGAGCATTTCCTTCTATACGTGGTGACCATCAAAAGAGGCATAAAGCCAGGCTAGGGCTAGCACATGGTCATTTCATAGGGATGTGGTGCTGAAGATCAGAAAACAGCAATGAGAAGCACATGCCAGATGTTTCTAGGGCAATCACACCTACCATTCCTAGTCACTGGCCATGCTGACTGTGGCTGATAGGAACTGAAATCCAACAACATATATATTTTAATTTATATATATTTTAATTGTATTTTAATTGTTACATATCTTTATTGTATTTAAAATGCTGTAAGCCGCCCAGAGACCTTTGGGTAGTGTGGGCGGCATATAAATTAAATAAATAAACATCTAGAAGACCATAGAATCTTCAGCTTCGTTCTTTAGAAGAAATGCATTTCAAGAGCTAACAGCATGGCACAAGAGCCAACAATATATAGCTGAAACCACTATTAACTTCATTCTGACACTCTGCACTCTTAGGGTGTGATTTTAAAAACTCATTGAGTCTTCCAGCCCAACTCTCCCACACAAGCAGCGAGGATCTGAATGGGGATGGTTGCTCGTGGCCCCTCATCCAAAAAAAATACGACTACAGACACTTTGCTGAAGTTCGACAGCCGAGAGGCCCAGCTCTCAAGCCCCTGAAAGGAGGCAGTTACCAACCTGAAGCAGAAAGAAGCCACCTCCTACTGCAGTTGCTGCCAGTTTCCCAACCTTCTGGAAGATGAACCCTGTGCACCTGGAAATCAAAACAGGGAACATGCAGGAAAAATACTGCAGAAAAGCCCCCACGGTTGTCTGCAGGAAGGGAAAGGGCAGTGTGAAGCACCGGGATGGTGGCATTCCATGGGTTTATTTGATGGGTCAATGTCCCACTTGCCCTCCAACACAAACACAGCTCGTGGGTGCTATTTCCTCACCATCCTGTGACGCCTCCGATGGCCAGCTGGGTTGCGACGTTGTACTTTTCTGCACTGGATCCGGAGTTGGGCTTGAAAAGCTTGCGCCACCACGGCCGGTTCTTTGTGTACTCGGCTAGATCCAGCACATCATCACTGAGCTGCTTTCCTGGAAATTGAGGTGGAATGGATGAGCAAAGAGGAAAAGAAAGCTAAACTGTTCTCCCATTAAGCACCCAACAACTCCACAATTTTGGCCTATGTCAGTTACAGTTTATGTCTGGAGTTTAAACAGCAGCAGACCCCCAAAAAGGTGGAAGAAAAAAGAGCATCCACAAGAATCTTATACTTGCCAGCGGTGTGTGTGACACCTTAGTGTTATTGAGTCTTCATAACTTAGAAGAGCCTTCCTTGACTGTAATGACAGAAATGATCACATATGGAATCTTAAATGCCCAACCTATCCTTTTCTTTAACTTGGTCTCTAATCTGGTTTTAACAAGATTCTCATCAGACCCAATCAATAAGACCAATGGTCAGAAATTGTAAGAGTTGCAGTCTAAAATATCTGGAGGGCATGAAGTAGGAGAAAGCTGCTTTACTGTGGCAGTTGAATGCTTCTGTATTCATTTCACTCTTTGAACTGCTTCGGGTTATATTTTCCACTAAGAAACATGAAGACATCTTATGCCAAATTGTCTTTTACCAAATCAGATCAATGATCTACCAAGGCCAGCACCTTCCACTCGTCTGGAGAGCAGGTATCGAAGATCCCAGTTAGAGGTTATCCCCAGCCTGAGTCTGACAATCAGAATTAATATCCATCATCGCTGTTCAAGGACTGCAGGTTCTTTGCATCTTTGCTGAAGGAAATTTGTGTGCACCAAAGGATTGTATGTGTTCCTCCCCTGGCTAGTGATGGATGTACATTGCTGTTGTTTTTGTTTGCTGGGGGGGTAGAGTCTCCCTGCTTTCCAGTGGTTTTGCTAGAGGTCATATGACACCACCATATTTCTGAGTCACATGACACAATTTTCCAACCTAGGATTTTGTCTGGTTGTGACTCTACATGGCTTGAAACCTGTAGTCATTCATGTGGATGTCTATGCCTCCCCCATCCCCAAGTTTATTACCATCTAATCTGATGAAGAATTCTATAGAGCACAAAAATTTACATAGCTTGGCAGTTATAGTTTATCCTAATTAGGTCATTATCTACCTTGTGGTTTGGAGCTTGGAATTTTATTTTATTTTAACACCTGTGGACTGTATCAATTCTTTTCTGGATGTTTACAGCCCTGTCATCAAAGACATTTTTCAATGAAAATGCTCAGGACTGAAGACAGACATTCTAGAATGCATTGAACTGTGTCCTGTATCCTGATCAACGTTCCCTCTAAGCTTTGTGCTGCAGTCAGTGCTGCCACCCATTTGGTTCTGGTCATGGCCGAAACACCATGTGTGTGGGGTGGGGCTCCTGCCCAGTGCTGGAGGAAAATTAGAGGGAACGTTGATCCTGGTCCAGTGAATTATGCCTGGAAATGTGTACTTGGCATAGTTTTTAAATTGCTGTTCAACATGGAATTTAGATAGATTGGAACAACTGTTCATAAATCTTCCTCCATTCACCCCTATTCTTGAGCCAGGGGAGACTAATAGGGAGATATATAGGCAGAGGAGCTAATAAATGTCTGGAAGTACAAAGGTGCATTACCAAACATTTTAAATTTTGAGCATTTGTGGTTTTATTTTGGAGAAATACCTACAACTATTACTGATGATCTTAACCACCAAAAACACTATCTAAACTAAAACATTTAGATGTTAATTCTGGCTAAGTTACAAAATTTTTCCTAGCTTTTCTTTAACTTAAAATGTTTTAGAAATAAAACACACATTTCCAACCTGCAGAACCAGAAGATAACAAAGGGAACATCCTATGCTTTCATTTAGCAAGCTAAAGAAAATAAAATCTGATCACAAACTGCTCTGAGCACAGGGGACATTTCTGAAGGCTGACACCTTTTGGTAAGGGCAAGTGTGGTGCAACTGATACCCAGGATTGAGGTATGTCAGAAGCCTAGTTTATACATGCTGCCCAGTCACTTAAGTCCATGTGTTTGGATGACTGGTGCAAACAAATCATCCTTGAATTTAAAAAGGAGCACATTAGGAGGAAGGCTAATCTGAAGTCTTCTCCCAAACATGCTTGTTTTCCAACATGTTGTATCCATGGACAGAATTCCATCAAGCAACTTTCCTGCTCATAGCCTAAGCTGATATTTTCCAGCAAAAAAACTTTACCCACTGCTAATGTGGAAAATGTCCTGAGATTTATTTTGTCTAAAGTTCTCTCTGTGTGCGATTTCACTGTTACTGCCACGAGTGCTGCATTTTAAGGAAGAAATCATAGCACACAGCGTGATGCAATAAAGCAGAAGTGATACACCCCTTCTTAAAGAATTCAATTTTCAGTAGCCTGCTTCCTTAAGCCCGGCCTTAAAGCCATGTCCGTTTTTCCAAGTCACACTCTTCTAATGTTCTTAAGAGCAAGATACACACACATTTACTTTGTCTAGATCCTATTATCTACTTATGTTGACATGAATCTAGCAGCAAAGTGCCACTGGTTAAGAAGTGAAGCTTACTTGTCTAGATCCTATTATCTACTTATGTTGACGTGAATCCAGCAGCAAAGTGCCACCAGTTAAGAAGTGAAGCTCTTTTGTGTGCTGTCACATGACTAGCAGGTGACAAGAAAAATAAGCACCAACTTCTTAACTAGTGGCAATTCCCTGCTGAAATTTACAAAAGTGTCATACTTAACTAGTGGCAATTCACTGCTGAAATTTACAAAAGTGTCATACTCGTGGATGAAAATAATATAGTTCTGGATTAGAAGACGCAAAATATCAAGAAATGCTTACTTATTATATAAAGAACAGGGGTACTGTCTGATTCAAAAGCCCCTCCCACAACTGCAAATGCTATGGGTGTCATCTACTATTAATGGAAACTTATTCACCTTTATTCTTACTTCATATGATCCAGAGAGGAGCATGCCACCAATTAGAGGTTAAGCATTAGGACTGCTTATGTCCAAGCACAGATCTGGCAACTGACCCCTAGCCAACACAAAATCAAATTGATTTTGATTTAACATAAAGAGCTTCAGGACAATAGTCCTAAAATTGTACATCGACGCCAGCTGCTTTGGCTCTTCTTCCAAAGTGTCATTCTAGTACTATACTACACTTTTTCATGTCATAATTCTGCAGATATGTTATGCATTTTTCAAATCATCATATTTAGCACCCAACATCTTCAAACAAATCAATCCCAAAACATACCTGATAAAATATGGTTCCTCAAGAGCACACACCTTTTTGAAATGGAAAATCCTATCTATATGAAATGGTCTCTCCCACTTCCACCAAAAACATGCCTTTAACTTCAAAAAGTTACTTTTTACTACAAATCCCAAAACAGGGTGGATTTGATTTAAATCAAATTTATTTAAATCATGACTTAATTTGATTTTTTTTAAAGCATTGATTTTTATCCACCCTGTCCCCTAGCCAACTGATTTGCTTTATTAATAATATTCGGAGCTTGGAAAGGTGGTGGTGGAGAGACATTATAACTTCCTCAGTCGCCCAGCCTGTGTGAGCAATGTGATGCTTACTTAGTACCTTAATTTTTCAACTACTCATCATGTTGGCTGGGACATTCAGGAGCCGTAGCCCAAAAGTTACTTCCAAACTCTGTAGCCAGTTCTGAAAGAGAAAAGAACTGACCACAAAAGGCTTTCCTCAAAGACAGCCGCCAAGCAAAATCCCGTTAGCACGATCTCAACATTCAATTCTGGTCAGCAAAATGGGCATGTTTTAAAGAAGGACAAGACTAGTATAAGGACTAACAGTTGCTGTTTTTTGTTTTAATATTTGCTCCATTTAGTTTGAAGGGTGTGTGTGTTGGGTCTTTTAAAACCTGATGGTGTGTTCTGTGCCATCACGTCAGAATGAACCTAATAGGGCTTCCAAAGGCAAGTGAGATATTTTAAGGAGTGGTTTTACCAGTTCCACTCCCCCAATGAGTTTCCATGGCCAAGCAGGGATTCGAACCCTGTTCTCCGGTGTCTCATCGTTACACACCCCAAATCCTCGGGACGGGGTTCAGTTAGAAGCTGAAGACTGCAAAATGCTCCATCGTTTACAAAAAAAGCCTCACTGAAGACAGCGGGGCCCCTCAACCATGCTTAAAACCAGTTTATACTGCTACAGTATTATGCAAAACGAAAATGAACAAAATATCGTTACATAAGACCAAGCCCAGAGAATGTAATGGGAGTATCTGTAGAAATCACATTAGTAAAGGAGCAGCAGAGTGAGATTTAATCCCCATGCAGTCATTATAAGTTAAATAAATAAATAAATTAACTAACTGGGCGGTTCTGGAGGCCAGCATCTCTGCCTGCCCCACTCTACAGGGTCGTTGTGAGGAAAACACCACAAAGGAGGTCTCTAGAGCCCCGAAACTCACGAGGTACATGAACACCCATCACCTATATAAGCCCCAACACACACACACACACGGAACATGGGCTTTGTAGTACCCTTGAGACTTAACCCAATTATTTCTGTGTGAGCTTAGATACCATCTCCTCCTCCAGACCCCAGAGGAGCTGAGCTCGTTTCTCCCTTCCTTTATTTCCACTTTCAGTATTGTTTAATACTGTATCGCCAGCTGCCTCAGATCCTCTGGAGGAGAAAGGCAGGTTAGAAACGTGTTTGCACATAAATAGTAAATACAGTAATCTATGGGTTGCACCCACGAGCCCCCACAGTGAAATCAATAGTCACGTCTCAAAGCTGCCACCGTACTTTGATTTTTATTTATGTCTTTATTTTCTGTTGCTGAGGAAACAAACTCCCCTCTCTGAAAAATTATATACAAGAAGGGGGGCGTTAATAAATCAGGTTTTTTTAAAATTCTAACGGGTCATTTTGAGGCGGAGCTAAGCGGTTTTTTCTAAAAACCGGCTTCCACTAAAGGTGACGTCACGCCAACGGTCCCGTTTCGAGCGGGGGGGGAGTACAGAATTCCAATGCCCCTCACCTGGCATAGCGTCGGTCTCGCGCTCCAGCTGCTGCTGCTGCGCCCGCTTCCTACGCTTGGCCTCTTGCTCCAGCCGGACGAGGGAGGAGCACGAATGGGCGCCGCTAGCCTGTGACGTCGAGAGCTCTAGCTCCTCCTCCTCCTCTTCGTCCTCCTCCATAGAGTCTCTCTAGCTAGCCGGCTTTCTGCCTCTCTTCTGCCCCGCCGCTCGCCCCCCCCTCTCTCTCTCCGCGCATGCGTGTTCCTAGATACTCGCAGGGCGGCAGAGGGCTGTTAAGAGAGGGCAGAAGCCACGCCTCCGCGCGGGAATCGTCACACACACAAACTCCTCCCACCCGCCTGGCTGAGGCTCGTGACAGAGACGCTTCTGAGGGGCTCCTTGTTTATCTCCTAGGAAACTCCCCGAGTAGGCGGGGCTTGGCCTGAGGGCTCGCGCCCCGCCCACTATTTGACGTCATCGAGCCAAAGGGTCCGCCTCCCGTAATCTAAGAAGCGGGGCGGAGGGTGTGGTGGCGATTTGTTTATGTGTGGATGCGGATGATGGGTTGGGTGGTCTTTAGGATACCCAGACGTGTCCTTGTTCAGAGACATCATCTTTCAGAACTTCAGCGAGGAGGCTTCTACTACATTTCCCGGGGTCCACGCATTAGAAAAAAAGTACGGTACCTCTGAGCAAGTGCAGAGGGTTTGGAAAAGCATCTGTGCATGTGCAGAGTTTTACCAAACCCAAGTATAATCATCACTGTCGTGGTTCTTTATAAGGAGACAGAACGGAGCATGACCTATTTTGCACAAATTTCATTTCCTGCTCCTTGCCACATGCAGAGTTTAAGAAACCCAAAGGACATAATGCCTCTGAGCATATACAGAATGTTTTTGAAACACAGAAGACCCGAAGCCTGCAGCTAGTGTTCTCGTTTCTTTGGTTCTTTATAAGGAGACAGAACGGAGCATGACCTATTTTGCACAAATTTCATTTCCTGCTCCTTGCCACATGCAGAGTTTAAGAAACCCAAAGGACATAATGCCTCTGAGCATATACAGAATGTTTTTTTGAAACACAGAAGACCCGACGCCTGCAGCTAGCGTTCTCGTTTCTTAAACAAACCAGACGTTTATTAAGAGGAACGTCACTCAAGTCTAACCAATGAATTACCTTCTAAGATTAAAATACAGAGGGGGGGAGACCAAAGTGTCATTTTAAAAAGTAATTTGTTGCATTTGAATGTCTTGAACTGAGCAGTAAAAATACTGCACATACGCTAGCAATCACATAAACTGGATTCACATAATCTTGCAGTCTTGGAAAACAACAGAATGAGGGCATTCTAGTTGATTGACAATCTTGATTATTCATCTGATTTTTAGATAATGATGAATTCAGTGCAAGGATATAGTACATCTTACTGGGAAAAAAGTCAGTTGATTACACATCTAATCTTTCACAAATGCACATTGCTTCAGCTTGCACCATTTTAAAAAATCAGTAACAGGCAAGGGTTCTGACAAGCAGAGAGCTGTTGGTTGTCAGAATTGTAACGAACTCTAACAAACCTTTTCCCCTCCTGCCAGCCACTGATCTTTCTCTTGGAGGGAAGGGCTTGAGAAACATAATTACCCCCAAAATGAAAAGCTGGCACAATTCTCAACATTATTTAGGTATCTGACTATGGAGCTGGAGGTTGAGAATTCGATTCCTCACTGTGCCACTTTGACAAACACTGGAACTAAATGAAAAGCTGGCACAATTCTCAACATTCGCCTCTAATCTTTGCACATTCTCTGTAGATTGCAATGATTGCAGTATTAAAGCATTTATGTCCTAGGAAGCTTAGATTCACCTGCACACCATAATTCCTCTAACACAGTATTTAAATAGTTGCCTTTGGCTTTAATCACATATGATAGGAACATCAGCCAGAGTTACTGGGTGCTTGGATGAAATGCGAGGGAACATCATATCAGAGAGAGCTCAGTTATTTAGGTATCTGACTATGCAGCCGGAAGTTTAGAGTTCGATTCCTCACTGTGCCACTTTGACAAACACTGGAACTGATGACCCAAAGGGTCCCTTCCAGTTCTGCAGTTCTGAGATGAAGACGAGGATGATGAGTGTGAGCAATCTTCTGTTGCTAATATTTCAGCTGGAAGGTACTGCTGATTCTGACGCCACAAGAAACCCAGTAATCAGATGTAGCTGTTGGTATCATCAGACAGATCCTACACCAACTACTGAGCATCCCGTTGCCATCAAATCCCTTGAATCCCTTTCCTGTACCACAGTCAGACAAAGGAAGTGTTCTTCTTTTCTACATTATGCTCACAACTTCCCTTGGAGGAAGGTCAGTCTGAAGGAGGGCGACTGGACCAAACTATCTGGAAGTAGACGCCAAGCCCACGAGCGCTCTACCTTCTAAAGAAAAGAACAGCTCTATCTCATTCACAAGGTGGTGATGGTAGCGCTGCGGCTTCTTTTTATGGACACGTGCTGTGCAAATGTACAGGTAGAGCTTTCTTTATTAGTCTGCCTCCATGAACAGGGCAAAATTAAGGCCTGCTGAGGCCCTAGCCAAAGTCCAGTTTAAGAAGCTGCAGGAGTACAGAAAAAAAGTAACAGATTACTTATTTAGAGGCTCTTCGTAACCCCAAGGGCTAAATGTTAGTTTACTTCATTAATGCATAAATCGGACACTCTTGTCTGTATTGCAAACCAGGTAGCCTAGCAGCTAAACGTATGGAGGCTCTGTCCAAAAGCTGCAGCACTAGGCATAGAAATTCGCTTATTATCATGCCAAATTATCTATCTACTCTGAGTATTCTCCAGTCAGATTCATTGAGAGTTCTTTCTCATTTCTTGCGACTGGACTCAGTCCTGGACCTGGCACTTCCTTCTAGCCAAACGTATGCCCACGAGCAAAGAATTTAGAAAAAGTAAAAAGAAGTTTTGCTAATGCTGCTATATAGCATTGAATCCCACAGTTTGTGCACTATGCCCGAGGTGAAGAAATAAATCCTTAGGAAAGGAGAAGCAGTTTTAGCGAGCAGTCTAGAAGCCTCTGGTTGTACGGGAGATTGGGCGCAACCTGCCCTTTGTGCGCTCCATGTGGTTTAATGATGCTTCCCCTTGCAACGAGCAGAGAGGACGCCGGGTCAGCACACTGGTTTGCTGGAGTGTTCACAGGCGCATCAGATGGTCCCTTGAGCACTGTGGTGGTGCCTTCCTTCCTGCTGTAATGAAAACCACAAGACAGAGAGAGAGAGAGAGAGAGAGAGAGAGAGAGGAGGTGCATGATAACTGACAAGAATGCCTGAAATCTTCTTTAGAGGGGAAAGGGAAAGAAGACCAAGGAGAAGACTCTAACAAAAATGCACACAGAAGACAATTTCTCAGACCCACATCCCCCAGATTTCCACAGCCACAGGATAGATCACAGCTGGGACTACAAAAACCATAATCCCTCCAGCTAAACTCAACCCCTTTGAGCAACGGCCCAGCAAGGAAGCCGCATTGAAATAATGCGCCGAGGTGAGTTTCGGGTAGGGTGTGAGGCAGAGGAAGGGGGATTAAAAGGAAGGAAGGAAGGGAAAAACCAACCTCGTGCAATGTCTAGCGGAGTGCCTCCATCCCCAGAAGAAGAAAGTATGACCTAGGAAGAAGGGTTAAAAGTGAAAGTCATCTTGGCACGTGTCCCTTTCTCGTGCCCTGTTGGCGAAGCTGAACGCTCAGCACCCTTGTTGGTACTCGGTTGTGCCGAGACCTGCATCTGTGGCTTTAGGGATCCACTGGGATCTGCCCAGCCTCCTGGGCAGCTGCTTTGAGCATCCTCCGGGCTCTGAGACCAGGAGGGAAGCTGCGGCAGGTCCTGCTATTAGTAGCTATGCCAAGAGCAAGTGAATTCCCCTTTCTTAGTCAGGCCACTTCTGTTCTTCTTACTCACCCCGGTGGGGACAGCCCCTGTTCTCCGTCTGCTAGTCGAGCACTTCTAAAACACATCAGATTGACATTTGCAGAAGGGACCAAAAAAGAGAAACCATCTGGGATCTCCCTCCCTCTTTCTCAGTCTCTCTTTCTCTCTCTCGCTCTCTTTTGTACATTCCCCATTTTCTGGAAATAAACCCCAGTCCGGTTTCTCACAAATTGTCTGGGGACTTTCAGTGCCTGTGGACAATGCCATGCACCAGTTTGGACAAACAGTTCCAAATTCCCAGTGACCCCCCCCCTTGAAACCAATTTGATGAGTTTGGGCCAGCCTGGCCCACCCCACAGGACTGTTGTTCAAATGCCGTTCGGAGGAAGAGGAAAGCCAGGTGTGTTGCCTTGACCTTGTTGAAGGAGAGAAGGAATGTGACCACTAAGTAGTTAAAGGCAAGAATAAATACATTCTGTCCCTTGTTTCAGGTGGCATAAATGTCTCAGGGAGGTCCTGCCAACATGCCTCAGACAACATCTGTACGTGTTTGGGAAAGAAGGTTCCTGTGTAGAAGCCAGTCATGCAGCATAATTCCAGAACTGCAACGGATGAGTCACTGAGGACACAATGCGAAGAGGAATAAAACCAACCTCTACCTTTCCTGAAGAACTGCGGAGGAATGAGTTGGCTTTGATTAAGAATCCCAGTGGGATTCTTAATCAAAGCCCCTTGCCTCTCTTGCTGCAGCTGTTTCTGTCAGGCGTCACACTAAACCCCGCAGCTATCAAGCAACACAACATGGCCTTGCTTCCTGTCTCGTTTTCCAGATAACAACACACACATACAAACCAACAGCACCTGAATTTTATTCTTAGCCGCATGCCACATTAGTTGGCATCCAGTTCTGGTGGCACAATATCCTGTTTTCATGTAATACGTGAATCACAAAGGAGATTTGCTGTGAGTCAGCAGTGTGTCGCTGCAGCTGAAAAGGCGGATATAATTCCAGATTGCCACAGGATGGTTCAGGGATGTTGGCAAGTCTTTGGGTCAGAATCCCAAGTCCAGGTCCGAAAACCTGGTATGGATGCTGTCCAGGTGTTGTGAAGTCATGCTTCCATTCTATTTCACTTTGGCCAGACCTCAGCTGGAACATTGTGTTCAGTTCTGGGTATCATAGTTTTATGACATTTTTCTCTTTTTTTAATGGCTGCTGCCCTGAACCGTTTCACCCAAAGAATCTCGGCTGCCCTTTCCTTGTCTGTTTTGCCATCAAGCAAAATCCTTTTTTTATTTCGGATAGCTCAATAGTTTAGGTTTATGGCTAGGGAGGCAGAGATGGAGAGTTCAGTTCCCCACTGCACCTCCTTGACAGGGGCTGGACGTGATGATCCGTAGCAGCAGAGATGGAGAGTTCAGTTCCCCACTGCGCCTCCTCGACAGGGGCTGGACGTGATGATCCGCAGCATCCCTTCCCGCTCTGCAGTTCTAAGATGATGATGATGATGTGCTTTAAGTGATTAATCTGGATTACTGCAGAAAAGGACTTTAGCTAGAGGAGGGCTGTTTTCAGTGAACACATTATTAATGTATTCTAAATTGCTTTCCTTTTTTCCTTTTCTTTTAAGTCATCAGTTTTGTTTTAACTATTTTTGTTTTATTGATTTTATTCTCAGTTGCCTTGAGTGCTATTTTGTGAGATTTTAGGAAGACATTGAGAGGGGCTTGCATCTGGTCTGTTCAACAGTGGGGCAGATTGCTTGAACTCTTTGTTGTTAATAATGTTGTTGTTGTTTAGTCGTTTAATCGTGTCCGACTCTTCGTGACCCCATGGACCAGAGCACACCAGGCCCTCCTGCCTCCCGGAGTTGGGTCAAATTCATGTTGGTTGCTTCAATGACCCTGTCCAACCATCTCATCCTCTGTCATCCCCTTCTCCTCTTGCCTTCACACTTTCCCACCATCAGGGTCTTTTTCAAGGAGTCTTCTCTTCTCATGAGATGGCCAAAGTACTGGAGCCTCCGCTTCAGGATCTGTCCTTCCAGTGAGCACTCAGGGTGGATTTCCTTCAGAATGGATAGGTTTGTTCTCCTTGCAGTCCAGGGACTCTCAAGAGCCTCCTCCAGCACCACAATTCAAAGGCATCAGTTCTTCGGCAGTCAGCTTTCTTTATGGTCCAGCTCTCACTTCCATATATTGTTAATAATAATCACGTGCTATCAAGTCAATTCTGACTTATGGTGATTGTTTGCAGGGTTTTCCAGGTAGAGAGAATGGTTTCCTGTTCCCTTCTTCTAAGGTTGTCCCAAAGTCACACAGGCAGGCACTACACGCAGGAGACACTGTGGGGAATCGAACTCCCAGTCTTTAGCTCCACAGGCAAACATGGAAACCACTGATATATCAGCACACAGTATATCAGGAAAGCATGTCTTATCTAAATTGTATCCCATGAGTCTTGAAGGACTTCACAGCACACGAGGCTTTACCCTAACTGCATCCTCCCAGCCAACTTGTGACGTAAGTTAGGCTCAGCATAAGGGACTGATCCAAGATCTTTTCAGTCTGTGTTTTACTACTGCATGAAAAACACTGCATTACATCAGTCTTTCGAGATGAAGGAAAACACAGTGGGGCTGTTGCTCCACTGAACAGAACATTTGCTCATTTGTATGGACACAGAAATTCAGTCTTGTGGTAGAGCCAATGCTTATGGGGTCACAGCGGTGGGAATTTTTTATTATTATCAAGAACAGCAATGATTCCTGCCACTTCGGGCTCCTCTCCCTCCAAACTCAGCTGCGATCCTCACTGGAAGATTGAGGTGAAGGACAGGATCCCCCGTTTTCCCAAAAATAAGCCCTAACCTGAAAATAAGCCCTAGTATGATTTTTCAGGATGCTTGTAATATAAGCCCTACACCCCCCACCCAATAAGCCCTAGTTAAGTGAAACCCTGCCCTCCACCATTGTGCAGCAACAACAACAAGAAGAGGACATGACTGTAAAATAAAACATCCCCTGAAAATAAGCGCTAATGCATTTTTGGGAGCAAAAATTAATGTAAAACCCTGTCTTATTTTTAGGGAAACACAGTAGCCACCCCTGTTGTAAAGCAATATATATCGGAGTGATTTGGTCTTGAATGACTGACCCACTAGCTTTACAAAAGACCTGTCCACAATCGAGCAAAAAAGAAAATCCTGCTAGAATTGCTTGCTTCTTTTGGATCAATACAGTGGCTGCTTCCAGGGGTTTTCCGCCGGCTATGGGGACAATTGTAACGAACGCTCGACTCTCAAAACTTATCACGGCATCGCAGTTTCAAATTGCCAGTTGTCCAGCAGAAAGCTTCTTTAACTGGAAGTTTGATTTTATTCTGGCTATAGCCAGCCCTTTTGCTAAACCCCTTGCTCTCTCCCCAAATTCGATGGGTTACCGTTAATAAACGTCCCTTCTCACCAAAAACCACTTTGAGGCTTGAAAGTTCTGCCTCATTTTGAAATCACCGACAGCAAATATGCACTTCTGCTCATCTGGGTTTTTTTTTTAATCCCTCATTTGGGACAATAAGTATGCATTCTCCATCTCAGCCTTCATTCCCTGAACAACTACGGGGTTGCTGCGATGTGACGCTGTTTCCCCAGAGACTGAAGAGGAAAGTGTAGGTGTTCTGTGAGGTATAAGGTTTCTGATTACTCAGATGGGAGAGTCCCTAGAAAAATTTAGGGGCCCCTTTTCGAGAGCCATGTAAGATGAGTTCATGGCCTCAGACAATTTTCTCCTCTGTTTTCCAAAGACAGTTTGGCCACAGAAAAACAGTGTGAGTTCTGCTGGGAACCCAAGTTGGTGTTTTTTTTAAAAAAAAAGCAAAGCAAAGCAAAAACAAAAAACAAAAAAAAAGCACCTTCCAATTTTGTTGTGGTTCCACAGGTATCATTTCACTGGTTTTCGCAAAGGAAAGCCACACAGCTCAAAGCGTACCCTAAACTTGCAAGGTAGCAAATGGGTGAATCAGTTTTTGTGGTCTAATAAAACTATCTGCTCTTGTTTCTATATGGTATAAGAACTATACAGCTTTGGTGTGCCCCCCCCCTTTACATTTGCACAGTTAAAACTAGTGTGTCAGCTGCACCCGTTCCTGGAGAGGTCTTTATCAAGCCACAGTGGCACATGCCTTAGTTACATCCTGGCTGGATTACTGTAACGTGCTCTTTATGTGGGGTCATCCTGGCTGGATTATTGTAACATGCTCTTGATGTGGGGCTGCCTCTGGGAAGTGTCGAGAAACTTCAGTGGGTCCAAAATGTGGCAGGCAGGTTGTTAATTGGGGTTGGTTAAAGGGATCACACAAACCCCTTTTTACAGCAGCTCCACGGGCTGCCAGGCTGTTTCTGGTCACAACTCAAAGTGCTGGTTTTAACGTACAGTATAATGCCCTAAATGGCTTAAAGGTCCCCCTCGACAATTTGTCCAGTTCTGTCCGATTCTAGGGCACGGTGCTCATCCCCGTCTCCAAGCCATAGAGCCAGTGTTTGTCCGAAGACAGTTTCTATGGTCACATGGCCAGCACGACTGGACACAGAACATCGTTACCTTCCCACTGAGGTGGTACCTATTTATCTACTCGCATTTTTACATGCTTTCAAACTGCTAGGTTGGCAGGAGCCGGGACAAGTGACAGGAGCTCACTCCATTGCGTGGATTCGATCTTACGACTCCTGGTCTTCTGACCTTGCAGCACACAAAGGCTTCTGCAGTTTAACCCGCAGCGCCACCACCTCTCTTCTAAATGGCTTGGGTTCAAGCTATTTAAAAGACCGCATCTCCCTCTATGTGCCTGCCCGGGCATGAAGACCATCAGGGAGATTTTTCTCTCTGTGCCAACACCCTCACAGGTGCACTTGGTGGGGACACAGGAGAGGGCCTTCTCTGTGGTTGCTCCCAGACTGTGGAACTCCTTCCCACTGGAGGCCAGGCTGGCCCCGTCTTTGCTGTCCTTCTGGAAGCAGATGAAAACTTTTCTTTTCAGACAGACTTTCCCTTAGTGACTGGCTATCTGAGGGGTTTTCAGTGGAGTGTTATGCCTTGTTGCTTTAAATCTGTTTTTGGTGTTGATTTTCTTGACCATTTTTAATTTGGTATTTGTTTGATTCTTTTAAAATATTTGTATGCTTATTGTTTTTAGTGTTTAAATATTATGTTTCAGTGATGTGAGCCACCTTGGGTCCTTTTAAAGGAGGGGTAAAAAGATTCGAAATAAATAAATAAAAATAAACATGGAGAAAGTGTTGTGACAGAGGCAGCCTAATAGCCTCCGTTTCTGCCCGTCAGACCGCTGTGAAGGGCACACAAGGACCCCTGTAGCCAGCCTTGTTTATATATTTCTCAGGCTAAATTAACAAACCCTGTACAATGGAGTAAGTCATCTGGAAAATAATCTGACTTCCCCTCCATGGGTAGGGTGGTCAGGAAGAGAGAAGGAGGTGGAGGAGGTGTCAAAAGAAAGAAGCAAGAAGGTAGCAGAGAGAGGAAGACGGAGGGAGAGGAGGGTGGCAAAAACCGAGACAGAAAGCCCGAGAGAAGAGGGTAGCGTACAGAGAAGAGGCAAAAAGGGAGCAGAAAGAGAGAGAGAGAGAGAGAAGAGGGTTTTGAGCCTTACATGCCTGACTCATACCATGTTTCCCTGAAAATAAGACTGGGTCTTATATTAATTTTTGCTTTTTTAAAAAAAGCAGTAGGGCTTATTTTCAGGGGATGTTTTATTTTTTTTCCATGTACAACCATCTACGTTTATTCAAATACAGTCATGTCCTCTTCTTCTGATTGCTGCACAAGGGTGGAGGGCAGGGTTTCACTTAACTGGGGCTTATTTTTGGGGTAGGGCTTATATGACGAGCATCCTGAAAAATCATACTAGGGCTTATTTTGAGGTTAGGTCTTATTTTCGGGGAAACAGGGTAGCATCAGCTCACTCTTGTGGGAATGCAACGGGATAAAGGATCACCCTCCCAACGTATAAAATGGGATGATTGTTAGGGCAATTTAGGTAAGATGGAAAAGCACTTAAAAAAAAAACAGGGGAAGAGATATATTATTTAGGTCTTATTTTCGGGGAAGCAGGGTAGCATCAACTCACTCTTGTGAGAATGCAACGGGATAAAGGATCACCTTCCCAATGTATAAAATGGGATGATTGTCAGGGCAATTTTAGGTAACATGGAAAAGCACTTTTAAAAAAAACAGGAGAACAGATCTTTTACGAGGAATCAGGCAGCACAGAGGAATAGTCTTATCTTGAATAATATTATCACCCCAAATGGTTCTTCCACATTGTGGGTGACTTCGACAGAGAGACACAGCCATACAAGCAGACACCTACTCTGTTTTATCCAGACATTTTCCTTTTTTTGCCTGGGAAAAACCCTCAAAAATATTTTGATTAAAGAATTGTGTGTGTGTGTATCTTTAAAGTATTAAAATAGAAGAAGAGGATTTACATAAAACATTTCCATGAATCATTTCACATCAGCACTTTATGTGGGGTGGGGTGGGGAGAGGGGTTGTTTTGACCATGTAGAAAGTGACACAGACATTGGGGAGGGGGAAATTCCTCAGCTCCCTCCTGTCTTTGTCAGAAGGCTGATTCAGAAACGCTGTTGATTCCAGATTCGCCACAGATGTTTTTAAAGTCTAACAACAGCAATGACATCTGCACCATGAGCAATTGAATGAGTGACTTCTAAAAAGAATAGGAATCCAGATGTGCATGCATGGGGGCAGGATGCTGGGGGGCTTTAACACGTTGCCTTCACTGTTGTCCCAAGCTGGGTTGTGAGTTCTTGTGCTTGCTGGTCATGCTGGAAGAAAAGCCTTCTTTGATTAAAAAAAAAAACATGTCGTGCTAATAACAGGTGTGGGAGCTCCATAAATGGATTGGATTCTTGTTGTTACGAGCCATGACAATGCCTTCGATTTATGGTGACCCTAAAATTGAGAGATTTCCAAGATGTCCTTGTCCTCAAAAGCCCTGCTCAGCTGTTGTGAACTCTTGTGAAGTCTGTGGCTTCCTTTATGGACTCAATCCACCGCGTATTTGGTCTTCAGCTTTTGCCGGCATTATTGTCTTTTCCGGAGACTCTTGCCTTCTTGTGATATGCCCAGATTAGGAGAGCCTCGGTTTCAACATTTCTGTCTTCAGACTTGGCTTGCTGTGGAGACCCAGGGCGTCCCCAAAGCTCTCCTCCAGCACCACATTTCAAGAGAATCAATGGTTTTCTCGTCAGCTTTCTAGACTGCCCAGCTTTCACATTGTACCTAGAGATTAGGAATATAACAGCGTTGATGACCTTAGCCTTGGTCTCCAGAGACTCATCCTTACACTAGCCTAAAAACCTCTCTATTCTCCCCAGAATCAGGATAGAATCGGGGTCCTACCTCTTCTGTTTACTCTTAAAAATTCAATGAAAAAGAAAAAATATGAGGCTTTTGTACACAATTAAAAGGCAAGGTGAGTGATACCTTAATTAATTAATTATTTAATTGTTCGCTATCAACTCAATTCTGACTTATGGTGACCCTTTTTCAGGGATTTCTAGGTACAGGCTACTCAGAGGTGCTTTACCCTTCCCTTCCTCTAGGGGCAGCCTTGGGACTGTGCAGCTGGCCCAAGGCCACCCAGGCTGGCTCTACTCCCAGGAGGCGCAAGGGGGGAATCAAACTCCCAGCCAGAGATCTAAACCACTGAGCTATCCATTAGGTCACTAAAAATAAATAAATAAGTCACACAGAATCACTAACGTTTGATGTGCACTGATATTTCTCAACTGGGCCCCGCAGGGCTATGCATGGTGGGATTCATGGGGCTTGCAGATTAACTGAATGACATTTCAGTTAGTCCAGCCTTGTATTTGGATGGGTATATAGCCCTGGTTTTTGACAAGCTTGCAGTAATCTTTTTGTGGTTCAAATGGCAGTGTCCCATCCTGGGAGCAGGGTGGGTGGGGACAAAAACAAAATAAAAAAGTCAGCGCAGAGAGAGAGAGAGAGAGAGAGAGAGAGAGAGAGAGATGGTCTCAATTCAATTGTTCTGATGGGGGAAGGAGGGAGATGATATGGGATCCACCTCTTATGGTCCTGGGCGTCTATTTCTCCAAATGGAAAGAGTTTCTTCAGTAGAGCTGGACCTGGTTTGCATTCTTGTGGATGAAAGAGACTGTGGAACACGCAGCCACTTGTCCTGCAGGGCAGATTTTATGGACATTCTTCTTCTTTAATGATTACTGATACCGCTGTCCAGTGCCGTTTCCCCTCTGGAGTGACAGAATGTTTACTTAGAAAGGGGTGTTTTATCTAGATCTTCCCGATCACTCCTGGGTGAGCTCATCCTGTTTGCCCTTTCTCTCCCAGTGACGAACGTATGGAACAGAAGGGTATTCTGGCATGCCGGAAATAAGAAGATCCTTGGGCCATCGGAAGTATGAAGTCAACCGGCAGTTTTCAGGGCCATAGCTCAGCCTCTCCATGTCTGCTATCTTCCAGACTGCAACCCCATAATACCCTAGAAAGATGGCTGTGGGTGATGGGAGTTATAGTCCATGTGAGAAGGAGGGTAGCCGGTTGAGGAAGACAGATCTGCATGTTGCGGGAGGCAGGGTTCCAGTCTGGTAGATTCAGATTTCCTTGTTTTTAGATTACAATTGAAACACAGCATTTTGGTGTGCACACATATGCAAACGAGGAATTCGTTCTTTTTTAGAGCCCATCAAGAAAGAAACGAAAGGGGCAAACGAATAACAGGAAACAGATTGTCATTTACACATTTTCACAAGTAGGTGTAATGAAGTCACATATCAAAAATATCAGTAAAAGTAACAGGTTGGGACAAAGTTACTTTATTATGTTATGTGAAGTTAATTAGAAATGGACTTAAAGTGACTCTAATAGGGCTTTCAAGACAAGTAAGATATTGAAGGAGTGATTTTATCAGTTCTCCCCATCAATCAGTTTCCATGAATGAGCAGAGATTTGAATCTAGGTCCCCTTGCTTTTTGGGAGCAAAAAGTGAAATTTCAGGTGCTGTCAGACTTTACTTTTAAAGTGCATTTTAAAACATTTTTGTGGGCCTTTTGGGAAAAAAAAATTCTCAAGTTTTATGCCATTCTCTTATTAAACCAATAGAGAACAGAGGCAGGCTGCTTTGAGGATTCTGGGAGTTGTCACCAGAAAAAATTCATCATCTTCATCATCTTAGAACTGCAGAGCTAGAAGGGGGCTCTATGGATCATCCAGTCCAGCCCCTGTCAAGGAGGCACAGTGCAAGATTCGAACTCTCAACCTAAGGCTCTAGAACTGTATACCTAAACCATTGAGCTATCCAGTAATCAAAGTTCTGATGCAGAACAACAACAGAAACAGGAATGCCAACAGCAACAAGAAAATGTCAACAGAGTGTCCCTTAAAAGCCATAACTAGTGACAAGAATAAGTTGCTTTTGAAGAGCGAACTTTGTAAGCTTTTTGGGACAGGTTACGCAGTGCTTTCATAACACCACAACATGGGGAATGATCTTCGCTATACCTCATATTTGTATTTTTTTAAAAAAGATTAAACAAGATTGCAGAAGACAGAATCCTGAGAAATAAATCAAACCTGAGAAATAAATCAAACCTGAGAAATAAATCAAACTTTTACAGCTAAGCGTAGTGTCAATAACAGAGGCCAGAAAGCACCAGGTAGAGAGAAGACACCGCCATGCCCTCCCTGGTGAAGGATTGGCTACCTCTTGGCCCAGTATGAATGACTTGGTTCTTATCCCGAAATCAGCAAAGAAGAGGTTAAGGTTTGCTCCATCTCTTTTCCTTTGGCTTTTCCCCTCCGCCATCCTGTTTCTCCCCACCCAGCCGGCTCAGGCATACAGGCACACTCATCGTTTGCGACCATGACTCCCTGCCATAAAACTCTTTGGCCCTTCACCCCAACCTGCCGTTACTTGTTGGTCAGCTTCTTGATCTGTTTGGCCGAGGATGGCTGCTGAATAAGTAAGACTGCCGTCACCTCCTTCTGGATTTCTCAGTGGTCTGGAGTTGCCCTTCTGCCTTGCGGACGCCGTCAGGCGCACACCAGCGGGCCATGCAGCGGAGACGCTTGTGCGGCTTCATCATCATCCTGTGGTGCCTTTGGGACAGGAGCGCTGCCATCACCAGAAGATATTACATCGGGGCAGTGGAGACGGAGTGGAACTATACGCCTGCCCGACAGAAAGGGTAAAGAAACATATTTATCGTTCATGATGCAGAGATGAGGAACTTTTGATCTCCCCTATAATTTGGACGATATCTCCCAGAATCCATTATTATTACTACCCAGGCTGGCTGGCCTTTCTGGGAGCTGAAGTCCAAATCGCCTGGAAGACCAAATTCTCTTCCTTTTGACTTTTGAAATTCCTCTGGTTTACCTGGGCTTCGTTTGGTGCCTGTATGAATAGGAATATTTTGCCTGTGGCCATTCTAATTGGGTAGAGTTGTTGTCGGAAAAAAAGTCACTTTTTGCTGGTATATACCTAAGGTTATCCACAGTTCTCCTAGCACTATTTAACGGCTTGACTAATGAAACCAAATTCAGATCGTGTCTGTTCCTATTATTATTGTGTTTTGTGCTGTCAAGTTGGAATGGATTTATAACAGTTTTAATAGGGCTCCCAAGGTAAGTGAGATATTCAAGGAATGGTTTGACCAGTTCCACTTTCCCAGAGAGTTTCCATGGCTGAGCGGGGATTTGAACCCTGAGTCTTTGTCCACTACACCGCACTGGGCATCAGTGTTTGTTTCTACAGCCCTTTTTTCATGACCTCTCAAGATCTATCTGTGATCCACTAATTATGCCCAGGTTTTGACCCAAACGGACGTGGTGGTGCTGCGGGTTAAACCGCAGAAGCCTCTGTGCTGCAAGGTCAGAAGACCAGCAGTTGTAAGATTGAATCCACGCAAGGGAGTGAGCTCCCATCGCTTGTTCCAGCTCCTGCCAACCTAGCCGTTCGAAAGCATGTAAAAATGCAAGTAGATAAATAGGTACCACCTCTGTGGGAAGATAATGGTGTTCCGTGTCCAGTCGCGCTGGCCATGTGACCACGGAAGATGGTCTTCGGACAAATGCTGGCTCTACGGCTTGGAGACGGGGATGAGCACCGCGCCCTAGAATCAGACACGACTGGACTAAATGTCAAGGGCAACCTTTACCTTTGACTCAAACCTGATAGACAACTGTTCCTGCATCTGCTTATCTTGGCTTCTGCTGGCTCTACCATGTTTCTGAGGGGATGGGGAGACATTTTAAGGATCAGAACTGGGAAAACTTAGAGAGGTCAGGTGTCTTGGGCCATTCACCTTCCGTTGTGTAGGGATCACACACTGTGAAAGAGAGTTGGGGAGGAGGCAGTATAGACATGTAGGCAGACTGACAAAGGAACAGTTTATCCTTTTATGTAAAAAAAAAGAGACAGATAATTAAAATAAAATTATTGTCATCTACTATGGAATCAGACTCCAGCTCCATCCAAGTAACTTGGAAAACTTCCTTCAATTTCCTGTAGGTGTTACAATTAGCTCCCGGGCAGAGGTGCAACCAAATAATTGTAGACCAAGGTCAGGGAAGATGCAGCCTTCCAGGTGTTGTTAGACTTTAATCTGTGTTAGGCCTAAACCAGTCCAGCACTGCTTGGAAAAATCATCTTTTTGGACCATAATTCAGAGTCCTCCAGGCCCCTGGCATGTCGCTGTGCTAGCTTGGGGAACTCTGGAAGTTATAGCATCAAGAGTTCCTGTTTCCAGTCTGGTCTGAGGCAGCTGTTTCTGTCCCCATTATGTAATATAAATCCAGAGCTTGAAAAAGTAACTTTTCTGAGTTCTCGGTAGGGAAGGAAAGAAGGTATGGTTAAATGCCTCTCTGGCTATAGTACGATATTTATCTCATTCTTTTTATCATTAGAAAAGCCCCTTGGGCTAAGTTGAGGTTAGCTCAAATTCATCCACTAAGGTTTGCAATTGATCTGAGATTTGAACCCAAGGCTTCCCACTTCTAAGGGCAGCTCAGTCATGATCACACCACATGGGCTGTCTCAGTAGACTCCTTTCTAGCTGTACGGCTTATTTGGAGAGCACTGCAAGGATATCTCTAGACTTTTTCCCCAGACTAGACCAGAAATGGTGGCGTGGCCTTCCAGATGTTTTCGGATGGGCAGCTCAGAAGAACAACATTTCCAACTGCTACTCAGATGCCAACGTTGTCCTTCATCAGGGAGGCTTGCAGCCCAAACCAGGGAAGGGAATCCCTCTAAAATGTGGTCTGTGGCCTTGGCTGTGTTTATTGGACTGTGCAACAACACTTTTTGAAATGTGAGAGCTTTGAGGCCGGAATGGAATGGAATGGAATGACGCATTGCAAGAGGGACAATGCTTGCAGGCCTAGGCTGTTAGACTCCACCTAAGCCATCATCATGATAGTGCTTAGAAGTATAGAGCACTCCAGGAATGTTCACTATTTTACCCAATTAGGCTTGCCATCGTTTAAAAATGGGCCCTTCAAGCTTTACACAGGGAATTTATCAACCACTCCCCTTCCAGTACCTTTTCTCCCAGCCTTCTTCTCTCCTTATTTATTTTTCTCCATGGAATGCTGTTCTTGGATTCAGGAGTGGAGCCAGTTTTTTGTTTTAAAAAAATGGTGGCAAACCTCCAGCAATCTCTCTAAATCTGTTAAGATAATTAAGGCAGCTTTTCTAGGACACGGTGTCTCTACCTACAATATGGGTTGCCTCTGGAGAGTCTAAGAGCAGGTGGAAGGGATATGTGTGTGTCAGAATTACATGAACCTTCATTATCTAGTCCAGTGGTTCTCAAACTTGGGTCCCCAGATGTTCTTGGACTACAACTCCCAGAAATCCTGGCCAGCACAGCAAGTGGTGAAGGCTTCTGGGAAATGCAGTCCAAGAACATCTGGGGAAATCACAGTTTGATACCACATCTGCACCAGGTGTTGCTCTCATACTTCATTGCCTACCTCCACATCCTGGAGAACTAGAATATATATTTATATATGGGTGTGTGTATAGAACATTCCAAGTGTCCAGTTCTCCACGATGTGGAGGTAGGCAATGAAGCATGAACACAACACCTGGCACAGATGTGGTAGGAGAAAAGCAAGGTTTGTAGTTTTCATGGTCTTTGACTCTGCTGATAGAATAAAAAAATACAAACATGATCTAAAAATTGTGTAATATGTAAGTCTGTCTAAAGCAATATTGTTTGTTTATTTATTTATGTCCCCTACCTTCCACTTAAGCCCATTTCAGAAGGCACCTAAGAAAGTAGTGAGAAAGTAAAATGAAAGAGGGCCTTCCCCAAGTAACAGAGCAAACAAATCAGTCCCTTAACCTTGATGTGTTTCTTTCAATCAACTATATTTGCCTAAATGTATAGATCCATTTATGCATTTAGGCATAAATGCATAAAGCAGCTGTGGATCTATAGTTATTCAGATTTGGATACCTTTATTCTGCTATGCTCGTGGAGTCTTGAGACATCAGGAAATCTCTCTTCTCATCCCTAACCACAGACTGTGCTATCGGGAACTGATAAAGAGTTAAGAGTTCTGCAACATCCAGAGGGCCACAAATTAGCCCGCCCAATCTAACGGATTACTCAGTTTAATGTCCCACACCTAAGGATTTAGACCCATGGCAGAATATTCCTGTGCTTGGCCCGGAGTTTTTAGTGAGATGGCATATACCGTTGTCCTCGTTGCACGGACGTAGCTCCTGCGTGGACAGAGGTGGGGTGGACTTGATGGCTTTGGAGACCCCCCCTTCCGCTCTGTGTTCCTAGACTAGAGTGCGGTGCCTTTCTTACGACAGTGGGAGAAATGTGCCACTCTGCCCTCAAGCTTGGAGGTCACCGTTTCTGCTTCCTAAACCAGGAGGGCCAGGCTGTGACTGGAAACATGAATACAATGGCAAGATCTGTTTTCTTTGGCTTCTGGCTATGGATTCTTACAGACTAAGTGACTCCAAATATTCCACACATCACCAGTTATCGCTCTTTCTGTGCCTGGGTTTTTTGGGTGAGGATTTTTTTCACTCTGATCTCTTAAAGGCAAAGAAACTTTCCCCAAAGATTTTGGGTTCTTTCTGGCTCAGCCTCATTGTCCTCCATCCTTTGATTCTGTCCTTAAAAAAGACCTTCCTCTCTTTGCTTTGTGGGAAGGAAGATGAAGTGTGTCTGCTTAATATTTCTTTATTCATTTCTTTTCTATGATTTTTTTAAAATAGCAGTGTTTGCATCCTGCTTTTCCTCCAGTGAGTTCAAAGCAGGCAGACAGTTCTGCTCCATATTATCTTCACAAGAACCCTGCGAAGTAGATCAGGCTCAGATAGCAAAGCAAAGCAAAGCGTGCTGCTTATAAACCGCCCCATAGCACTTCAAGCACTCTCTGGGCGGTTTACAAGTTAATTATGCAGGCTACACATGCCCCCCCCCCAGCGAGCTGGGTACGCATTTTACCGACCTCGGAAGGACAGAAGGCTGAGTCAGCCTTGAGCCGCTACCCGGGATTGAACCCCAGGGCATGAGCACAGTTTTGGCTGCAGTACAGCGGTTTAACCACTGTGCCATGAGGTTCCTGACTAACTGTAGCCTGACTAACCCAAAGTCACCCCATAACTTTTATGACTGAAGGGGGACTTAGACCTTGCTTTTCCAGCTCTGAGTCCAATACACTAAAAAACACCATGTTGTCCAGCTGATCCCAACTGTAGATGACCCGTTTCGGGGTTTTCCTAGATATTGGCTAGTCAGAAGTGGCTTAGTAGCCTGTTCTTCTGTTGGCATTAGGGGACAGTTCGGGTTGCCCAAAGTTACACAGGTGGCCATTTTCTTGAGATGCACAGTACGGAACTGAACAGGATTTGTTTAAAAAAAGAGGATGAGCGGTTTTGGGGCTGCAAAAGCATATAATATGAGATGTAACAAGAGCCCAAGTGGGGGGGGGAGGAGGGACAAAATGATTCAAGAAATTGGCCAGCACCCTCCCCCCCCAGACCAAATTCCCACCCATACTAGTATAAAGGACAATATTGCCTAGATAGCAGGGTGAGGGGAAACCCAGAAACTTCAATAATCAATACTAAATTTGATCTGTCAATGTTTTTGTCACATCAATTTGTCTCACATCCCTTACAACAAAGAATGTATTGCTTCATGCTTTGTGGTTTTCCAAGTAAGACCATTTCCCCCCCCCCCACTCTCATACACATTCTAATCATGATTTATTCCCAGGTTCCTGTACTTAAAAGAACAGGATTTCTCCTATACTCAAGTAGGCACTGCTCCTTCCATGACACCCGTTCCTGGTTTTGCCCCGTGTGAAATGGGATACGGCATCCATAGTTCTACCTGCTAGTTTTTTCTCCTCTTGTTTTGAAATGCCGGATTTCCTTGGCTGGGTCTTGAGTCATCCTCGAAAAGAAAAGAAAAAACAGGGAAAAACATGACGGGAGGCTTGCCTATGTTCATTCCTGGCAGTTCATTCCTGAAAGATCTCTTCGATGCCTCTCCTGATAAGACATAATGGAGTTTGGAAAAATTTGAGTTGTTTCATTTTAAAAAATTTTCCCCCATTTCCTAGGGAGTCCTCCTCTACTACAGACACTCTGTACAAGAAGGCCATATATTTGGAATACACAGACTCTACCTTTACACAAACAAAACCCAAGGATGCTTGGATGGGTAAGCTGGATATTTCTTTTATTTTATTTTCTTTTTTTCTGTCCTATGTGTTCCATCAGATGATGTGCCAATTGTGGCTATCCCTGTTGAAGCGCAAAACAGGTGAAGGTGATTGGTCTTGAATAGCCAATTCAGAGACATTAACTTTAAAAAAAGGGACGTGGTGGCGCTGCGGGCTAAACCGCAGAAGCCTGTGCTGCAGGGTCAGAAGACCAAGCAGTCGTAAGATCGAATCCACGCGACGGAGTGAGCTCCCGTCACTTGTCCCAGCTCCCGCCAACCTAGCAGTTCGAAAGCATGCAAATGCAAGTAGATCAATAGGGCCGACCTCGGTGGGAAGGTAACAGCATTCCGTGTCTAAGTTGCACTGGCCACGTGACCACGGGAGATTGTCTTCGGACAAAACGCTGGCTCTATGGCTTGGAAACGGGGATGAGCGCCGCCCCCTAGAGTCGAACACGACTGGACAAAAATTGTCAAGGGGAACCTTTACCTTTACCTTAACTTTAAAAAAGATCTGGTTTTCATTTGTTGAGGTGGACCATTCCAGCATCCTGCATTTCTGGACACTCCTTATAGGGAAGTGAGACCTGACAAATCTAGTGTGACATCATCTTTACTTCAAAGTGTGAAGACTTGTTTTGTGTCTCTTTTCCATGACTTCTCTCCTTTCTTCTCTCCATTAGGTCTTAAATTTTTTTAAAAAATTTACATACAAGAACTTAATTCCAGCTGCCAGTTTATTGTTAATGGCGATATCCCAGATGTCATTGTACCATTCGTGTGGTTAAAAAAAATCCGATCAGCTGTTATCATATCTATAATCATTTCTTTTTTTGAGTTATTTCTGTCATGGTTATCTATTAACAATAATAATGCTGCTCTTGATGATGCTTCACTGTTGACTCCCAATATCCCTTTCATTTCTTTTAGAGCTTCCTTCCAAACACTTGGTATGATTTCACTCTTCTCTCCATTAGGCATTTTGGGTCCCACCATTCGAGCAGAGGTCTATGATAAAGTGGTTGTCATTTTTAAGAACTTGGCTTCCCAGCCGTTCAGCATCCAAGCCATAGGGGTTTCCTACTGGAAAGCTTCTGAAGGTGAGTTCAAAATACACAAAACAGAGCTTGAAGATACAACTCCACAGCTGGCTCAAAGTTTCTGGGAGGCGTAGTTCAAGAAGGTGACTTTTCCAAACTCTTTGCACGCTATGTGATGAGCTCGTCTACACTGATTTCATTTTCTTTGCATGTGTGATACAGGTACTTAAGTTATCTACCTAACAACATATGGCTGAGGAACACATCATTTTCTTTGCATGTGTGATACAGGTACTACATAACAACATATGGCTGAGGAACACAGCCTCTTCAGATTAGTTTTCCCAGAATCCCCAAGGCAGCATGGCACAAGAGTTTTAATCTAAAATAGTTCCACCCCCACCCACAAGAGTTGTGTAGTTTCACAGAGTCTGCCAGCACTCCCTGAACTTGCCTTTTGCCCACAGGTTAACATTTTGCTCTCTGGGGTAATGTAATAAATTCTGCACCTTTCAGCAATCTAGGAGTAAACTGTTGCGGAGTGTTGAGCTTTCAGTAAAATTTCTTTTTGCTATGTAGTAGAAGCATAGACAGGAAGGCCTGGCGTGCTCTGGTCCACGGGGTCACGAAGCGTCGGACACGACTTAACGACTAAACAACAAACAAGAAGTACAGAGATCCACAGAGGAGAATAGCTACAAGTAGACTGGAGTCTACCCTTTCCTCATTAACTGGTATTTACAGTTTCAGCAACTCACTCTGAAATGTGTGTAGGACAAAAAAAAATGAAAATGTTTCATTACTTACAGTTGCTAACAGATCAACAGCAAACAAATAACTGCTACCAACCCAAGAAAGAGAGAGACAGAAAAGGTACTCAACAGAGAGCCAGGGCTCTCTTTGATTTCATAGGCTGGAAGGAACTATTTGTTAGTGCTGGTTAGACAGACAATCAATCCCAGCCCATAAAAGTCCCTCCCAGTTACACAAACCACAGACAACAGGCAAGATGACAAACAAGGCTCCAGCATAGATTGGCAGCTGAGTTTTACTTCTTTACCAGTGACATGACGGTCTTCCTCTCTCTGCAGCTGCAAGCAACATCCTCCTTTTCCCCACATTTGTTTTTAAATTGTTCTAAAAGTAGCCGAATTCAATGATTATTTTAATATGCTTGTGTTTTCATATTATAACTTATATAAAGTTATAAAGGCACAGGGTCGACTTATCTGATTTCAGGAGCTGGCTATGACGACGAGACCAGCTGGCCAGAGAAACAAGACGATGCTGTGGCGCCGGGCCAGATCCAGACGTACGTGTGGGAGATAGCACCAGAACGAGGGCCCACCGGCTCTGACTCACAGTGTTTGACCTATGCCTATTCGTCCCACGTAGATAGCATCAAGGACACCAACTCCGGCTTGATTGGAGCGCTGCTCATCTGCAAGCCAGGTGAGGGGAGGAGATGGGGAGAGCCTTCTGCTAGCAGTATAAATGAATTTAATGTTACGTGGTACCAAGTCATCTCTGATTTATGGAGACCCTGAGAATGAGAGATCTCCAATATATCCTGTCCTCAGCAGCCTGACTCAACTTTTGTAAATTCAAAACTGTGGTTCTTTTAGGAATTAAGTCCATCTCGTAGTTGGCCTTCCTCTTTTCCTGCTTCCTTCATTTTTTCCCCTAGCATTATAATCTCTCCTAAAGAATCCTGCCTTCTCATTATGTGCCCAAAAGACAGCCTCAGTTTCATCAGTTTGGCCTCCAGAGAGAGAGTGAGTTCAGGCTTGATTTGATCTAGGACCCACTTGTCTGTCTTTCTGGCAGTCCAGGACATCTGCAAAGTTCTCCTCCAGCACCATATTTCAATCTAATTATTATTTTTTTAAAGCTAAATAACTGAATTGTGACCAGATGATTTGAAAAATCTGGTTCTTCCTTACCAGAGATAAGAAATTTTGCTTTTTTGGGATGACTATTTTTATCTGCCATCAAGGTCATATCCAACGTACAATAATCCTAATAGGTTTTCAGGCTATCTGAGATATTTAAGGAGTGGCTCGTTCATGGTCACATTCCAGGGAGTTTCCTTAGCCAAGTGGCAACATCTCCTGAGTTCTAGTCTGTCACTAGTCACGCCTCACACTGTCCCTTTTTCATCGGTACCAGAACTGGCAGGTATCCGCAGAAATAACCAAAGCAAGGAGGAAAAACCTCAGAATGCCAATAGTTAACTTTCTTCCTTTTAAATTGTTTCCTGGAGAGCATGATGTGTTTTCAGCCTTGTGTTCCCTCAGGTTGTACAATGAAATATTAAAATACATTTTAACATGTTATTAAAATTTTATAATCTCATTAAATTATCAGCATACTATGCACCACTATGATTACAAACGTGAAAATGTTTCATAAATAAAACCTTATTAAGTATAGCAGTATATTATGTATCACTTAATTTTTAAAAAAATTGAAAATGTTTCATAGACAAATACAGTCCCACAAAAATCAAAAACTGAGGAATCAGAGTTGAAAGCTACACTCTTAAACAGCGAGAAGAACAGCTGTTGTTCCTATCACCATAATAAAGAGCTTTAGGGAGTTCCTGTGAAGAAAAATCCCCATGTTAAATTTGCTATAAAGCCGAGAACCAGAATACAGGAAGTTTCTCCAAATTAAATCCTGTATTGAATTTCTACAATTCTTAATTAAAGCCTTGTATTTCCTTTCCATGGGGTCACGAAGAGTCCGACAAGACTTAACGACTAAACAACAACAACAACATTTCCTTTCCACAACAACAACAACAACAACAACATTTCCTTTCTAGCTCAAACCATCCATCAGGAGCATTTTCTGTTCCCTATCTGTATGTCTTGACTCGAAAATTTCATAGCTGCAATATATCACCTGGCAAACCAGAGTTTAGTATGAACAGGACTTTCATAAGTAATTGGATTTTTATATACTGTATTAAGGAATTCTGCAAGTACTCTATCAAATCTTGATATATATTCAACACTGGAGTCTGCTGTTATAATAGAGAAACTAAAATAGAAAATGCACTCTGAATAGAGAATGGTGATGTAGAGATTTAAGTTAGGATTTCCAAGCCATTCAACAGTTTAACGTTGTATCTATATTTGCATTGATCATAGTTTGTGTTAACCAGGGTTTGTTGTTTATGCCACAGACTGCATGGTAGCTCAACACAAGTCAAATCCTAGGGTTGTTTTTTTTTTTTTTGCTATGTAATAAGATCTTAAGTTTCATCTTTTCTCTTTTTGTTTTATTTCTGTCCCACCCCTTTCTCAGTTCCTGTTCCTGGGTAGGCAGTGATGGAATGAAGCCAGGGAGAAGTGAAAGCTGCTGGCTGAGATATTAGACAACAAACTATAGATTCAATAAACCAGAATTTGAAACCCAACAAGTGTTTGTGAGTGCCTCTTGTATCCACATTGGCACTTCCATAAGCGTGGGTGTGTGAGGAGGACAATGAACCTGAACAGGAGATCACGACACTCTCCATGGTCCTGACGGCTCTCCATATGAATGGGGACCCTGAGAAATCAGTTTTCTATGGCAATGGAGGCTGACTGTATAGCTCAGTGAGTTAGGCACAGTATCTGACTCAGGAGCTATAGGTTGGGAGTTTGATTCTTTGCTGTGCATCTCAGAAGGGCCAGCCTGTGTAGCCTTGGGCAAGCTGCTCAGTCCCAAGGGCACCCACAGAGGAAGGGGAGGGTAAACCACGTCTGTGCATTCTCTACCTGGAAAGCCCTGGAAAGAGTTGCCACAAGTCAAAATTGCTTTGATGGCACACAACTAGTATTTTATTATGTCGACGGAAACTCTGGAAGATCGGGGCTCCAATTTATGTGGAGAATCCCCACACAATGCAGAAGCTTCTGTTCAGACTCATCCACATGTTCAGGGTGATGGATCTGGAGACAAAGGCTAGAGTGCTCTCCTTGAATATCTCGTGAGTATTCCTCAATATGAAAGTTTATATAGCACTAATGTCAGTCTTCTTTTTCCATTTGGTGAGCTGTATATAGGGGTGTGCATGGCTACATGCAAAATACAAGGTCACTTGGAAAGTATCGGAATTCTTTCAGTGATTCTGGGTTTCTTATAGGGACGCTGATGAACGCAGGAACGAGGAGCACATTGCAGGAAGTTGTGATGCTGTTTGCAGTGTTTGATGAAAGTAAGAATGGGGTGGATGGGTGGGTAGACGAGAGGGGTGTTTTTCCTACTTTTATCCATGCTTTCACAGCTTTAAAGAACAAGACCACCTCTAGCTTGCAACAGTTTGCAAAGATTCTTCTTCAAATATCTCATAACAGGCAAAAGCTGGTACTCTGAAGACAACGCCTTAGAAAATGGCCTCTCCACGGGGAACAGGGCTCAGCAGCTACATACTATCAATGGCTTTATGCATTCCTCCCTCCCTGGTAAGTGGCATGACTTACCTCATCTGAGTGAAAATGGGGGTGATGGACAGAGTTGACAGAAATGGAGGGGAGAGTAGAGAGGCTAATTCGTAGTGGGTGGGCGGGCTTGGATTCGTGTCTTGGTTGAAGCACCTTTGAAAGCAAGGGAACATTGTTGAAGAAGGATGACAAGCTTCTGTATTATTAAAAGCCATTCTGTTCTGCATCTGAGAGTCCAGGAAGTGCATCTTGTTGGACTTAGACCAGTGAGGCCCCAGATATCCTTGAATAAACTCCCAGAAGCCTTCACTACTAGCTGTGGTGGCCAGGATTTCTGGGAGTTGTAGTCCAAGAACATCTGGGGGACCCAAGACTGGGAGCACTGACCTAGAGAATCAACTCAAGTCAAATAAAGCATCTGGTCATCTAAATGAGGTATGTGGTCTTAACGGACCAGATAGGCGGGATATATATTAAATAAATAAATAAATAAATAAATAAATAAATAAATAAATAAATAAATAAATAAATGTGTTAAGCAGGCAAATAATGTGGAAAATCAAACAGAGATTTAGCACATTCCTGACTGTCATATAGAGGCAGATAATATTGCTGGTAGGTTCACATCCTTATGATGCACACCTTATTCTGACATAACATCCATGAAAGTGGGTGAGGAAGTGATAATTTTCCATGCTGCAAAATATCCTGGTGAGACCTGCAGTTAGACAGCAACGCAGCTCATTTTGCAGCTTAAAAAAAAAGTTCAGATGCCAGTCAAGGAAAGTTGCGGGCAGCAATGGGCATGAGCATATTTTATTTTGTGTGCAATCAAGATAGTGACAGGCACGCACCATTAATATTCCAACCAGCCTTCCCCTTAGCATTTGTATTTCCAATGCTTGTTACAGCTCAAATTTTAAAAAAGGGAGAATGCAATCAATCTGGACACAAACTGTGAAAAGATAGAACACTAAATATGATGAGGAAGAAAAGGCCTGGAAAGAATTTCAACAGAATACAACAACTTAAAGCACTACCTGGATTCACTGAGTATTTTCCCAATGTCTTTTCTAAATCTATATGTAGATTTATACTATTGGACTCTTCCTCCCTCCTCCTCTGTGCAGTCAATCTTTGTTTCTTTCTCCTCCTTACTTATGAAACGGCAACCAACAGAGTTGAATGCATACAAATCAGGCCTAGGGATTTCTCTACCTTAGGAATCTTTATCCCCACATATGGATTTCTTTTGCCTTAATACCATTTTCCAGAGTGTTTCTTCCAAAGATGTCCAAAGATGTAGACAGCTGTATGAATCCATAATGAAAAATAAGTTCTAAAGTGAGAACAGAGTACTTTGCATTACAGTAGAGACAGCTCACAACAATATTGCTGAAAACGCTGAAACAACATTTATTGCTCATGTGCACGTGGAACAGATGTCACTATTCTGAAAGCTCATAATTGGTTTCAAAATAGAAAACTTTCATTTTGAAAACCATTCAGGGATGGTGGAGAAGAAAGAGCTCTAAACTGGTTGCAGAAGCTCCTCAAGCCGCCTTCTAGTACATATCTGCTTCACTGTTATGGGAGAGGTGATGCAAATCTGCCTCTTTTTAGTTAAGAGGAGAAAGAATCAGGGCTGAGAAGAAGGAGGAAGGAAGCCTATAATTAGCAATCTCAATGTAGACCCAGACAAGACAAGGGGGGGAGACCAAAACAGCGATGCTCATTTGCCTGTCTGGGTTAGCAAACCCAATCATGGGTTCAGATAATGTGGTGGTGGTGGACTTTCCGCAGCACTTGCTGGGGAAATTCATTTCCATCTGTAAACATGAAAGCTACAATTTGGCTTGGAAGAAGCAGGGATGTCTGGAGGAGGTAGGAGATGACATCGTGTCCCTGGATCATCGCGAATCTCTCTGGTTTGATGCCATGTGGGTATTGTTTCCATTACTCTCTAGCCCACCTTCCTCCACTCCCTTGCAGAGCTCACCATTTGCCAGAACAGACCAGTCTACTGGTACGTCATTGGCTTGGGCACCAGACCTGAAGTCCACTCCATCTTCTTTGAGGGCCACACTTTCCTCGTGAGAGACCATCGCCAGGCTACTCTAGACATCTCCCCCGCCGTTTTCCTCAGTGCTGAGACAATGCCTCGAGCCAATGGCACCTTTCGGATGTTCTGTCAGATCCCTTCCCATCAGCAAGGTAACGACTGAGCATGACTGTGGAAGGAGAGCTGAGGGGGCGAATAAGCGTCTTTGACTCGAAACAGAAAGAAGTACATATGAGTTGGTGTAAGAAGAGTCTTAGAATAACTCCGCCGCCTCTTCTAGGTGCTCCTCACCCTTCTGCCTTTCCTGGGGCTTCGTGTACCACAAATTGCTTCATTTTGAACAGTCTAAGGCAGTGGCCCCCAACCTTGAGTCACCCATGTGTTCTTGGACTGCAATTCCCAGAAGCCTTCACCACCGGCTGTGCTGGCCAGGGTTTCTGGGAGTTGCAGTCCAAGAGCACCTGGATGACTCAAATTTGGGAACCACTTGTCTAGGACAAGGGGGGTGGGGTGCTCAGGCCCTCGGAGAACAAATCAAGTCTTCCTAAGGTCTTGGGCCAGGTTTGGGTTCCCTTGGCATCACACCCCGTCCCTTCCTCATGGCACCATCGCTGGTGGCTTTCTGGGCTTTGTACGTTTCCTCTCTCTTCTCTTTTTGGAAAGGCATGAAATAACACTCCTGAGGCTTTTTAGTTTAAGAGCAAGACTTTTAAACTAAAACATTTTGGCATTGAGGGCCCCGCTCTTTTTGGCCCCTGCCCCTGCCCGCCAAAGGAATGCAACTGACAAGAAGTTCTGTGAAATGCAAACAAACAAACAAACAAATAAGTAAATAAGTAAATAAATAAATAAGTAAGGCCTGCTGTTCACTTCCAGGTGGCATGGAAACTTTCATTCGCATAGATGTCTGCCCAGAGCCACCTCAGAAGAAGATGAGGGTTGCCGAAACTACTGAGGATGATGAGGAGTACGATTATTACGGAGAGGCTGACATGGACAGCACGGTGATTGACATGGCTGAATTCGCACCCAGGATTGCTGGCCGTTCCCGCGTCAAACGGTTCCCCGTGACATGGAAGCATTACATTGCGGCCGTAGAAGTGGACTGGGACTACGCTCCAAACAAGCACGCTAACCTGAAGAGGTAATCGCCTCGGCTGGTTCTGCTCTTTCCCTCAGATCTGAAGCCTGGTTTTGTGACAGGCTGTAGAAAAGCCTGAGGGCCTGAGAAAAACACCATTTATGAGGACCGGAGGAAAAACCTATGCGTTTCTTTTAAAATGGGGTTGTTTCATTCCTCATTTAGCAAACAGGCTGCTTTAGTTTGGTCGCTTGGGAGACAGGATGGTTTTATATAGATGTTTCATGTCCTGGTAGTACCCATAGCATTCAAAGATTTGCATGCCAGAGGGAATAACATGATAAGAGAAGGAAATAAATTATTTGTCTTAATATGTGACCTGTCTCTGAAGATCAAATCAGACATTAAGGAAAGTACATAGTCCACATCGTTCACTTGTTTTCCTTCCTGAAACATCGTTTCCTCAGATACAAGTTCCTCAGCAATCTGACTCTCAAATTAAGTCCGTGTTTATTTTCCAGTGAACAATCATAAGCAAAGCATGCTGGAATGCAAGATGTGGAAGCATCTGCTGTACCAAACAGATGTCTTTCCTTACTTGTGGGAGCACGGCTTCAAATTGCTTTTGCCATGCGTATCATCCAGTTGGACTTGGCATCTGACACAAAGTAATATAAAAATTGGGTTCTGTCAACTCACTTCTGATTTATGGTGTTTCCCAGATAATGACTATTCACAGGCCCAGAGTATCCAGGAGAAGGGAATGGTGAACCACTTTTGAGTACTCTATATCTAGAGAATCCTTGAACCCAGAAAATTGACTCGACAGGGTATTGTGATTATTATCTTTTTTTTCTTGGGCACTTTTCGATCATGAGCCGTGCCCTACAAGATACAGAGGAGAATCAAACTCCTAACCCTTCAGTGCTCTTCCTCACTGAATTGTCCAGCCAGCTTTGACAGAAAATGGTAGCATTTGTTGGATGGGAGCCAAAGGTTATTACGAACAGGACAGAGATAAAATACCAGATTGGACCATATGGTCTGCATGTTCACGTAAACACTGTAAGCAGCCTCCTTCTGGGAGTGTCAGAGCCCGAGGAAGATTCTGAGGTGTTTTGGCTGAAAGTGCTCAGATTCCCACTTCAGATGTTCACACTTGGTGTGCAAAAGTCAGAAGCAGAGTTGCCCCAAGAGACTCTGGGGTTAGGCAGAATAATGGCCAGAGTAAGAGGCTCTCACACAACACTCCTGGTATCCGCTAATCTGGCAACATTTGCCTCCATCTTCGGTCTTTCAGTAATATCACCAATCAGTTTCTGGAACGTGGCCCGCAGCGGATTGGCTCCGTGTATAAGAAAGTAAGATTTATGGAATATGAGGATGGGACATTCAAGAAGAGGAAGGCACCAAACACCGATCACATGGGGATTCTGGGCCCAGTCCTCAAAGGAGAAGTTGGCGATGAATTTCTGGTAAGAGACAAGAAAACCTGAGAGAAAGAGAAAGAGAGAAACAGACCAGCTCTATGTTGGAAGTGGAGGGAAAGGTGGCCTTCGAAGACTATAATTTCCAGGATCCCACCCAGTCCTCAAAGGAGAAGTTGGCGATGAGTTTCTGGTAAGAGACAAGAAAGCTAGAGAGAGAGAGAGAGAGAGAGAGAGAGAAACAGGCCAGCTCTATGTTGGAAGTGGAGGTGCGGCAACAGAGATGGGAAAGGTAGCCTTCGGAGACTATAATTTCCAGGATCCCGTAGCTGACATGGCAGTGGACATGTTGGCCATGGGATTTCTGGAAACTGTTGTCCCAAAAAGTGACTTTTTCCATGAGTAAGCTGCCTGAAGAACTCATGAATTGGAAAAAAATGCACAGGTTCCATATGAGATCCAGGCCTGGTTCTGGTGATCACCTAAATTAGCAGCGGTGAGCATGCAGTCCGTCAGAGAATGCTGGACGACAGGTTTTTGAGATCCTCCCTGCTGACTCTCCTAGGAGATCCCATCCAGCATCATCTAGAAGATCAGGGGTTTCCCAGCTCTGATCTAAACTAGGATTAGGTGCTTGTGACTGAGCTGCATTGAGTTTTAGAGCTTTCTTCTCCATCCTCCTTCAAGCCAGAGGAAAGTAAGAAGAAAATAAAAACCTCCAGTGTTTACTTTCAAACAAGGGTAGGCAACGTCAGTCTTCCCGAAGTCTGTGGTCTGCGAGGACCGTCAGTTCTTGGCAGCACAGCCGGGCTGAGGAATGATGAGAGTTGTAGATTCAAAGCAGGGCAACGTTCGCCTGCCCAGGCTTTAGAATAAACTACAGACCTGCTTGACGTATAAATTCAGGAAGCAGATTAGGGAAGTGTGGCATTTGGTGTCTAGAAAAGATGATACTGTAATTACCATACTTTCCTCTAGCAGAGAATCTCAGATGCTCATGTGGAAGCCTGCTGAACTAATTTAAGATATTATCAATTGCTTCGTATTAGAAGCTAAACAATAAGGAGTTTTACTACCATTTAACTGCAAGGGGGAGGTTTGATCATTTCATCATTTCTGGCTACTTGTTCTGTTGGCTAGGAGTGGTGGAAACTGATTTCACTCCTGTTTTAAATAACATACTGTTCTGGATTTTAAAAATAAGATCATTATTTGGTAAAGATTTCTTAAAAGCTGGTTGGAGGAAACACAACACCCCCCAAAAAAAGGTACAAGCATCCTGATCCAATGTGAACCCTGTCATTTCAGATTGTATTTAAGAATCTGGCCAGCAGGCCCTACAACATTTACCCCTATGGCATCACCAACGTCACTTCGTTTTTCCACGTCAGAAGCACCGAACGTAAGACTGGGCGCGAATAATTCCTCAGGAAATGGCAATGACAGCTTTTGGCTCTATTTAAATCCTTCTCAACGTGCTGTGCCAAATTTTTTTTTAAAAAAGCAGGAAAAGCTGACTTCTGTGACTCATACAAAAATTATGTGCATTCAAATAACCGCATATATTTGCTTAATTGCTCTTGATTTATGCTGCTTCTACTAATCATTGGGGAGAACTTGTTGATACAAGGCCTGGTGCCTCTTAAATACTTTCGCATTCACACTTGTCCCGTTTGAATCTCACTTGAGAGGTTTCCTGGCATTTCTCCACAAATGTTCAAGTCTAATGTTTGAGCCTTAAGGACTAGAAACACGCGCTATTGTTGTTTTCACTGGAACCCAATTTTCTTACGATGCTTGCGCCTCATAGAGTATCTACAGCTTTGGTTTTTGAAAGCACTGGGCTCAACAGCACTGATGTATTTGCCCTGATGATTTTAACCATGTACTATAGCTGTGCTCCAACCTTGACCAAACTTTCACCTTCTTATCATATCTCCCTGTTGCTTTCCTTCTTTTGTTAGCTTACTCCCTCACTTCCTAAACCCTGTTGCGGCCCCCTTCAGTAAGAGAGCCAGATATATTGCTGTATAGCAAAGTTGGGTCGTCCTTTCAGGTAGGGCAAACGATGCCCAAAAAACCCCAAATCATATTTCTGGTTTTCGACTCAGTAATATGCATACAGTTATTATAAAATATTTAAAGAAGTCCAGACTCTATAGCTACATTCACATGATTGAGCATGCCCTCCACATTCTCTCCTCTCGAGCAGCCTTGAGGAAGAATTTGGAAACTTCCATTACGGCTTCTAAACTGTAATCTATAATTCATAATCCGTGATCTTAGAAGTTCTGGAAGGGACTCTATGGATCATTGAGTCCAAGACCCGTCAAAGACAGTGTAGAATTGAACTCCCAACCCCTAGTTCCACAGCCATTTCCTAAAATACACGATCTTAGACCTCCAGAGCTGGGAGGGACCTTATGAATCATTGACTCCAACCCCTGCCAGCAAAACATAAACCATCCTGTCTATTGTCTCCTGGACAGTCAGTCACTAAAAGAAGGTTTGCCTAAAGAGAAATGTCTTCACCTGTTTGCAGAAGGACAGCAAAGATGGGGCCAGCCTGGCCTCCAGTGGGAGGGAGTTCCAGAGTCCCTGGGAGCAACCACCAAGGAGGCCCTTTCCCATGTCCCACCAAAGGCACCCCTGAAGGTGGGGGGATTGAAAGAAAGGCCTCCCCTGATGATTTTAGCACCAAGGCAGGCTCACAAAAGGAGACAGGCTATGAGAGGGTCTGTAGAAGGACCTTCAGGAGAAATGGGAAGAGAAGGAATTCATCAAATTTTGATCATTCCTTCTGTTTTATTGCTTATCTCCCCCTTCTTTCAGTTTCCCTCCTGATCTTTGATTTTTGTCTGGTTATGTCTGCAGCATTGCTACCAGCTTGTTGAGATGCAGAGTGCAGAAAAGTCTTTGTTTTGAACGACCTCTCTCCAAATTCCCAGCTGGTTATGGGTTTGTAGTTTAAAAAAAAAAAAACCAAAAAAACTTTCCCAAGGTCTAAATGAATGGGAATAGAGTGGGGTGGGTTTTTTAGAAGATGCTGGAGCCATCAATTTTATATTTTCAAAGGCTGATATCAGATAGAGGGGTTAAATCATCTTGTGGTTCCTTCCCTTCCAGACCTCAATATGAAACTCTTGCCAATAGGACCTAACCAGGTATACACGTATAGGTGGAAAATCATGCCCGAAGATGGTCCAGCTGGATCCGATCCACACTGCCTATCTCGCTACTATTACAGCTCCATTAAGCCTGCTAAAGATTTAGCTTCTGGGCTTATTGGCCCCTTATTGATCTGCTCAAAAGAGACCATGGATCGAAGAGGGGTTCAGGTTGGTCTGTTATTGCATCCTGGGAGGGGTGGGGGTGGGAAGGTTGATATGTTTTCAAACTGGACATTATGCGCAAATGTGTGTCTTGTAGCCCTCATGCTTTCCTTGGGAGTAAAAAGCGGACCACGTTCTTCAAAACCCAGCAAAGGGGGGTGGGGGAAGTGTAGCAAAGTGAGCTGCTTATAGACTGCCCCATAGCACTCAAAGCACAGATGTCCTGTTTCGGATAGTGGTAGGTGATAATTTTACCTATATATCACTGTGATAACACTTGCCAGATTTGCAGATTGCTTCCTATCCAAGAAAGGAAGAACCTAAAGAGAAATATAAGAGAAACCGTGTCGAGAAACAAGTGGTAGACATGCCCCATGATTAGTTCTCCTGTCTGTGAGACCAGACTTGAAAGGAATCTCAACAGATTCATCTGGTCAGACTCAAGAGTTTGTGAGTGCTGAACTCTGAACAATCTAGGACTAAACCAGACATTATAGTTAGCCCATAATTAGAGCTAAAAGCACTCATATTGGAGAGCCATGATAAAGTATTTTTGTGCTTGAGCAATCAGAATTCAAAGGAATGCCCAAAACAGAAGCAAAGTGGACAGCCATTAAAGCATCCATCTTGTCTCACCTTATTTCATTTCCAGAATACTTTGAGATCTAACAGTGACTCACCTCCAATCTCCTACCTTTGTGTTTTTCCCTCAGATTATGTCCGATGAAGCAAGATATGTGCTGTTTTCTGTCTTTGATGAAAACCGGAGCTGGTACTTGGCAGAGAATATCAACCGATCCTGTTCTGATGCAGCCACGGTCAACCCCCAGGATCCTGAGTTCTATGCCTCCAATGTCATGTACAGTGAGTAGCCTCAGAAGAAGAAGAAAAAAACTGGTGTGTGAGAGAAGAAAGGTGTGGGACAAGCAGCCATTTAAGTCACAGATCAGCCATGAAGACATATGGTCAAACTAAACATTAAGTGGAATGCATGTTCTGTCCAGTTAACCTACTTTCCTGCCAACAAGTGGGTTCCTCAAAGTTGCATCTCTTAGCAATCAGACATGCAAATTAATTGTTTATTCACCTCCCAATGACTGATCACAAAACGGACTACGTTAAATGCAAGGGGCTGGTTATGTTTGCTAGATAGCATCAAGCTATAGCCGACATCAAGCTATTGCCAAGTTGGGCAAGCCAACTTGACCAGTGCCACCCCCTAGCCGAGTTTACATGGCCAAGCAGGAGTTTGAACCCAGGTCTGCTGAGTTCCAGTGTATTACATTTATCCCACTGCACCACACTGGCTCTCAAATGGAGGTGATGCAGGTGTGGAAAAAAAATCTTGTTACAAGAGACAGGTCTCTTTCATCACCTGAGGGAGCACATCTTTTAAACACACGCTAAAACATTTCATCCACTTTGATCCTTAGCTATTTTCTTTCTGTTTAGGTTGGTTTGAGTGTATTTAGATAGATACAAAACTTTTCTTCAAAGTACTGTCTTCACTCTGTTCCACTGATTGCTGATATGTTCACAATTCAGCTCTGACTTGAAGATTGCCTTAAAAGTTTCCATCTCCTTACCTAAAATAAACCTTTCATCCCTTTTCTCTTGAAGGACTTCAGTCTTTCCTTGCAATCTTTCCTGCAAAATGGCCTCTTCTGCCATTTTGCCAACTGGCTGTAGTAGCCCTATCTGGTCACATTCTCCAATAAAACAGTTCCCTTTCCTTTAGAATTAACCTTTCACCCTTTTGTTTTTATTTCAATCTAGACACCTTTAGACATTTAGCATTTACCTCCAGTAAGAATGATTTCTTTTCACAAATTCAATTACAATTACAGTATTTAAGGGGTCTTGGAAGTGCTACAGGACTCTTGAGAGCATCTGCACCACACTGTTAGAGCAGTCTGATAAATTTTGAATGGTCACAGCTCCATCTTTGCAGAATTTGGATGTGAGCTACATAGAATTGTCTGCTAGAGCGTTTAAGTGCCCTGCCCTGAAATACAGTTCTTCTCTGAGAATCCCAGGTTTCCATGAGATGGTGGTTAAAGTGATCTCAAACTACTATAAATGCCTAATGCAGATATGCCCTTTGTTGTTTTGACTGTCTCTGGTATGTTTCTTGACATGTGGGATTCAGCCCAGCTGTGATCACTGCTGTTTTGTCCTCCTTGTTCCCTTCCAGGTATCAATGGCTATGTTTTTGATAACCTACAACTGAAGCTTTGCAAGCGTGAAGTAGTTTATTGGTATGTCCTGAGCGTAGGCGCTCAGACCGATATCCTGTCTGTCTTCTTCTCTGGGAATACTTTTAAACACAACACGGCCTTTGAGGAGACCCTGACCCTTTTCCCCTTCTCTGGAGAAACGGTCTTCATGTCCATGGAGAATCCAGGTGAGCTAGAAATATTGCTTACTGGAAATTTAGGGCCCTCCAGGGATTTATATATATTTAAAATGTTAATATAGGGACGTGGTGGCTATAGGGACGTGGTGGCGCTGCGGGCTAAACCGCAGAAGCCTGTGCTGCAGGGTCAGAAGACCAAGCAAGTCGTAAGATCGAATCCACGCGACGGAGTGAGCTCCCGTCGCTTGTCCCAGCTCCCGCCAACCTAGCGGTTCGAAAGCATGCAAATGCAAGTAGATAAATAGGGACCACCTCAGTGGGAAGGTAACAGCGTTCCGTGTCTAAGTCGCACTGGCCATGTGACCACGGAAGATTGTCTTCGGACAAAACGCTGGCTCTATGGCTTGAAAACGGGGATGAGCACCGCCCCCTAGAGGCGAACACGACTGGACAAAAATTGTCAAGGAGAACCTTTACCTTTACCTAAAATGTTAATAGGCTGCCTTTCTCCTACAGGATTAAAAGAAACACAGTTAAAAGCCGAATAATAAATAACTACGATATCTAAAAAGCATATTAAAACTCATAAATAAGAGCAATATTAAAAGCTCAAGTAAAATAACAAGAAAATAATTTGTTTTCGAAATCTCTTTGTTCAACTAGTCATTTAAAGGAAAGCCTGCATGAAGAGAAAGGTCTTCAATTTATTTTTAAAAAGGGCAATAGGCTGTAAACCCAATTTCCCAACAATACCCCCAAAATGGAAAAGCCTGCCTGAAGAGAAAGATCTTCACTAATCAATTTAGTTTAAAAAGGGCAATAGGCTGTAAACCCACTTTCCCAACGATACTCCCAAAATGGAAAAATTGAATGATAATAGTGTTTTATGTACTATCACATTGCTTTCAACTTATGGCGACCCTTGTAGAGGTTTTGAGCCATGTGGGTTGATCAAAGAGCAGTTTGCCATTGCTACCTCCCAGTGAGTTTCTAAGCTGGAGCAATTATTTGAAACTAGATCTTCCCAAGTCCTAGTCTCCAATTCTGTCCAGTGCACCACACTAACTCTTGTTGTTAAATTTGTTTAAATCTGTTCAGGCCACATATGACATTATCAGAGATGGAGACAGTTCCACTTTTTAGACCACAATTCCCAGAATACTCCCAGCCTGGTCAGAGTATTCCAATTCTAGTTGGAGTTTGCTGGGAATTAAAGCCAAAACAGTAACTTTTCCTACTTTTTTAGCATTAGAAGTCTCCGTGCTGTGTCTGTTCGTTCATGTGGATGTAGTGAAAATTACAAGGAGCCCGACGTTTTAAAAAATAATCATTTTTGCCTCTAAAAGATGCAATCAGTTATACTTGATGTAAAATGTGCTTGGTGTCAATCTTTCGCTCATTCTTTACTTTGGTCTTTTTGCCTTTAGGCATATGGATGCTGGGATGCTTGAATCCTGACTTTCGAAGACAAGGAATGAGTGCCAAGTTCTCTATTTTCACATGTGCCCAGGAGATGGAGTTTGGGGAGAGTATAGCTGACTATTATGATGAAAGCCTACCAAAAGACTACATGGCTCAAGCCAACATCCTACAACCAAGAAGCTTCCGGAAGAAAAGAAAACGTCTTCAGCCTTGTGCAAAGAACCAATGGGATAGTGCCATTACCTCTCTGGAAAATGAAACTTTGGAAGCGAACCATGTTTTGGCTCCATGTCTTGAACTACCCAAACAGCATGTCAAGCTAAACAGCAAAAAGAATTCCACCAACACATTAGTTCATTTGGGGGAAGCTGTACACAAAGCTGACATTTCCTCACCTTCTTCTGAAGAGTCATCTTTTGAGAGGCCTAGCAAAGCCTTTCCAGTAGAAGAGGAATCCGGCACTGTATCAACCATGCTCAAGCAAATCTTCCGTGACCATCGGATTTCAGGAAATCTGTCTCTTGGTCATGAAGAACCACATCCTAGCAAGATTCCACTGGAGACGACCACCAGTCTGGAGGATGAGCAGCTTGTGTCTGGAAGGCCCAGGCCAACAGAAGGAACTGGGGTGACCCAAGAGAGTATGGTACGACAGAAGGCCGCAGAGGATATAAACTCTAAATCAGACCCTCCGTTGGAAAAAATGCAGGCACTTCTCGGACATCATGTAGCTATTGTTCAATCAAAGGAGCCTTTTGATGGGGAGGGCCTTGCAGGAAACATGGCCTTGAAGGCAAAAAATTCCCCTCTTGGCGTTAATGATAATTTATCAATAAGAAATAAAGGGGATCCAGATTCCCAGTTACCTGAAAGAGTTTCACAGGAACCTGTGGATACAGCTGAAAGATGGAATACTAGGACATTAATATCAAAGATGACATTGACAGAGGAATTCCAGACAATCTCTGATGTAAATGAAAGCACCTCCTTCAATAGGAGTAGTGCATCTGCATCATCAACTGGCATGAAAAGCGAGCAAGCTTTTCAGGACATGTCACGGGAGACTCAAAACTCTGGTCTGTTGACATTAGAAATCAATCCTGGGGTTGACAGCCTGGCACCAGGAGGGGATGGCACGGCCTCTCAAGATTCAAACAGCTACTCATCAGAAGAACCAGCGGTCCAAGAGAATGAACCGTCTGCAACTACGGAATGGCTGCGACCAGTTTCCTTGCTGGTTTCCACAACTACTGAAACTAAAGGCATATCTACACCTTCAAGTGAAGATGTATGTCTGGAAAGCAATGATACACATACAGTCTCCCAAGAAAAAGCACATGATGTACATCCTCAAGATCATGAGACAGAGAAGATTGTGCAACTCAGACGGAATGACGCTATGAGAGACACCCTTTTTTTGAAGGAACCCAATTCCTTGTTTGCCCAAAATGGCGATGACACAGATCCAGATAGACTGAAAGGCAATCTAAATATTACAGACAAGGACATAGATACTAATGATATTCTGAATAGTAACGGTAGGTTCTCTACTCATCCCTCTCACTACAGTAAAGAAACAGAGGACTTAACACGCCAGGGAGGTCTCCAAGAAGCTGCCCAAGGAAAATATCTCTCTGGGGGAGAGAATGAAGCTTCTCCCAGATTTCAAGCCACACCAAATGAGATCAGTATCCCAAATTCCCATAGAGTTCTGGGAAAACTTGTGAAACAAAATGTGACACAACATAGACCGGCAGAGACTATATTAAAGTTTCCCAGAGGTAGCGTATTGGAAAAAAAGAATGTTTTTTATGAAGAAGGTTCACTTCCATCACAACGAATTAACTTGTTAAATGATACAGGTTCTAAGGAAAGGCTTATAAGAAAGAGAAGGAGCAAACTATATCCAGACTTTCATAGCCATGAAAAATCATCAGATGAGCCAAAGAAGACGGCCTGTCAACAGGGTCCTCATGCGTGCGATGGTCACTTTGAAAATAAATCTCCGAAACTACAGCAGGTCACATTGGAAGGAACAGATGCTACAGTGGCAAGAGAAAAAAACAGTTCTGGTAAAGCTGAAGGGCAAGCTTGGGCTTTATTCAATGGTAATGTTTTCAAGACAAGCAGTAATGCTACAGCCGGTATAATCGGGACATCTTTGTTAGGTAAAGCTACAGAAGACTATGAAACAGCCAGCCCTGGCCACATACCAGTGCCATCTTCTCCATTAAATCCAACCCAGTATAATCTTTCACAGTTCCGGAATATTCTTGGATCCCAAGCAGGCGGCACACAGAGAGTCACTTCAGATGGAAGCAAACAGGCTTGGAGAGAGAGCAGTTCACCTCAGAAAATGGTGGATGCGGACAGTATTAATATGATCCCTGGTTACTCCAGGAATGAAGTAGTCATAGAGGATCATGGCACAGAAACCAAGCCAGGACTGGGCTCCAGTGTCCTTGCAGAAGGAGAAATCACAGGTGCCCATATCTGTTTCCAGGAGAACTTGGGGAACATAAATGAGGGCAGTCCTCCGGGAACATCAGAGGTACCATCAAGGAGGCAGACTGACTGGGAAGCTTCTTTGCAGTTGCAGCTGCAGGAATCTAACCCAGATCAGGAGGAAACGCTGAGGAAGGCATCTTTGCTGGACATCTCAAAGAGGGAAGAGGTGAACATTTCAGCCACACAGGGCCCAAGAGGAAATGACTTACTCCATCAAGATCACTCTGCCATCAATCGGACCCTTCCACAGCAGCCATGGGTAAAAACAGAGGGACGGAAAGAAATCAAGCTGCTTAAGGGTGAAGAAGGCAATGTTTCTCCCTCAGCATTTCCAAGAAAGAAAGAGGAAGAAGAAAAAAATGATGGCATTGAAGGATTCAATAAAAGCAAGAACACACCCCCAGGAAACGTGTTGAACATGGAAGTTCCCAGGATAGCGTACAATTCCAGCAGACCAGCAGAAGCAAACTTATCAAAGCATCTGAAAGAGTCCTCTGACTATGATGACTACAGCAATACTGAGGAGAACATAGAAGAATTTGATATATACGGGGAAGATGACCAGGATCCAAGGGGTTTTACTGGAAAAGTCCGACAATATTACATTGCAGCAGTTGAAGTGATGTGGGATTATGGAAGTCATATTCCCTCACCATTCCTAAGAGACAAGTAAGTTCCACCTGACCCTTAGCTGGTGGTCTGAGACGATGATAATGATAATCATCATCATCATCATCATCACACTCCCAACCTACCTAAACCACTGAGCTATCCAGTAAATTAAACCTGTTTGAGTATACTCCCCACTCTAGCAGTTGTGTCTTTGGACCACCAGATATTTTGGGACTAAAACTCCCCCAGTTTCTTACCATTGCTCATGACAGGGGAAAGAATTCTGGTAGACTAACATACCCAAAAGTCCAAAGGTTTTCATTCCTACTTTAGGACATTGAGAGTATATGAGAAGTGAATTTACCTCAAAGTCTACCCTTCAGATTAGAGGATGCCGAGACAGGGAACGTGTATAACTGACATCATTTGGAGACTTCCTGAGATGATGATACACATTTCTCATGATTATGCTTAGTATTTGTATACTGATTTTGGAGTTTAATAATAATTTTATATTTGTATCTTTTCTCCATGGATGTTTGGGGTTGCATATATGCCCTCTATCCCATTTTGTTTTTATAGTCAGCTTGCAAAATGGGTTAGGATGAGAGATTGTGAGGCCTCCCTATGGTCTGAGGATGAGTTTCATGACTGATGTAGGACTAGAAGACAAATCATCTTAGCCGAAGTCCAGTATTATGTGGAGAAAGATCATATAAACAGAATCACAGTCATTCTTGCAGTGGCAGAAGCAGACCAATATAACCCCCAGAATGCGGGCAAGGAGTAGAAAGTGAAAGATAATGGCTGACTTAAGTGAGATCATCAAGGCTGAATCAGATCTGAGGGATGAATTTCCCATCTCGTGGTCTTTGGCAGTATACCACATCAGTGCTTAGCATTGTGCACCATTCTGAAGATGGACACATGAGTAGGTGCCTATACAAAATGGTGCTCTCTTTGCTGGATGTTGGTGTAGATGTGACTCAAAAGAAGCCAATGAGAACTAAAAGACATATTAGTAGGTGTTGGGAAATAGGATGTTCATATTTCTGACTGAAATGTTCATCTCCTACCACCGTGTTCCCAACTTTGGGTCCCCAGATGTTCTTGGACTACAACTCCCAGAAATCATGGCCAACACAGCTAGTAGTGAAGACTTCTGGGAGTTTTAGCAAAAAACATCTGGGGATCCAAGGTTGGGAACCACCATCCTACTGTTTGTAAGGGGGGGAAAGGCTATACTTGAATGTTGGAACTGCTCTGAGGTATTTTGTTGCTTGAGGCGAAGGACAAGATGTACAAGACCCATGTTAAAGACTAGAGAGGCGCTAGAGGAGTGGAATGTTTTTCTAGATTGGTGGACAAGAGTACAACTAGACTCAAAGTATGTAAAAGATGAAATAACGGGATTTTATGAAGAACAAACATTTGATAAACTATTGTTAGGGACAAGTGAAAAAATAATTAAAAGAATGTATGAATATCTCTTAAATATGAAAATGGAAGATGAAATGGTGAAAGATTGTATGATCAAATGGGCACAAAATATTGGTCATAACATTGATTTAGAACATTGGACACAACTCTGGCAGAATAATATTTAAACTTACAAAATCAGTAAATTTTAAAGAAAATATCTAAAAGATGTTTTATAGATGGCATATGACCCCAGCTAAACTGTCTAAAATATATGAAAATGTTTCCAGCAAGTGTAAAATGCAGGAGGCTACTTTATATCACATCTGGTGAGTATGTAGGGAAACAAGAAATTATTGGAGATTACTACATGAAATGCTACAAAAAATAGTATCTTGTGTGATACCATTTAAACTAGAATTGTTTTTATTGAATATTATGCCTGAGATTGTAGATAAAGAAATGAGATATTTGATAATACATTTAATTACTGCAGCTAGGATACTATATGGGAAATATTACAAGAAAGCAGAAATATCATCTCTAGAGGATCTGACAGAAAAGATACTGGAAACGGCAGAGATGGATGTACAGTACTAACAGAAGCATTGAATGAAGAAAGTTCATCTCAAAAAAATCTCAAAAACTGGGAATGATTTTATAGTTGGACTTGAAATATGGATTGGAAACTAGATTTTTTAAAAAAAAATTATGAAGGTCTAAATAGGGAATGGAGAAATTATTAACTATAGAAATTCTGGTAAAATTTGTTAAACTATTTTTGTGATGTAAAAAACATACCCACTCGCTCGCTGGAATTTTACCTTTCCCCTACCCATATCCATACCCCCTACCCACTATATACTGACCCCAATCCTATTTCCACTGAAAATGAAGAATTAAAAACAAGACGCATGTAAACTAGTAGATAAATCTTGCTCCAGTGCCTGGGTTAGAGCCACAGGTAAACTTTAGTCATGGAATAATGGGGGGGGGCACACAGTTCTGTTTGCTGCCACCCCCTCGGGATCTGTCATCTAAAGTGACCCTCTTGCCTAATGGGAGGGCCAGTCCTGTTTACAATGTAAGCATCTACTTTTCTCTTTACAGGAATCCGAAGAACAGCTGGAAGAAGCTCTCCAGGAAGTATAAGAAAGTTGTTTTCAGAGAGTATCTGGACAGCTCTTTCACTCGGGCGGTGATCCGTGGAGAACTGGATGAACATTTGGGCATTTTGGGGCCTTACATCCGAGGACAGGCTGAAGATGTCATCATGGTAAGTGAGATTCTTATTATGAAGGGAGGAAAGGATAAGATGATAAACTCTCCAATACATATACCATACTAGTTTTTTTTAAAGGTCTTGATTTTAAGTTCCCGTTCTTAGATTTGAGATGGAAGAGGCTTTAGTGGTCAAAACTGGACGGTGGCAGCCTTGATCTAAGTGGCTGCGATATGGTGATGCTTTATTTATTTTTAACTATTAAATGCTCCCTACCACCATCCTATAAGGCTCCTGAAGGCTTCCCCAGAGCAAAAGGGGGCGCAAGACAGCCTCAGAACCTGAAGGGGTGGGGAGACCGGAAGCTTTCTTTTCATTTAACAATTTTTATGATATTTGGGGTAAATTCGTGGAATTCGTGTTAGTAAAAGGAAGGGGGAAAGCCTCTAAAGAATACTCTTTACAATTTTGGAAAGGTAGTTCGTAATAAAAATATTGTTAAATGCGGTCCTGTGGGTATGGGGTGCACGTTATAATTTAGTCCGGAATAAGCACTATTATTTGTATTTTTTGTATTTTTGTTGTTGTATATGGGGTTTTTTTTGTCTTAAAAACAAAAAATATTTTAAAAAAAGAAGAAGCTTTCATTTCATTTAAATTAATAATTTTTTGGTATTATTACCCTATGCATGTATTTTTCCCCTTAATGTTTTTATTTTAATGTGTTTGGCCCAAGGTACTTAGTTTAGATTTACCTAGTGTACCCATTTTGAGTCCCCATCCTTTTTAGGCATTCTAAAATGGGTAAATTGTTTCATGCATACTCTGTTCCTTCAAAACACCCCACAGGTCTTGCAAGTGTACACATTCTTGGGGGGGGGCAGAATGCATTTCTTCTAGCAATGTATCTGAAGGACTGCAAAAATCCCAGAGAAGTGGTGTCCAACCTTGGCCCGCCAGATGTTCTTGGACTTCATCTCCCAGAAATCCTGGCCAGCAGAGGTGGTGGTGAAGGCTTCTGGGAGCTGTAGTCTAAGAATATCTGGAGGGCCAAGGTTGGACACCACTGTCCTAGAGGAAGCCACCTCCGTTGTGCAGATAAAATGGTTTGTAGATCTAGTACTGCAACATCACTATAGTTTCTGTTACCCTTTTCATCCGCAGCCATCTCCAAAGTCTATAATATTCTACATCAAAAGCCAGGGACCCAAGGAAAACTGGGCACATGGGTCTTGAGTCTTCTTTGCTGTCTTTCTTCTGTCTTTCCCTCTCCCAAAGTTAATTCAGCTTGTCATGCACATCCTCCCACTTTCCCCAGGTGACATTCAAGAATATGGCTTCCCGTCCTTATTCCTTCCATTCCAACCTGCTCCCATACGAAGGCACCATGGAGGAAAAGGAACAGCCCATCGGGGAGGCAGTGCAGCCAAATCAGCTCCGAGAGTACTTGATCAAAGTGCAGCCCCACATGGTTCCCACCACAAATGAATTTGAATGCAAAGCTTGGGCGTATTTCTCCAGCGTCAACCTGGTACGTGCGGAAGGATGTCCTCTCCTCTGGTGCTGCCTATATATATATATCAAGTGATGTCATGGAAAAGATTTTAAAAATATAATCTCCCCACTTCCGAGATTCCAAATATATTATGCAAAATAAATTCAAAGTAGGCCCAAGATATTTTGCTTTCTATCCATTCCTACGAACAGAGGTTTACTGGGCTGGACTGGCAGCTGAATATTGCTTTAGTGGGGACAGTGGATAGCAGACTGTGTGGCTATGTCTTCCAACATCTTGTTCTTGCTCCACCGATCAGCATCAGCTACCTGAGGCAGCAGCCGCGCCATGTCTCAAGTTAGGGCTGGTCCTGAGCAAATTTTATTTACCTAGTTAATAGATGTTGCAGAATTTTGCTTTTCTTGATGCAGACTTTTAATGCAGCTGCCTCGTGCTAATGCTGACCTTGAATAAGTTTCCATTTGTACGATTGACGCCTACCAGAGAATTCTGCTTTTCTGCATACAGAATTTTGACCCTCAGTTTCTGAAAGGTGCTAGCTTAGCTTGGCTTCTTGTTAGTCCTTAGTTGTAGTCACAGCTCTTCAGTTGTTTGAGGAAAGCTCCTGTGAGCCACCTCATGGCCACCTCCACCGCCTCTTCTTCTGCTCCGTGCTTCCAGTTGAACTAGCACAATAGGTTGAAGGAAGGATCTCAGAATCCCATCTGACCTGACCGCTGTTTTGTCCTGTTGAAAATACATTGTAGACTTGAGCCCGTCTGGAGGAGGAATTATGGTAAATGGAAAGCTTTGTACAGAAAAGTACCTTAGAAAAAGTAAAGAAAGTACCTCAGGAAAAGTGCAGAAAAAAATAGCACCAGGCGAAGAAGACAAAAAAACAAGAGTTTCGCATGTGGGTTTTGCCTAACAGTGGCTGCAGTCATATAGGCAAAACTGGAACACACCAAATGTAGCTCAACTGCAACTCCCAGTATTCCTGGCCATTGGCTCTGCTGGCTAAGGCTTCTGGGAGTTGTAGTCCAGCCACTCCAGGAGGGTCCACTAAAGCAAGGGTGGAGAAATGTTGCCCCTCTTTCCCCACCCCTCCAGCCAAGATGTTTCAGTCTCTAACTCCTGTTAGCCCGACCCATAGCAGGCAATAGTAAAAGACTGCAGGGACTCTTGTTGAAAATATCTGATAAGGGGAGAGTTCTCTACATGTTCTACTAAGACACTAGGGTTCCCAACCTTTGTCCCCAGATGTTCTGAGGTAAAACTCCCAGAAGCTTTCACCACTAGCTGTGCTGGCCAGGATTTCTGGGAGCTGTAGTCCAAGAACACCTGGGTGACCTGGGAACCACTGCACTATGATTTAGTCCTAGTAGGATAAGTCTTGGTAAGCCTGCACGCTCCATCGCAACTCACGTGGCAGAAATGGGAACTTCTTCCAAGTTAATGTTTGTTTTTAAAGAATATTGGCTTAGACTTCTGTCTAGACCAGGAATGTTGGTAGATAATCAGACCACTGTAATGCGCCGAAGAAGACAAAAAAACAAGAGTTTCGCATGTGGGTTTTGCCTAACAGTGGCTGCAGTCATATAGGCAAAACTGGAACACACCAAATGTAGCTCAACTGCAACTCCCAGCATTGCTGGCCATTGGCTCTGCTGGCTAAGGCTTCTGGGAGTTGTAGTCCAGCCACTCCAGGAGGGTCCACTAAAGCAAGGGTGGAGAAATTTTGCCCCTCTTTCCCCACCCCTCCAGCCAAGATGTTTCAGTCTCTAACTCCTGTTAGCCCGACCCATAGCAGGCAATAGTAAAAGACTGCAGGGACTCTTGTTGAAAATATCTGATAAGGGGAGAGTTCTCTACATGTTCTACTAAGACACTAGGGTTCCCAACCTTTGTCCCCAGATGTTCTGAGGTAAAACTCCTAGAAGCTTTCACCATTAGCTGGGCTGGCCAGGATTTCTGGGAGCTGTAGTCCAAGAACACCTGGGTGACCTGGGAACCACTGCACTATGATTTAGTCCTAGTAGGATAAGTCTTGGTGAGCCTACACGCTCCATCACAACTCACGTGGCAGAAATGGGAACTTCTTCCAAGTTAATGTTAGAGTGGTCCTGACACGACCAGATAGGCGGGATATAAATATAATAAAAAATAAAAAAAGTGGTTAGTGAAACAAGCTGGTTTGGGGATGTAGAATGTAAGCTGGCTCAAGAAACTGATCCAGGGATCCTTGCAGTATTTTTGTTTTTAAAGAATATTGGCTTAGACTTTTGTCTAGACCAGGAATTTTGGTAGATGATCAGAAGCGGTTAGTGAAACAAGCTGGTTTGGAGACGTAGAATGTAAGCTGGCTTGAGAAACTGATCCAGAGATCCTTAACAAAACCTTCATGGTAGAAGGCAGAAGGATTCCTTGTGTTTTCAACTGGTCCTTTTTCTGCACCACTTTCTTCGGCCTCAGGAGAAAGATCTGCACTCTGGCCTGATTGGGCCTCTGATTATCTGCCGGTCTGAGGTTCTGAGCACCGCGCATGTACGGCAACTGGACGTGCAAGAATTCTCCTTGCTCTTCACCATCTTTGATGAGACCAAGAGTTGGTATGCTGATGACCGAGGGAGGCCCGGAAGGAGAAGACAAGAAATTGGGCCTTCTCGGCGGTAGCTCCTCGCCTCTGGAACAACCTACCTCCTGAGATTCGCATGGCTCCCTCACTGGGTATTTTCAAGAATCAATTAAAACATGGATGTTTAGGCAGGCCTTCCCATCAGATAATTCCTGACGCCCTTTTTTCCCTTTCCCACAGCTCTCCCATTGTATTTAGTATTTTTGTAATGTAAAATTGTTTTATATGTATAATTATTGTATTATGTTTTATGTTGTTAGCCACCTAGAGTGGTCCTGACACGACCAGATAGGCGGGATATAAATATAATAAAAAATAAAAAAAGTGGTTAGTGAAACAAGCTGGTTTGGGGATGTAGAATGTAAGCTGTGGCTTGAGAAACTGATCCAGAGATCCTTAACAAAACCTTCATGGTAGAAGGCAGAAGGATTCCTTGTGTTTTCAACTGGTCCTTTTTCTGCACCACTTTCTTCGGCCTCAGGAGAAAGATCTGCACTCTGGCCTGATTGGGCCTCTGATTATCTGCCGGTCTGAGGTTCTGAGCACCGCGCATGTACGGCAACTGGACGTGCAAGAATTCTCCTTGCTCTTCACCATCTTTGATGAGACCAAGAGTTGGTATGCTGATGAGAACCTTGGAGGGAGATGCCCGCCCCCCTGCCCCAAAAGGACAGAGGACCCCACCTTTAAAGCAAACCATTCGTTCTATGGTGAGAATCCACTTTGCCTTCTCTTCCAGACCATTTCCCGAGCTTTCAGAGTAATAACTGTTGGGGGGCAAGGAAAGGGACTTAGAAGCACATCTTGCCCAGGAGAAATCTATTCCCTGATTCCAGTCACTGACAGAGGTTCTATCAGGGCCTTTCTGCTGTCTTGTTCGTTATCTCACCAATGTTAATCATCCGCTACTCTTGTCCCACCTTCCTTCCGATGAGCTGAAGGAGGTGCACACGGCTTTCCTGCTCTGTACGTACTATATTTTCACAACAACCCTGCAAGAGAGGGACTGGCGTAAAGTTGCCTAGAGAGAGAGAGAGTTTCAAGGCTCAGCGGGGACTCCAAACTTGGTCTCCCAAATCATAGTGCATATACTCTCTGATTTCCTCAAGTGACCTCAGGGTCTGATGGGCCAGGACAGAAAAGAAAATCTTCTGCCCCCTTCCTTCCCACCAGGCACCAGTTGTCCCAGTAGCAGCTTGTCCATTGGGATAAATGGGGCACTGCCCCACCTTTGGTCACCCTCAGCCACCCCACTCCTGTTTATCGCTTACCAGAGGTTCTCTGCTTGTGTGAGTGCTGGCAAATCTCTGCATGACTTTGTGTGTCATCCTGGGTTATTGTTTCTTTTGTCCCATCAAGCACAGGGGGTACCGGTCATGACACCTATGTATCATGATGCTATTCTGACCTAGAAGGGTTTGGGGTTTGTTTGTTTTTTGCCTCCATTACATGTTGGGCCTTCTGTGTCCTGTTAACCCTCCAGCGATCAACGGCTACGTGAAAGACACCCTGCCAGGGCTGGTGATGGGTCAGCACCAGCGAGTCAGATGGTACCTGATGAACGTAGGTGGTGCCGAAGATATCCACTCCGTCCATTTCCACGGACAAGTCTTCACCATCAGAACAGCCCAGGAGTATCGCATGGGGGTCTACAACCTCTATCCTGGTAAGGCAGGAAAGGGGCAGCTATACAGACTCCCTAGTTTTGCCTGCTCATTTCTGCTTTTTTGTGTAACAGTTGCTCAGTGAAAACAACTTTGGTATGTGTTCTTAGCTGAGAACACATTGAGAGAGCCATAGAGGTCATGCATACTAGCCCAAATCCTGATGCTGAGTGTAGTAAACTGAACTAGAGTAGGCCCATTGAATCAGTGGAAATTTGGTGCATCAATTCCTCTGCAATTTCTGTGGATTCAAATCATCCTGATGTTGGCCATTTAATTTGACCATAGCTTGGAACTTTTTTGAGGGGGGACTGTGGCTTCTGGAATTCCAAAACTAGCGCGAGAGTTGTGGTGCAAACTAGAAATGAGCATGAACTGCTGGTTCGGCATTTTGTGCCAGTTCGTCCTTAAGACAAACAAGGAGTTTGGCTGTTCCTGGCCCTGCCACCTCCATCCGGTGCCCACTGAATGAGCGATCTCCAAAATGTCGTATGTCCTCAAGAGCTCTTGTAGACTCAAGCCTGTGGCTTCCTTTAGGGAATCAGTCCATCTCATATATGGTCTTCCTCTTTCCCTGCTGCCTTCCACCTTTCCTAGCATCATTGTTTTTTTCCCAGAGAATCCCGCCTTCTCATGATGTGCCCAAACTGTAGGACAGCCTCAGTTTCTACATTTTTGCCTACAGAGATATAGTTCAATCTTGATTTGATCTAGGACCCACTTGTCTATCTTTCTGGCAGTCCAAGGTATCTGCCAAGCTCTCCTCCAGACCCACATTTCAAACAAATCCATTTTTATTGATCCATTTTATTCTAGTTTATTTTAATTACGATGTATTTGTTAATATACTTCAGTGGCTCTGCATATCAAAAGATCTCAAGCTATGATACAGAGGCAGGAGGAGTCTTTTTATGCTCCTTGTTAGTGCAGGGCTGTCCTCTTCAAAAATAATTTCTTACTCCGAAGAATATCCTTGAATATGTGCAATATATATATTGCACATATTCAAGGAGATATCTATCTATCTATCTATCTATCTATCGATCTATCTATCTATCTATCTATCTATCGATCTATCTATCTATCTATCTATCTATCGATCTATCTATCTATCTATCTATCTATCGATCTATCTATCTATCTATCTATCTATCGATCTATCTATCTATCTATCTATCTATCGATCTATCTATCTATCTATCTATCTATCGATCTATCTATCTATCTATCTATCTATCGATCTATCTATCTATCTATCTATCTATCGATCTATCTATCTATCTATCTATCTATCTACACACACACACACACACACACACACAACACCTCGTTCTATCCTGCAGCCTCCAGAAACCAAAGGACAGTACATTGTTTGGTCAACTTTTCCTTGTCCTCTCTGCCGCAGGTGGTTTTGAAACAGTGGAAATGCGCCCATTCCACCCTGGAATTTGGAGAGTGCGATGCGCAGTTGGTGAGCACGAGGCGGCTGGAATGAGCGCCCTCTTCTTGGTATACAACCAGCGTGAGTAGATGGGCTTACTATCCTTCAAAGGGCACCAGCTTCTTTTAAGTTTATAAAACTGCTGTTCCCTGGGGTTCACCCAGCAGTACTTTCCTGATGCTTTGGCCCACTGGTGGGGAAAGGGCCAGATGTTCTTTGTCTGTCACACTGGCCTGATCGTGGCTTACAGGCTCTGTCCATAAAAAATGATCAACCCTTGAAGGACGGTTGGCAGATGGAAGATTCATGGGAATTGTAGTTCACCACTCATGGGAATTGTAGTTCACCATGTCTGGAGGATGCTGGGTTAGGGGAGTCAGGCAGGGCTGACGTTTCTGGCCTCAGTCTTCGTCAGCCATATCAGGTGGAAGAGGAAAGATGAGGCTCCAATTGGAAAAGTGTTTCTGTTCCCAGGTTCTATGCTAGTAATCCACAGGCAACCTGGAGCCCTCTATGCAAAATACATTTTAAATTGCTTTTATTTCTTAAGCTTGTAAAATGAAAAACTTTTATGTTTATATTTTAGAGTGTCAAGTTCCCTTGGGTCTGGCCTCTGGTTACATTGCTGACTCTCAGATTACAGCTTCAGGGCACTACGGTAAGAACTGTTTATTCAACAGTAAGGTTCAGATTTCCACTACAGCTTCCATACTTATTCAACGGTTTTATTTGGATTTGGTTTTGGTTTTTAATCTGCTTTTAAACTTGCTTTGATTATTTGGTTTCCATCCCCAAATTCTTCTTAGGAGATCAGCGCAGCTAATGATGTAGATTAAAATAATTAAAATCACAAATTAAAAAATCCAATTATTATTAGGATATTACAGATCTGTTAAGTCAATATTATAAGTTTCTTTTGGGGAATGTGACTCCCAGAATCCCATAACCATGGAATTTTGAGAGTTATGTTAAACAAACAAACAAACAAACAAACAAACAAGTAAGTAAGTAAGTAAGTAAGTAAGTAAGTAAGTAAGTAAGTAAGTAACCCTTTACCCAATCTCTACATAGTGGAATTATTATGAAATAATACAGAAAAGGTCTTTTCTGGATTCCTTAAACTCAAGACAATATTGAAGTTGCTCAAGAATTTTACTTTTTTCTGTGAAGATTCTCAGTCTTCCAGATGATTTTCCATGTTGTATGTATACCATTTCATTATCAATCTTTTTTAAAAATAATTGAAATACCATAATGAGTAAAATGAATTAATTACTTTAAAAGTTACTTTCTAAGTTCTGGTCTCAGTTCCTTCCACTTTCCAATTATTTAACAGTTATTAACCCTCTGGAAAAACAGCTCAAAACAATTTGCAAAAAATTAAAAAGCAAAAAAAGGTCTTACAATATTAAAACTATAGTTAAATTTGATTCGTCCCTTTGCGGGGCAACTTCATGGGTTTTTTAAAATTTCTTTACTTGTAATAAAGGCACAGATCCTTCTTTATTTTTACCTGAATTCTTGTCCCTGCATTTGTACGAACCTTGTTAGTGCAAATATGACTTAATGTCTCTTTGGTGCCACCTGGGGTCTAATATGCTGAATTGTTTGGAAATATGCCTCACTCACTGTACTTCTGGGCAATTTCAAAGCCCCCTGTTTGATAAACAGACTCTTCCAGTTAATTCCACCTTGCTGCAATAACATGAGATCAGCGATTCCTTCCAAAACTGTCTTTCTCAGATCATGAAAAATTATGTGACAGAGAATTTCTTCAGCCCAGTCTCAATTCCTTTATCTCTTTTTGAGATGTTGTTGAATTTGTTGATGCAATCGGGATCTCCAATGTGGTATAGTGGGCAGAGTGATGGGCTAAGATGTAGAAGACCTGGGTTCAATTCTGTGCTCAGCCATGGAAATTTACTGAGTTGCAGGGAGTGGTAGAACTGGTAAAATGACTCAGGTTCTACTGGGGCTGTTATAAGGCGCTTCCAAGCTGAGAGCATACAGCGGATGTCACAGAAGGAGCCACATGTTGATGTAATCTATAATGAATCCATCCTTGCTCAGTTTTAAAAGCATCAATTCCCTTATATGCATTTACAAGATTCCAAACTTCTCCTGTACCGTAATTCTTATTCCAGTCTAGTCCAGACTTCCTCTGCAGTGCTTAACTCGCAAGGATTGTGAAGGGAATCACTTATTGAACGTACAAGATTTCCGGTGATTCATTCATTTTAATTCTGCCAGCTTCTGCTGGCTGTCAGCTGGACAGTCGGTGATGATCGCTTCAAATAACCTACAAGGCTCCGTGCATATTTTCCATACTGAGTAATTTCGGGTCCTCTTATCTCTGCCTATAAATGTTCATAAGACGAGAGAAATTGAAAACCCAAGTTTTCTCTCAATAGCAGAGCATGTAGACACTTGGGCTATTCACCTGACAAGAAAATAGTTAGAAGGGGTTCAAACAAAGATAGAAAACCCTAAATCTTAATTCTAATCAGACTGTCACGTGGCACAGAAGGCACCACGGAGACTGAGGAAAATAAGGTGACACTGATAAACAGAGCCTAAGATTTATCAGTCTAACAATGGACACGGAAGGAAGAAGACATGGCCTCTGGTTTCTCATAGCCTTCAAGATGGAGTCAAATTTCCATGCCAACCCATAGGAATGTATGGAGGACTGAAGATGTTCCATGGGGGAGGGGGGGTAAATCTTATTTTCATGTCCCATTCTCTCTTTCTTTAATTTTTCTGTTAAGGTCAATGGTTCCCCAGTCTAGCCCGGCTGGACAAATCTGGATCCATCAATGCCTGGAGTACTGCCCAAAAAAATGCTTGGATCCAGGTAAGTTCCCCAGTCCTTGAGCAAAACTTTCAGCCAGGTATGTTAATAGCAACCTCAGAAGGAATGTAGAGTTACCAAGTTTTTCACTCTATCTCTGACTGCAAACTCAGTTTATTCTGAAGAGTAGGAACCACCTTAAGACAGAATAATAAGCTCTTGAGTCACGTTTTATGACTACGCGTTTTATACTGCTGCTGAGCTGATCCAGAAAAGTAACTTTTCCCACGATTCTAGGCAAAGCTTGCTTGGTCTTTTACAATCTGTTATAAACTTAGGTCTGTGGCTACAGGTTTATGAACCCTTGTGATGCCGTTTGAAAATGGCTGTCTCAACTTTAATTATCCACAGTGCCACAGAACAGTGCTGTGCTGGGGGATTGTGGGTAATTAAAATGGCAGCTTCTCACAGGTCCTGCAATGTGGGGAGGAAGGTCCATGTCAGTGGGTGCACCCCGTGAGGGTCCTGTGGTTCCAACAGCTGTCCAAGGATAATATGTGCTTGGTGTTGTCCTAGATAAAGCATTTATGGAGAAACCTTGTAAAACAAACAGAATTCCCTCCAAAATGACCAAAAGATAGGGAAGCACCAGGGAGCTTAGAAGTATGTCTCTTCACACCTTTATATAGAAGGCTCTGTTCTCTGCTTTTTGGGAAAATTCATCTTTTTACTGGCCTGGTCCCTAAATCTTCCAGTAAGTGTTGTTCTTTGTCTGACTCTTCATGACCCCATGGACCTCCAGTAAGTGTAGCTACTAGCAATGCTGGCTGGTATGTTCTAGAAAGTGTCGTTCAAAAAAGAAATATTTTGGAGCTCTCCTCTATTTGCCTTGACCTTCCTACCATTAGGCAAAGATCTGTGTGAAAATTAATATCCATCCATCAATTAATCTGTCCAGGTTCTGTGGTCAAAACATCTTTTTTTTCTATACCCAGCTGGAAAGAATTCCCTTTTCCTTCAGACCAGGCAAGATTTTGTTTTGATGGAAAGGTCAATTTGCCACTGGCTTTATCACTTCTTTGTACGTTTGATCGGCATAAATCTGGAAACTTTTCCAGAGCGGCTCTAGTTGAACCTTGCTTTGGGGCCTCCCCCGGTGAGCAAAGAGGGCCTTGATGTGTGGCACTCCATGTCCTCTGCTCCGACGGGCAGCCTCTCTGGCTTGCACCTTTCAAAAAGCCCATAGAAGTGAATGTACCTGTTTATGTCCAGGTGGACCTGCTACAACCAAAGATCCTCCATGGAATAAAAACACAAGGAGCCCGACAAAAGTTCTCTAATCTCTACATCTCCCAGTTCGTCATCTTCTACAGCCTGGATGGAGAAAGGTGGAAAAGTTACAAAGGCAATTCCACCAGTGAGCAGATGGTGAGTCTCTCTCTCTCTCTGTGTGTGTTTCTCATCTATCTGTCTGTCTGTCTTGTCCTGTTTGAATCAGAAGACAAGAAAAGGAAGGACAAGGAGCCACATTTGAATTTCTAAGAAAAACAAACCATGCAATTTATAGTCATGTACAACAGGGATGGGGAATCAGGTTTGTGAGACTCACTGTGTCCTCTAGTTAGGACCACCAGGGGAAGTGTTACTCCTTGGTTGGCCTGGGCAGTTCCTGATCACATCTTTAATTCTCACTACCTGTTTTCCTCTCCTTGCGTGCAGATATTCTTTGGGAATGTGGGGGCAACAGGTGTGAAAGACAACGCCTTTGACCCTCCCATTATCACTCGCTACATCCGCCTCCACCCCACCCACTTCAACATCCGGAACACACTACGTTTGGAGCTTATTGGTTGCGACCTGAACAGTACGGCAGTAGGAACTTCCTCCTTTCCAATTCATAGGGTTGGGAGGATCTTCCTTGGGTGGGTGGGGAAGAAAGGGGTCTGAAAGACGAGTGGGGCAGACATGTCTCTTTTTGCCTCTGTCTTCCCTAGGTTGTTCAATACCACTGGGAATGGAGAGCAAAGCGATTGCCAATGAACAGATTTCCGCCTCCTCTTATGTTGACAACGTGTTTGCCACGTGGTCTCCCTTTCAGGCCAGGCTGAACGAGAACGGCAGGACCAATGCTTGGAGACCAAAGGTAATTTGGCACCCAGTGGTCCCCCAGGGACCTGGAGAAGGATAATCCAAAATGGCGGGAAAGCACAGAATGGCTCAAAGCTCCACTAGGGGAAGAACTGGAGAGGTATTCCATTCAGTGCAATCAGAGTCTTTGGCTAGCAGTATCTGATTGCCTAAATGCAAAGCGGACTGGAAATCACGTTAGTTTCCTTCTCGCCATTTGCTGTTTGCGGCAGGATGGTTCTCACAAGCAGATTAGCTCCACGTTACCTGAACATCATGACTCTATCTGTAACTTATCAGGGGAGGATGACAGTTCAGAGATCCTAAGAGTCATCCCAGTGGCCAAAATCCTGCTCCGTTTTTGTGCTGGTGTAATTCAAGTGGAATAAACATCGCTGGCAAATTGCTGCAGGTTAACGAGTCAGTGTAAGAATTCAGTGTTATTTGTTGGGGCTCCAAGCAGCGACAAATTCATGTGGGGATCAAGACATAAAAACCCACAATTTTTCATGGGGCAAAAGGCTGAAGGTGCCTCTGGTCTCTCCTGCAGGTGGACAGTGCGACAGAGTGGCTGCAGGTGAACTTTCTTAAGACCATGCGAGTGACAGGGGTCGTGACCCAAGGCGCAAAATCCGTGTTTACCAAAATGTTTGTACAGGAATTTTCCCTTTCAAGCAGCCTGGATGGCAAGAACTGGACTCCTGTTTTGCAGGAGGAGGAGGAGAAGGTAGGGCTCTAAATTAGACAAGTGGGCGTTGGTGTTCCTGGTTCATGGGGCCTGCTCCAAAGATGGGAAAGTTACTTTTTTAGAATATAATTCCTAGAACCCCCATGGCCTGTGGCATGGTGAGAACTGTAGTCCAGAAAGTCTATAGACTTTCCTCTCCTTCAGGGGCTCCCTTGGAAAAGTGGTTTCACTGAACTACAACTCCTAGGCACTCCCCCCCCCGACCAGGATGCCCAGTGTCCATTTGGTTGGAGGATGTGGGTTGTTATTGGGAGGATATGGGGTTTTATTGCACTCCAAAAAAGTAACTTTTCCTCATTACTTAGAGTAAAGGTTTGTAGAATTCGTGTTCCTGTAATGTAACTACTGGCTTTGATGTTGGAACTATAATTGTAACTAATTACTCTTAAAGTAATTATCTTGCCCCAAAAGTAACTTGAATGCTCCAGTGTATTCTTAGCCAATTTAGAGACCTGGGGAAACATGGAATTATATGACTTCCTGCTTCTTTTCAGATTTTCCAGGGAAATCAAGATCATACCAGCCCTGTGGTGAATTTTCTGGATATACCAATCTTTGCTCAGTATTTGAGGATACATCCACTACGCTGGCATAAGCATATTGCTCTCCGAATGGATATTTTGGGCTGTGAAACCCAGCAAATGGACTAGTGAGGATGGACTTGCTTTTTGCTTCCATGGAGAACTTTCAGCCAGGCTGGCACACGCCAAAGGAACATGCTTATAAACCCACCGCCCACTGAATTTTTGAAAACATATATTGTAACATAGAAAGCAAATGACAGTAACTGGAAAATGTCTTCCGGGGGGCACGGGTTAACAGCTGTATTGTTCTGTTGCAGCAAAATCGGCAGAATCCTGTAGCATTTTGTAGATTAAAATATTTCATTTGAGATAAGCATTCAAGGACTATGGCCTGTTTCATTGGATGCAAGAAACATATCATGATAATATATTTGCATTTGATGCTGAGTTTTCTTGCATTCATAAATAACATCGGCAAACAGTAATGGGTCCTTTCTTACAGATCCCACCAGAACTAAGAAACTTTGGCCAGCATCCTATTGCTGATTTATGCCTGCATAAGGCAAGTCACATATGTCTTGGTGGCAAAGTGCCGTTCATATCCATGGGATCAATATCTGCAGATTCACAAGAGCCCAACATGATGCTCTGCAGAAGTCTGGGGACTACAACTATCATCAGCCCCAGCCTACCTGCTCTGGGATGATGGCCATTGGGGTCTAAAATATCTGGAGGTAGCAGGTTAAAAGGTGTTGACAGACCCATTTCCACCTTATCTTTGTTTCTTCCCTGATTAATGAAGTCAGCTGACAAGCCTTTCAAATAATTTCTCTCCACTCTCTCCTTTGGCTATATAAATGCTAATGCCATCAGCTTCTCTATTGTTTTCCCAGATGTTCTCTTCCCTCAGCAGAACTCTGAAACTGCCTGGCCTTTGGGGGTTCGAAAGCTGTGCATGTCCAGCCTTGGTGGGTTTAAATCTGCATCTGTAGTTGGAGAACAGGGCTGCCTAATTACAGAGCACTTGTCTAATTAAGATCTGTACTTTCTCCTCTTGTTTTCCTCCCTTGACTGGTTCCTATGCCTTCCCAGCATTAAAATCCCTGCAGTCAACAAAATCAGCAATAATAGCAAGTAATAATTAATCAGAAGATAAGGTCACCTCCTAGCTCATGGTTATTTTCCACCAGCTTCTTGGCATCTGAGGAGAAGCCTCAGACACAGAGGGAGACTGGACCAGTGATTTATTTATTTAGCTCTCTGTCAGTAGATAGAGTGATGAATATTTATTATTTATTACTTATTTTATTTAGAACATTTTTTACCCCCCCTTCTCCTACAAAAGGACACAATGTGGCTTACATCTTTAAAAACAGATTGTTAAATGCTAAAACCAGAAACTATTCAAATATAACAAAGAGTTAATAACATTATACTCAAAATGTTAGGTAAAAGCATTACTTAAAAGAGATTTAGAAGCAACAAAATATAAGCCGTCCTGTTTATTGTCTCCTAGACAGTCACTCAGGGAAAGCCTGTTTGAAGAGAAAGGTCTTTGTCTGTTTATGGAAGGACCGCAAACTTGGGGCCAGCCTGGCCTCCTGTGGCAGGGAGTTCCAGAGTCTGGGAGCAGCCACAAAGAAGACTCTCTCCTGTGTCCCCACCAACTGCACCTGTGAGGGTGGTGGGACTGAGAGAAAGGCCTCCCCTGATGATCTCGACACCTGGGCGGGCTTATAGAAAGAGAGTTAGCCTTTGAGGTAGCTTGGACCCAAATCATTTACTTGGTTTGCGTCCTGGCTGTTGGCTAGGTCTCAAGAGACTCGGGTTCAAATCCTCACCATGGAGACTCACTGGGGGAGTGGAATGGGTAAAACCACTCCTCAAATAACTAACATTCTGAAAATACTATTAAGTTTGCCATAAGTCAATTCCATCCCGGCAGCACATACCAATACACATATGCGCGCGCACACCATTTATACCCAGCATGGATTACAACATGAGTGAGAATTTTTTTAAAAAAAATCATATTTAAGTACAGGATAAGAGGTAAGTTTTCATTCAGACAGAACCTAAAAGTAATAGAACGAAGAAATGTCTGGATCATTGACATTGCAATTCCAGGAGATGCTAGAGTTGAAGATAAAGAAGTGGAAAAATCAGCAAGCTACAGAGACCTGGCCGTTGGAATATCTCGCTTCTAGATGAAACATACTTCAGTGATCCCCATCATCATCAGGGCTTTAGGAACAATATCAAGAAATTTCACTCAGTAGTACAAGCAGATGCTGATTTCAGAAATAACGTCATCAGAACTATAAAAAAGAGAGATGGCAGTATTAGGAACAACATACATACTATGTCATATTTAACAGACACTTAGGTTTTTGGTTAAAACTGGCATCTCTTATATCTTCGTTGTTTAGTCGTTTAGTCCTTTCTGACTCTTCATGACCCCATGGACCAGAGCACACCAGGCCCTCCTGTCTTCCACTGCCTCCCGGAGTTGGGTCAAATTCATGTTGTTCTCCTTGCAGTCCAGGGGACTCTCAAGAGCCTCCTCCAGCACCACAATTCAAAGGCATCAATTCTTTGGCAGTCAGCTTTCTTTATGGTCCAGATCTCACTTCCATATATCATACATCTCTTATATAATACCAGTCAATGTTTTTATAATGTTGATGGTGCCTGGAGTTTTTGAATAATAATAACAACAATGTCATTTTCTTGTCATACCTAACTGACAAGGGGAATGTTGTGTCATTTCATCTTTTAAACTTTTTAAAATGTGTTTTTAAGGTATAGAATCAGGATCGGCCACCAGAGGGAAGCAGAATGCATGTCCTTATGATTTTCTGACATGGTACCACCATACCCCAAAGAGTACACAAAGTACTGTACAGTGAATTGCTTTTGCAAACAGTTATATGATAGTGATAAGGGCAGTTTTACTGCCTCAATAAACTATAACACACGAAGTTCCATTTTTTTAAAAAAAAGGAAACGTTCCAAACTCTGTGACCAACAATAAAGCTAAGTCTTAAAATACCTTGAGGAGCAGACAAAAAAATTCCTAAAGAGAGCAGCCAAAATTCAAGAGGTGTTTTGCACTTGCATGCATGAAATGGCATGAGGTGCTGCTGCAAATTGTCACTAATTAATAAACTGCTGGTTGGATTCCATGCACCCAAACACAGGATCAAATGAGCACTTAAGAAATTCAGCTAGGATCTTGTTAATTAGCAGTAATTTGTTGCTGGGATCTATTAAGTGTGCAGCTTAGATACCACCCCATAGCACTTAAAGTACTCTATGGGCAGCTTGCAATTTACAACTTAATTATGCAGGCTACGTATTGCTGAAGGCCATTTCACTTACACAGGTGGTAAATAAGCAGTTCAATTCTGGATCTCAAGAGAAAAGGCGTGACCCTTACGTAACTCAAGAAAAAAAACCAGATGATTATAAATATATAATCACTCTAGGTGGTGCTCGATTACTGATAGCAAAAAAGTGGAAGAAGAACTGGATTTTTCAGCCACATTAATGGTATAATTAAATCTGGAATATTGTGATTAATGATCAAATAACTTCTGAAATTAAGTTTTAAAAAGGATTTATAAAGTAAAACCAGATGATTATAAATATATAATCACTCTAGGTGGTTAAATGCTGTATTGAATAAAGCCAGGGCAAGAAGGGGTGGGGGATCATTTAAAAGATGACTGGAACGTTGTTATAATATATATATATATTGTATTAACGGATGGTACCTGAGGTGACATGGTGGCACTGCGGGTTAAAGCCTCTGTGCTTCAGGGTCAGAAGACCTGCAGTCGTAAGACCGAATCCATGCAACTGAGTGAGCTCCCATCGCTTGTCCCAGCTCCCGCCAACCTAGCGGTTCGAAAGCATGCAAAATGCGAGTAGATAAGTAGGTACCACTTCGGTGGGAAGGTAACAGCGTTCCGTGTCTAAATCACACTGGCCATGTGACCACGGAAAGATTGTCTTCGGACAAACGCTGGCTCTATGGCTTGGAAACAGGGATGAGCACCGCCCCCTAGAGTCGAACACGACTGGACTAAATGTCAAGGGGAGCCTTTACCTTTACCTGAGGTGAGGGGGGCACTTTTGTTTTATGTTTTCTTTTTTCTTGTATGTAAACAAACAAAAAGAGAGAGAAAAGGACCATTCCTTGGAGGAAGGGATTTCCAAAATTTGTGGGCCTCCACTGACACTCCCCTGACTCCAGTACCCGCCAGTTTAAGTGAAGACAGAGCAAATTCCTTGAAGCTGACCTTAGAGTCCCGGGAGACTCCCATGGGCAGAAGGAGTCCTTTAGAAAGGCAGGAGACCAGAAGGCACCGTAGCTATTCTGGTTCTAGGCCCACCTTGCTTCCATGAGGGCTAAGTCTGGTGAAGGTGTTGAAACATCTCCATCTGCCATTGGGGTGGGGGAATGGGGGCTTAAAGAAGATGCCATCAGCAGATCCAGCCCCTTTGCGGTTCTTCCTTCTCATGGCTGTTGCTGCTTCCTGTTTCTATGGCTTCCCTCTCTGGGCCCAACTGATGTACATCACCAGGGAGAGGACAAGATGGCTGGAAGTTGATAATCCTACTGTTTTCCTCGGAAAGGGTAGCAATAGCATGAAGATCCTCGAGAGACTGGGACCTGGCAAGTCCGGGTTGATGCTGACCCTTCAAAAAGCCCTGGGCTACGACCTTCCTGGTTGGAAACTGTTCCTGGATGGAGCTGGACAAGGGCTTTCAGGTTTCAGTTAGTGGCCCCTTAAGCCAAGCATTAGAAAACAACTCTTTTGGTGACCGTCAGCAGAGAACTAGACCAAGCTTGAGACTGCTTTTAGGACTTGAATAGCTAGACCTAGTGTTCAGCAACCTGCTTCTTCCAACTTCTTCCGTTTGGTGACCGGACGGTTCCAGCCCAAGATCTTCTGCTGCCTAAGGCAAAGGACCAAGTGACAGCCATCTCAGTTCCATGTACGAGAGTGAATTGGGTGGGCATTTGAATCTCGTGTCAACACTTCGAATGGGACAGGGCCCTCCACTACACCCGAGGACAGCCTGTGAGCTTACAGAGTGGTGTACAGGGAAAAGTTTTCTTTTTAAGCCAGTTTGGGCAATGCTGATGCACTGTACCTTTTAGATAGACAGACAGAGAGAGAGGGAGGGAGGGAGGGAGTTTTCTGGGAGGAAGTTTTCTGGGAGGAAAACTTCCTCCCAGAAGTGGAAGGGGCAAAGCAGGGAGACTTAAACTCCTGTTCTTTGCTTTTCTTAAAGGGGGCAGATCAACCAGGGTTCCTTGAGGCGCATATGCCACACGAATGCCAAGATTGCACCAGATGGAAT